TTAAATAATACTATTTACATCTTCAATGTCAAAATCTTATTTTTTTAAGAGAATTACTTATATTTTTTTTAATAATTCTTTACAAAAACTTATTTTATGAATTAATTATTTTATTTTATTTTATTTTATAAAATAATACTATACTTCATTATTTTATAAATATTTTATATAAAAGATTATTTATTAGAATAGCTTAATTTTCTCCTTTTTCCTTACTAAATTATATTGGAGTATATTTCTTTTCTACTGAATTGAATCCAAAACATATTTTAGAATCTTGGTAAGCATCCCCATAAAAATAAATGTATCTACCTTGGATAGTAGAATATGGTTCCAATTTTTACTATGTCTTTATTTCTAAAGCATAATTAAGTCTTTTAATACATTTTAAATTATCTTATTTTCTTTTCAAGCCTTCTATGTATCAAGATTAGAGTTTAATTTTCAAAAGCTCTACTTTAGTTTATAAGTCCAAACCAAATTAATTAGGCAATTTTTTCATTTTGTAAAGCTTCTTGTCTAGAGATAAAATCATGGTGTTATTACAAAATGGTCTAAAAATAAACTTCTACTATCATTAGCTAAAGCACTTTCATATTATTGATATTACCTAAGGATTCATCAAAAATAATTTATTGGATTTGTACAACATGCCAAAGAGTGTTGTTGGAATTTTTTCATTGAGATAATATATGATATTTGTTTCCCATTTCCACATCCTTTGAGATGCTAGCCAAGTCCAAAATATGGAGAGAATTAACTTAGATAAGACTAGAATATATTAAATACAATATATTTTCATTCTATAGTTTATTTATTTTTTTAATTTCAAAAGCATTTAATTTCTTTATGTTAGATAAGCTATGTGAATTTTATAGTAATTTGTGGCTGAATTTTTTTCTAAATATAAAGTCTAATTCATGTTGAACTTAGAATTGAAGATTTGGCACTACTTGGTTATTTGAATAGGAGTCTACAAATATTTGTCTATAGAGGGGTCTTAAAGATTGAATAATAATTATTTAGAAGCTTATGTTTTAGTTTCTTTAATATTTATTTCTATGCTCTTAGACTCTTTTCTATGCCTTGGCATATATAGCATTTGTTAAAACCAACATGATAATCTTAGTTTCATAATATTATATATATATATATATATATATATATATATATATATACATATATATTTCATCCTAAATCTACGAATATTAAGATCCAGCCAATTTATGATAACAAAATTGGTTGGATTCTTATTTAGAAGATCTTTAAATAAATTTTGTATATATAGCTCAAAAGACTAATTAGCTTATAATTACCAATATATATATATATATATATATTACTTTAAAATAAATAAAGAAATAAATAGCAAGCTATTTTCCTATAGACTATAAAAAATCTTGTTTCATCAAAAAATTCTTATTATGTCAAACATAAATATCTTTAATAAATTTTGAAAAGGCCTCAAAAACTCAATTTAAATCCTATTTAGATTTGGTGATTTATCTTTTGTTAATTTTCTTATAAAAAGAGGCAATTTATTACTTAAAAAGAATTCTTCCAAAGTGTTTTAAACATTGTCTTCCAAATCTATAGAATATACATTCAATATAAAAATAATGGTATTTGATTGTGTTTAAATTTACTAATTTTTTCCTATATAAGATAAAGTAAAACTAAGTCTTGTTTGCACCATCTCATTAGTTCTATAATTAGTTTTATTTTTTTAATTCTAAAAATCATAAATCCTTATTGTATATATATTTTTTTCATAACCTAAAAACAAATTACATACAACAATCATGAGTTGATATCTTTTTAATCTTATTTAGTGCTTATTAAACTTGTATCTTTTATTAGTAAAAATTAAAAAAACTTCTAAAATAAGTTTCAAATTATTTTAGAATAGGAAATTTTTAAGATCAATATATAGTTTAGTATAAATATCTTATAATAAAAAATCTTATATTTCTTTGAACTTCATTATTATGATTTTTTTTCATTCTAAATTCCCTTGTCTTTCAAATATTTGTTTAGAAAAGTAATAAAACTTTCTAACTGTTTAAAGTTTGATTTTGATAAACTATCAAAAGAATTAGTTTTGTGATAGACTCAAAGAAAGATTTTATAGCAATCTATCTATGATATTTATCAATCTTATCACTCCATTTGGTGACTTAAATAGGACTAGCTAAGATATAAAGTTTTACAACTTTTTATTGAAATCTAGCAACGTAATAGTTTTTAAATATACCAACATTGATTAAAATTAAATTTTACAAATCTATACAAAAAAATAATATTCTACTATCTAAAGAACATATATTTGTAGACTTTGTATTTAGCTTTAAAATTGGTGCAATGCAAGAAGAAATTAATTCTTTATTACATATTCTTCTTATTAAGCTGATACTGAAATTTTTATTGTTGCATGATATTATTCTTTCTATATTAATTAAAATATTTTAAAAATAGATTTAGCTAATATAATCATATTACTTGAGAAGCTTATTTTATTTTAAGTACACATAATTTAAATAAGAGAGATTGTTATACTATCCAATATTCTTTATGTATTGTGCTATCGAATGCTTGCTTGTGTCACTTTATACTATTTCTAAGATTGTTTCATCTCCCTACTTTACATGATATTGTACTAGCTGTAAAAACTTATATATTGCTATTAAATATATATATATATATATATATATATATTACATTGTAACTATCTCTTTATAGCAACTTTAAACATTAGTAAAACCATTTTTAGAATTTTTCAATATGATTTTTTCTCTTGATTAGCTATACAGTGATAAAAAAAAAAAAAAAAAAAAAAAAAAAAAAACAGTATAGGGATTTTTTAATCAAGATAAGATTTGACAATTTTTAAGTCCATATTTAATATCCAAAAAATATTTAAATTTGATAGGTAAAAAAATATTATTTTATAAAAAAAAAAAAAAAAAAAAAAAAAAAAAACATTTTGTTTTGGTTATAAGATTAATTACTCTAAAAGATGGCTACTGCTCTCTTTCAGAATTTGTAATAATATAAAAAACAACATAAGATTTTATTTATAGTATTTTTATTGTCTTTTTATAATAGTAATCTTAATTTTTTTGTCATACTATTGTTTATTGCTCTAAATACATTTGATATGTTTTGAAAGCTAATCCAAATATATATTCTAGTTTATATTTAAAAGTTGATGAGAATAAATAGATTAAAATTTGGTATCTATTCTTGCATTATAAGATTCCAACTTGTCTTGGATAAATTTAAAGACTATATATTTTTTTGCTGACTTTAATAAAGTGAACATGACCAAAAAGAATATTTTTCTTAAAACATAGTTTACTTGTAAAATATAGCTAATTCTTGGTAATAAGTTAAAATACCATTCTTCCAAATTCAACTTTGAGAGCTTCTTTTAAACAAATTCTTATATTATATTTCAAGTTGTTTAAGATGTTTTATTTCTTATTTGACCAATTTCATATCAATTTTTAAAATGCAATTAGACATGTATAAAACAAATCTCTAAAAATATGCATAAATTCCTTAGAAAGCTTCTTCTTGGCAATTGCATTAAATAGATCAATTAAAATTCTTTTGTCCATTATCACGTCTTCAATTAATTAGCTACTCCTATAATTAATGTTTTTACAATTTTCAATTGCTAGCAAATCTATCTTTGTTATAAGGACATCTTATACATTTTTTGTCCTAGTTCTTTATGAAATTGATGTATACAAATTTATAGGATGTGTTTATATAACACTAGATTAAATACAATGTTTCTTGCCTACAAATCTTACTTAGTGTACATTTAAGTTAACTTGACAAAATCATAATTTTATAATTTGGCTAGTTTTTTATTTAATGAAAATAATAGTGAAACTTAAACATTTAAAATAGCTTTACTTGCTAAGTTTTAAAAATTAAATTAAATTAAATTAAATTAAATCAGGAAATTAAAGATTTTAGAATCATAAAACTCTACCTATAGCAACAAAGTATATTAGAGTGCTATGGATTTGAAGCCACAATTTATGTATATATATATATATATATATATATACACACATATCATCTTTGATATATTTAAGATTAACTTTCAAGATTTTGTTTTTTCTTAAATCAAAGAATAATTATAAATTATAAATTCTTATTTTTAAATTCATCAAATAAGATTATTACACAATTAAAATGCTATTTAAATATATAATTCATATTTAGATTTAAGGTTTGAATCATAGTAAAATTATGTAAAATTCTTGTATTTTTAGTAGATCAAAATTTTGAAATAAAAAAGAATAGTGAGCATAACAGAAATAATAAAAATAACTAGAACATTAAAAGATATGTAAAAAAATAAAAAATAAAAATAAATTGATAAAAAAGAGTCATGGTTTTAGACAACAAAAAAGAAAATCCAAAATTATGATTAAAAACTCTACAACAACCAATCCACCTCCAGCAATGAAATCCATTTGGAAAGAAAATAAATGAATCAACAGTCTTCTTATATTAGTGGGTGTCAAAGTAGAAGATTGGATTAAAAGAAATAAATAAATAAATAAACACACACACACACACACACATATATATATATATATATATATACACGATGAGCATGACTGAGTGTGGAATAGTATGGACGTACAATTTCTGTGCACAGAAGGAGAAATTTAATTCTCTGGAAAAAAATCTTTGAAATTATTGTTGTCGAAGAGGTGATGGCAGAAGCCAAGCACTGACTGCTTTTGGATCCATAATTCTAGAACGTTCATGATTTTGATGAATCCGTAAATTTAGAACGTCGAGAAAGGATGTGAATGAAGATTCAATCCAAACACAAATATAAAATATCGTACCCCATACATACATAAATATTATTTTGTCTCCAGGTACTATAATATTATCTTTTAACACCCACTGTTATAATACTACCATAAAATAGGGTTTCATGTTTTGTCTCCTCCGTGCCAACCATCGATTCACTGCGACCGCCCTCGACAACCCAAACACGACGAGCATCGATCGGCAACCACCTCATTGACATGGACATCGACAACCACCGAGACTGCAGCAGCGGCTTCATCATCGGGATCGGGATGTGGAGCTGGCCACGCACAGATCATTTACAGAGAAGTGCCACAAAATCATGAGAGAAAGTGCTTCCCCTCTTTATGATCGGGTGCGGAACCTGACAGCATTACGCTTGAGCACTCTCGCATGAACGACCTGCATCGAGGCTTGCCGATCCAGTTTTCATTATTTGATTCTGTTATCAGATGGGTCTCTACTTCATCGTGTTCCAATAGAGAGCTTCCGGTGCTTCGGTTGTGATAATCAACGCTTGTGCAAGCTCAGGGACTGTCAGATATTTCACCATCAGTCGGAAGTAATTTAGAACTGCCGGAAGTGGGTCATTCGTTTTTGCATTCTTATTTTTATTTTCATCTCACTGAAGGAGGATGCTGCGACTGTCGGATGTCTTTTTTCGTCGTCGTTTATCTGCACCTGATCTCCTGGATCAGTTACTACACTGGAATAAATGCGTCCGCTTGAACTACTGATCTGCATCGATTCCAGGGAAGACTGTGCAGTTAAGGTACGCGTCTCGACAAACAGTTTCTTTTTCCCAGGCAGCGGGAGTAGCTTCTGATCCCTGATCTAGGATTTGGTTTCCGTTTTAGTACTGGTCGATTTGGCTATCTTCGATGATTGAACTAGCCTGTGCTAGACTGCCCGACTCGCTCGATGGCTACCATTGAACTTTCCCCTCTGAATGAAATGATGCAATTGGAGTGTAATATTCTGGAGTTCGATACCCTTGCATTTTGTCGTCTCCGAAGTTAATCAGCTCACAGAAGCGGAGGTGCGTGCCATGTGAGTCCAATCCGTCGGTCAACACAACGAAACAGCTCATTTCTGCCCGACTGACAGGGGGCATCTGTTCAAAGTAAAAATCAGGTTCATTGCTAACACTGCAACTTAAAATCAGTCCTCCTCTAAATCTCAAAGTTAAACTCACTGATCTCCGGAGGGAATATTGATGTGCAATCCACACTGTCAACAAGATTTCTCGGACTAATCAGGTTGAACATGCCCTGCCGAAGACCAACCAATTCCATCCCAAGTGCCAGCCATGAGAGAGAAAAAAAAAACAAAAAAAAAAATGTTCACATTCAGCTTACACGTGTGCACATGGCTGCACTTGAAGTTTTGGTCACGGACTTTAAAAGTAGGTGTGTTCGCATTGTCGTGTCTCGACGGCATTGAATGCGGCGACAATGAAAAAATTGAGTTGAGGGATAGGTAGAGCACGCATTAGAATTCGAGAGCTCACTCTAGTCCACTTTGCAGGTAGCCACATTTCATATCACATCAATTTTTCCGATTTTCTTGAGCTGGGAATGCCTTCAGAGCCCCATCTGTCTTCATCAATCAAAACGTTTACGAGTTGTGGCTCAATTCTTCGTGTTGTGATGTGCAGGGGGTTGATAAGCAAGCCATAATGACTGAAGTAATGAACCAGTTGCCAAGGGTCGCTGTTTTGCAATGGATGGCGACAATGTTGGTTCTCTTCAGCAGAGTTTTGTCATCCCTGGCTAAGGACCCATTAATGCCAGCCATGTTCATCCTTGGTGACTCGCTCGTGGATGTCGGCAACAACAACTATGTTCTTACTCTCGCCAAGGCAAATTATCCTCCTAATGGGCTGGACTTCCCGCAGGGACCGTCTGGAAGGTTTTGCAATGGCCGCACCGTTTCCGATTGCCTGGGTGCGTTGCGAGCATGTCCTCAATCTCCTGCCTATATCATGTTCAGTGTGGAATTGACAACATGGTTCTACTTGTGACCATTAACTGAATTGAATTGCTTGCAATGCGGTACAGTTCAATACATGGGCCTTCCCTTCCCACCCGCATACTTGGATCCGACGGCGAAAGGACCCGTCATTCTTCAGGGGTTGAACTATGCCTCTGTTGCCGCCGGTATCCTCGACTCCACTGGCTATAACTATGTGAGCCAACTGATGTTCTAAAAATGCATTTTATTTTACAGAGCATCGCTCTAAACTGGATTTAAGGAATTAACAGCAAGTCTGCCTGGATCAATCTATGTGTATGCAAATGCGTATGACCTAGTGGCCTCATTCGTTGCCAACCCAGCACGATATGGTAATTCAACTGAGCAACCTCTCCTCGTTGGGTTTATAATAGCGCAATTGATTGAAGTCGACTCAAAAGTACTGAACTGACCATGAGTGGATTGATTTCGCAGGATTTGAGGTAGTGAATTCGGGCTGTTGCGGAGCCGGCCCCTATGATGGTTTAATACCGTGTCTTCCAATTGTGAAGCCGTGCCCTGACCGGTCGGCCTACCTATTCTGGGATCCCTTTCATCCCACAGACAAAGCCAACTCGTACATTGGCACAGCTTTCTTCTCCGGTGGCCCAGATGCGTTCGAGCCCGTGAATGTAATGCAGCTTGCAGCAATGCCTTAGAACTGCATTGGTACTGAAGCGCCTCACCTGCCTGCACTCAACTCGATCTCGAACACTCAAGATAGTATCTGTATCTACCACTTCTGTATGTGTGTGTACGTATTCAGATTTCACTGGAAGTTGGCGTATAATTGTCAGGCCATGAAGGACTTGATTATAAATTAACTACTTAAGCAACACACGAGATTGTGACGAAGGCACTAAAAGTTAGTCGCAACAGAAATAGCAGAAATGTCATGCAATTCAGCACTTTGAGCTGTAATTTCATGTCGAATATTGAACGATTTGGCTGAACTCTGTAGATTGTACAAGAGGTAAAGCCTCATCAAGAGAGATAATGTTCACATGAGAATTATCGGGTGCAAACGCGTCAGTACAACTTCACTCCATTCTTCAGGTCTTGCACATGAGCCACTTTGACAGGACACCCAGTGCCCTTTTACCCCAGGGTGAAAAGGGTCCCCCAGGCGGAAGGGCAAGGAGAGGAGTACATGGGCATTGGGTGTCCTGTCTCATTCTACATGATCGGTGCTAGACAATTCCCTCAGCACCATTCACGAGCCTTAGTAACATCCCTGCATGTACACTTATAGCTGAAGACCGTGAGGAGGTCTGACATAAGGAGATGGTGATTACCACAACCTTGTGTTGTATGCTAAGGACACACCACTAATATCTCGAATACGATCCAAACTTCTCTGACTTTGAACGATCAGATTCATACTGCAAAGCCAGCAGAGGAAACCTGTACAACGCAATGAACCCCTAATAGCAAATTAACTGGTCATTTGAACCTTAATACGAAGTGTTCACATTGCATTGAAAGTGTGAATAGTTACAAGCAGCTGAATGTATTGCTCACATGAACGATATCTTCCACCCACCTGCTGAGACCTATTGTCGATAAATCTTCACTTTTTCAGATTCTGCGATGATGGGCCTGGAAGAGAGGCTATCCCCAATCTTAAAGTTGCCGCCTCAGGTGGACTCTATATCCCGACCATTTCGCACTCCTCAGTCCATGTTAGATTTCGATTGAATCATTGTCTCTCAGCTTGAGTTCATAACTGTCTGCTGCTTCAGTCATCTTTAGGAGCGACCAAGGCTGTCATAGGATAGACAATGGTGCGCCACAATCCACACCGCACCCTGTCGTGCAGCGGGTTTATCGTTCCAAGATCTGCATAAGTTCAAGAGTGAATGACCAGTTAGCAAACCCGAAATGCAGCATTGTCCTGATTGCACAATTCGAAGGTGAATAAAAGCATGGAGTTACTTCAGCAGATTTGTGTTCGCTACGCGTTACTCACATGCATGCTGCTGTTCTGTCCATTTTCATCTGCCGCACCCGCCAATTTCGTATTCGGTGATTCCCTTGTTGACATCGGCAACAACAACTTTCTCGTCTTGTCTCTGGCCAAGGCCAATCTCTACCCGAACGGTATTGATCTCGGCAATGGCGTTCCAACGGGCAGATTCTGTAATGGTCGCACTGTACCTGACATAATTTGTACGTGCTCCTCCAACTCTTTCACCTGAACATTGAGGTCTAATATTCTTCAGTGCGAATTTCTAGTCAGTGGCCTACAATATTCTCCTCTTTTGTCTACAATGCAAAGCACTTGTAACCTTGGATGTCGATTTGGAATGTGCAGTTGAGAAACTGGGAGTCCCCATTCCGAAGGAGTATCTTAATCCCACCACACGAGGTTCAGTGATCCTCAATGGCGTGAACTACGCCTCTGGTGCGGGGGGTATCCTTGATTCAACCGGGAGCAATTACGTAAGTAATTTCAGCTGAGGTGAAGGAATAACAGCTGAATACGTGTGTCGCTGATAATAAGCAGATAACTTGTAGTATCTATGCTTTAGCTACACATATACTAGGGTGCAACTATAATGGCAGAAGAGATGCACACTGAAAGACCTTCTGAATCCTGGGGACTTCGCAGATACAGAGACTGTCATTCAACAAGCAGCTATCATATTTCCAGAAGACCAAGGAAGATATTACCAACATGATTGGACCACAACGAACAGAAAAACTCTTGAACGACGCAATATTTGTCGTAGTGTTTGGAAGCAACGACTACATAAACAACTACCTTCTAACAAACTCCGCCACGTCGCAGCAATACACACCCTCAAAGTATCAAGATTTGCTCATTTCAACTTTTCACGGGCAGCTATCGGTAAGCAAACCAGCCACTTATGGAACCCACGAGATTTCCAGTATCCACTAATTCCTAGAACAGTTCGTGAATTTTTGAGATGGGAAAATGACGTAAAAGTGCACCTATCTATGTGGATGCAGACCTTGCACAACCTTGGAGCACGAAAGTTTGTGGTTACCGATCTCGGCCCCCTCGGTTGCCTCCCATCGCAGATTGTGAGAAACAACACCGTCGGAACGTGCCTGGACTATATCAACGACTACGCCAAGAATTACAACGCGGCACTCAAGCCGATGTTGAACCAGCTGACCTCCGCACTTCCAGGTTCAATATTCTGCTACGGAGAAGTCAATGCTGCGATTCAACAATTCATAACAAACCGTCCAAACTACGGTACGCAGCAACTTCATCTGCATATTCACACCACAAATACATCTAACACAAAGTTGCAGTCCACAGTCAGATAGTTCGGTGCTAATCGACGGTCCATGCAGGATTCGACGTCATAAACGCAGGATGCTGTGGACTCGGCCCTTTGAATGGGCAACTTGGGTGCCTTCCAGGCGCCAATCTCTGCACCAATCGTATCAACCATCTGTTCTGGGATCCCTTCCACCCCACGGACAGCGCCAACGCGATCCTGGCGGAGCGATTCTTCTCTGGAGGCCCAGACGCCATCAGTCCGTACAATATCCAACAGCTTGTATCGATGTAGAGTCTGACCTCTCATTGTTCACGCCCAACATGAAAAACTAGCATCGATCGCTTCCGCTTCTTCTAGATCGGCCTTGTCACTAGATAAATCAGCGTCACTAGACACAATTTCACCGCAACTCTTGCATGTGGATTCGATGTGTGGGGACTCACAAATCCTCATCGATCATTCTTGAGCGACATTGATCTTCGGTGTCGGTGACTGCGCTTTCTGGTGAACCGAACTTCTTCGAATAGTGCTCGGTTTCTAGATTTTGAGAATAATGAACGGTTTAAAGATCATCTAACCTTCTTTTTTTCTTTTTTCTTTTTTTTGTTATATTGCTGTCTGTGGTCGTAGAAGCCTATTCTTTATTCTTTAGTTACTGATCAGAAAGTAGTACAACCTTTTCGTATTCGTTTGCGTATGGAATCGAAACAATTACATAGTTAATGCGTGTTGAAAAATGAGGATTTTTTTGCCAATTGTATTGTTTTGAGTTTTATAAATTTATCAATATGGTTTCTTGTGAGGGTTGGTTCATGTGTTTTGCGTGCAATATTCATGACTTTGTAGTTTTTTTTTCCAGTATTGTTTCTCTGTGCAATGTTTGATTTGTTGAAGTAATGTGTGGGTGGTGAAATAACACTCTGCCCAGTTGGGAATGTAAGTACATTAGAACATGATAGGGAAAAACAATAGCAAAAACATTAGCAAAATAAGTCGATTTTTTTTTAAATGTACATCATTGGATGCAATACTTGTAACTTTTATTATTTTTTCTAAATTATATGTCATATAAATCAATTGTTCAAATCATGACTATAAAACATTTCAAAAAAAATAATCAAATTAAATTAAATAGACTAATACTTATATATTATACAATTTATTGTATACAAAACCTAAAAGTGTTATGTATGGAAATGCCAAAAATATAGAATTTTGATAATATTTAAGTCAAATTTATCTCAAAGAATTTTTAAAAGATAAACAAAAACAAAATGAAAATCTATTATTTTAACATTTCAAAATGTCAACTATTTCTTATGAACTTATTCTTTTGATGTTATTAAAATTTGATGCTTTTTATTTTTTGTTTATATATAATACATTTATATGGAATTTCAACTTTTTTTTACTTCTAATAATAAGTAATTTTTTTATAAAATATCAAAAAAATAAAAGTTATCAAAAGCTTTGGCAACTAAAAACCACAAACAACAGAGTTCTTTTACAAATACCAAAAGTTTAACAAATCATTCCTTGTTGCAACTTCTTTGAATAGAACGAGTAAATTTTTTGTTTCCATTTAGTAAAAATGAGATATAAAAAAATAAAAAAAATAAAAAATAAAATTAAGGTAAAATTTTAGATACAGTAGAATGTTTTTGAAATAATTATAATTTTTTATAAAAAATAATAGCACAAAATATTTATAATATGTATGTTATTTTAATTACTAAGATTATAGCAAAGAAAATTCAACTACTAAATCTTATATGTAATATTAATAATAAAAATTGATATATTTTTATTCTTGTGTATTATGTTTTAAGTGTTTGAAACATATAACAGAGTAGATAAAATTTTAATTTTAATGTTCAAAGTTTTTATAATTTTCAATTAATAGAATAATTATATTTATTTAAAGTTCTTTAGAGTCCCTCCCAACAATAAATAATACTAGTGTGGAGATATCTTTGTTTAACCATTATTATTTCAATAGTAACTACAAAATGACCAAAAGATTTTATGCAATTATTATGGGTTGTTATTAATAAGATAGTAATACTGTTACGTATAATTAAGATAAAGATAAAGTATTACAAAGCTAGAATTTTTGACAAAAGTAGAATTTGACATCTAACTTTGAAAAGTATAATTTATGATAGATTATAGTTCTAAAATAAGTTGAACGAAGAAAAATCTATAAATATATCTATATATACATGTGTATAAAAAAATTAATAATTTCATTTTTTAATTAATTATTTTAAATCGAATATGAAAAAAAATTAAAAAAAATGTTTCAATAAAAAGTTGTACAGATTAAGTTGTATGATAAAAAATAAAAAATAAAATAGTCATATAAGCTTATCAAACAATCATAAAAAAACGTCAAATAAAATTTACTGGAAAATCATATAATGTTCATAAATGATTTTAGTTATTAACGTTTTATGTTAGATTAAAAATTTATGTTTTCTGGTTTTTTTTTATTTGTATGAAACTAATTGTTTTTAGAACATACATAAAGCACATCAAATAACTCGTGATTATTAAACTCACAAAAACTAAGGGAATTTCTTTAATTTAATGAGTACAAATATTTTTTAGCAGAATATCATTTAATCTTTTTCTTTTTCTTTTTCTTTTTCTTTTTTCTTTTAAATTATGAAGAAGTCACGCAAAAGGATTTGAAGGACGCCAACAAGAATGAGTCTGTTCATCCAAAACGACAACCAGAACAATGAACCTCGTTCTGCGACACTCACACCCACACACACACCGTCCTCTTCCCAAATTGATACCCGGTGGGAACCAGGCACACATACCCGCTATTTCGTACCGGTTGATTCTCGCAACTAGGCGACCATACCCGCTACTTCCCGCCGGTTGAGAACGTTATTGGAGGAAACAGGGACACGGGTAAGTGAACCAGTTGAGGTGGGGGGCATGCAACAAACAGTAAGGGAAGGAGGAAGAGGAAGAAGCAGAAGGAAGAGAAGGCCAACTTGTGAGGAGGTGGAGGAGGAGTGATTCAACGAAATCGCGACAACTCGACATCGAAATCCGATCTTCTTTTACTTCTGGGTCTTCGACTACCACCCCCTTCGTTCTGAACCCACGCACCCAGGCACGCACTCACGCATTCACGCCTTCGATCCCATCCATACATCCATCCATCACCTCAAAAACCCCCCCCCCTGCCCCCTCCCCAGACTCCCTCCATCCCTCTCTCTTCTCATCAAGCAACCAATCAATCAATCGTTCGTCCCGTCTTCCCTTCTCTCCTTAGATGCATCCTGCCGACCGCCTCTTTTGATCCGGTATTTCTGTGGAGTTGAATCCTACAGTTGGGTAAGGCTGAAGGATCTCTGGATTTGGCGTTTTGGCGCGTTGGCGTGTTGGTTCGGAGGTAGACGTGGTTTCCAAGTTAGGGTGGTGAATTCTTTTGTGTGTTGTGGGAAGGGTTGGTCAGTGTCGTGGTTTGAGCCTGAGTGTGGATTGTACACAGGGGAATGCGGATTATGTGAATTGGTTGTGTGACTGGGGTTATGTGTTAGTGGGTTTTTTCTGAACTTGAATTTTGGGAGGTTGTCGATGTGTGGAATAATAAAGGATGTGGCATTTCAGGAGTCAGGTTGTGATTTGATCATCGGTACGAGATTTAGATGAATTGATTGTCGGTCGTTTAGAGGAGTAAGTGGAGGCTCTGAATTTCGAAAGGAGATAAGGGTGTCTTTGTTTTGTTTATCAGATTAGGTTTATAGGGGAGAGATAGAAAAAAGGAAAATATGCAGCAAACGGGGAATTATGGTGAAGGCTACATGCCTCCCGCTCAAACGTATGCCTCAACCGCCCCTCCCTCGTACAATATGGGTGAATTGAATGCTTATGGTGTTTCATCTGGCCATGCTGCGTATGGTCAACCTCAAGAGACGGCGTATATGGCTCAAGTAGCAAAGCATCCTGCCCATGAGCCTTCTTATAACCCTAATTCTGCCTACGCTCCTTCCCAACCGTCCTATGCACCTGCTGCACCATCCTACGTCCCTGGGGCTCCTGCTGCTCCTGCAGCTCCTTCATACGATTACTACAGCAGCTCAGCTCCACCTCCTTCTACTCCCTCTGCCCAGGCTCCGTCTTACTTAACTCCTTCGTACAGTGATGGAGGCTATGGTGGGCTTCAGAGTTATGGAGGAATAGGATCTCGGGGATCACTCGGAAATGAAACTGAATCCTTGGGATATCATCAGGCCGCATATGATCAGAGTGGATATAGTAGAGTTGGATATGATCAGGTTGGATATGGAACACATGGCGGTGGCGTTGGTGAGCGGGATGCATATGGCGCCCAGCGTGATGGGGGAGCAGCCTTCAACAATAAATCATATGATGATGGTGGGTACGCTGAGGTTTATGCCTATGATGGAGGCCAGGGAGGGGAGCCTTATGGTGCTCGCGGTACAGGAAGTAGTTCGTGGAAGACTATGGAATCTTCAGGAAGTTTTGGATCTTTCGGTAGCTCGGGTGGATCTAAAGTGGCCAGAGCCGTACCTAAGGTGGAAAATGATAATATATCAGGAGGGATTCAAAAGTATCGTGTGAAGTTGCTACCTGATACAAAGGATGTCATCTGTCAGGTATGCTATTATCAAAGAAGATGTAGTAGCTTCGGGTTCCCTCGCTGGTTTATTTCATTATTCAGGGTGTGTATCACATCACATGGTTGAATAGACCACCTAAAAAAATTCCTTTATTTCCTTCTTTTTTTATTTTCCATCAGATTGAAATCATGAACTTTGTTTCGTCTTCAGTTGAGAAATCGTGAACGTCATTGGAAGACGATATTATTTTTAATTCTGCGCAAGCTAGAATAAAAAAAATAAAAAAAAAAAAAAAAAATTGTAGCTGTTGAGGTGCTAAGTCACTAATATACTCTGAATTCGGACAATTGCAGATAGGTCTCGATGGTGTCCGCATGCTGGACCCAAGTACAAACAGAACCTTGCGCATATACCCACTGGAGACGATCACTCGTTGGGAGGTAAGTCATCGTTTTCCACTTCGAGGCTGGATTCAAAATTTGACTTCGCAGTGAAGTTTCCGTCGCCAATATTGTAGAATTTTTGTGGTGCTATGAGTACTTTTATATATTTTTGTGTGCCTTCTGTGTGGGAAACAGGTGAAAGATCCTGCCATCTTTACTTTTTGGGCCAAGAGTGCCGTGGATATTGAGCAGCGCTGTATACGGCTGCAATCCAGCTCGTACACGACCAGCGCCATTCTTGATACGATTACCGCCGCGTGTGTCCAGGTTCGTCTTTTGCAGTGGTGTTATCTTGGAAGTGTCAGCTTAATTTTTTTGTATCTTTGATTTCTTGGTATCTGTATATAGCTCAAGTCGGTCCGAAGAATGTTTAATCATGAGTATTGTCGAATGTGGTGGTTCATGCCTTGGGAGGTTAGCTATGTGAGATGGTGGACAAAGATGAGTCGAGCAAGCCATCTGCTGGAAGCACTGCACCCTCAGATACTACTCTCGGACGAAAAAGTTTTATTGGCGACTGGGTTCCGTTTCGACCTCGAACTGCCAGTGAGGAGGAGAAACAACATTGGGTATTGATCTTCTATTGTTTCGTGTGTCTTTTGTACACTTATTACTAGCGAACCAGCTTCTAACACGTCCTAAGAATACTCATGTATCTGTTATTTCTGAATGGAAATTTTATCTTGCATTTTATGTATCTCATGTTAAACGTTGAACTCTCAGGTGCCAGATGAGGCAGCTACGAAATGCAGCAATTGTGATGCTGATTTCTCTGCATTTGTTCGACGGGTATGTAGTTACTTCCAGCGTATTCATTGTTTGATGAGGCGCGGTTTGGAAGGCTTTAGGTCTTATTTGGCTTCTGATCTTTTGGGCAACTGCTGGGGTCATGAGGAAACCTATTAGATCGTATTAATACATTTAAGACATTGAGTGATTGAACAGTAGGATGGCTTTTCTTTGAAAGACTCGCTTGATAATGTCGTTTGTTGTCAGAACTGTAAAATAGTCGGCAATTTTTCATTATCGAATCAAGTGTAGCTTTTCCATACCGTACTGATTCTTGCTACATTTTTGCGTGGGTGTAATAGCATCATTGTAGAAATTGTGGAGATGTATTCTGCGATAGGTGCACAAGAGGAAGGACTCCACTGACATCAGAGGAAGGTGCTCAGCCTGTACGAGTGTGCGACCGCTGCTTGGTACGTCTTTCGTGACCTGGATTGTCTCATGTCCTTCCCAGTGCGGGAAAATTGTGTATCCATCCTAAAGGTGGAGGCTAAGGCTGTTGATTTACTATATCTGCAGGCTGAAGTTTCACAGAGACTGTCTAATGCCAAGGAAGCAAGCAAAGTACCCGTCCAGCGTACGCATGAAGATTTGGCCAAGAAGTTGCAGGTAATTGGGGTAGCAATTACGTTTCATGTACATGAGATAACAGCCTTTTTGATCCTACTGAATATTGTATACGAACGTTTCTTTGCCTTGTCCGTGACTGATGGATTGGTGTAAATATCATCTTTTGGCATGCCAACGACCTGCAGGAAGAACTTGAACGGAACGCAGGAAGGAGAGAGGCTTCGAACAGCAAAGGAACCACTGGAGGCAGTAGTAACAAAGAATCTGGTACATCTGTTCTCAACTGTAGCAGATGTGGAGCCATCTCGTTGGTAACAGGTGGAAACTCTCGCTGTCCATCTTGTGGCTCTGAATCCTCAAACAATGTTCAAGGTAGCAGTTACAATTCATCTGGTGCAAAAGGCTCTGGGCCAAGAATGAGGGAGGTGGCCTGTCCTACTTGCACTGTTCATCTGCAGGTCTGTGTTCTTACTCTGAACTGACGGTATCTCTTTTATGCACAATTTTCAAATCATGGCACCAGCACCAAATGCCTGACATCCTCGCTACTTTGTGTTCAACAGGTTCAAGTTCCAAGCTTTGGGACAGAAACAGTTGAATGTGGAGTTTGTCAGCATCCATTTCTTGTCGGCGCTTAATCTTAAAAGACAAGCCGCAGATGCAGTATTCTTATACGATTTGCATTATTGAATCGTCTCTTCACTTCACATCTGATCAACTTGACACCTGCTTTTGGAGATTGTCAAGCTCTTTGAGGGCTCCTGGAGGGATCCTTGCAGTTTAGAGTACTGTTTTGTACAGATTTTAAGACTCCCAAAAACTTGTTGACTATCGATTTCAGCATTCCATTGCTGGCAATACATCCATGACAAGCGAATCTCGGAATTAGTGATGCACCGTCTTTGTAAGCTTCCAATGGATGCTTCAGGTGGACAACTCTCTTGCAATGAGTGTTTGCTCGAAGGACCTATCCTATCTACGCTTAGTTTCTGTAGCGGAGTATTGTATGTAGTGTTACTGCTGGTTTAGGAACTTCACCTGTAGAATTCAGTCATTCGGTTAAATAATTTTGCAGGCAGACCGTTGATCATGAATTGCTCGTCACATTATCTGAAATGTGTCCCGCAGAGCAGGTTCAGAAAAGTGTAATAGTGAAAGTTCTGTAAACATTGTCTTTCAATATAGAGAAAGTTCAGTTTTTATGCTCTTCAGCATCTGCATGTGACTCTTGTGGATCGTGAAATGTATGAGGATTGTTCCACGACTTGTGTTTGTGAACTTAAATCTCGTTTCCTGTGATAATCTATCAAGCTTGTTTTTTTTTTTTTTTTTTTTTTTTTTTTTGGATTGCATTTCTCTACAGGACGATTGCCCGAGGCAAGCGAATTTCCGAACTTGCAAAAAAACCGTGCAGCAATGTGTTTTGTTGTCGGAAGTGAAACAGACGTCCCTATTGCTCGCATGTGGCAATTACTCTGCCGAAGAATGCAAGCAAAAGAGTGGTGGACATACTTGACACCTACCTGAATAAGTATGAATAACTAAAAGGTCGATATCCTCATCGAAACTCAGAACAAAGATGTTATTTATAGGCCATCATCGTTACACAGCTTCCTATGAAGAAAACTACACAGCATTAGAGGTTCCATGTTGTACAGCTGGACAATTCTTCTTAGAAGTACAAAACGCACCCCTCATGAATGCGACTACAGGGAGTTCAAGTCCTGCGTCAAACATTCTTGACAACCATGTTCAGCCCTAGGACCGGAAAGGCCTGAATGATGCTGGAACGCTTGTGGATGGCAGTTTGTGTGACCTACTGAAAGGATTCCTTTGATGAGGAACACCTCACGCCACAACCTTACTCTAAAAAAAAACCAGTGCTTTCAATATCGAAGCACGATGAAAAAATAACATTCTACCCCGACGTTTTGCAGTTAACTTGGAAAGAAAGCCGCTGATATACATATATTTACTATTCTCAGAAATCTGAAGTCTCGCCCTTGGTTACCTTGTGGGACTTTTTAGGCGAACCGGGCTCCTGGTTCGTTTCCGGAGCACTCGGAGCTTCCTGATACGGTGTGTTGGCGATTTCATTATCCGGGTCGTAATCGAGGTCCAGGGACCTGTTAATGGCTGCCCGACCTGATTCCATGCATGGTTTGCAAGCTATCTCGACAGCTCCCCAGCCGAGAAAAAGAGCTACCACAACAAGAACTGTGGTCACAATCGCCCCCATATCCGAGCCTCAAATACTCCCGCCTCGTCACTAATTATAAAAAGGCCGTCACAACACCCTGATCCAAGAGCAACACCTCAGAATTGATCAGTTCACAAACACTGACAAAGTGGAGGGTTCCCCTAACGTCTAAATAGCAGCATCCCGAAGCAAAAATGTTGCTCCAGTTTCGCAATTCAACAAGCACAGTCCCAAGCCAGAAAGCGCGAAAGCTAATCTCAAACATCCGCAGCAAAAACCCACCAATTTATCAACACTTGTGTTGCAAAATTCTCACCCTAGAATTCTTGCAGACGAAAAACATTCTACCTACTTCCACAAACGAGAGCAAGAAGCCTGACCCACTCAAAATGTGGCGACAACCAAGCCATGGCCACAGATAGGAAAAGTAAAAATAAGTAAATATATAAAAATCAAATCAAATAAATATATGAATCCTCCAATACGCTCTGCAAACAACGCACATTCAGCAAGTCCTGGTGAGTAAACGCACCTCCTCGCCCTCGAATTGCAACGCGATCCTCCGCAACAACAAAGCAGCCCTCCCTGGGAGCAGGGGTAGTCTTCTCTCCAACACAGCGAATGAACAGTTTTCATCCACTTCGGAGAAAATTATCGGCACTCGAGGTCCAGCGCATTCGCCAAGAGCAGACGACGTCGTGTTCCACGCGGAATGGACTCATTGTGTGACGTGGCAGAGGTCATGTTCTGACACGGGCACTTTGGAATCTACCTTTGAGCATCACCCCCCCCCCCAACTCTCGCATTTGCTGAAGTGGGTTGCTCTCTTGTGTTGTTTTCGAACACCTTCTCTTCATTAGAAAACCCTAATTTGGTGCAGATCCTGTTCAACATACATTGTGGAAAGAGGAGTAAAAAGAATGAAATTGCTTAGAGTTTTCATTTTGATATTTCATCGTTAAAAATTGTTATAATGTTCACATTCTTTTTTCTCTATTGTAGAAATTACAACTATTAGAATAAAGTTGAACTATATCATGAAACATATTTAGTTAATTCATGGAATAATAAAATACCAAATAGACAAGAGCATGAAATTGTATAAAAAACATGAGACTTAACAAAAACAAACATGTATATGTATGTAATTAGGATATCAATTTATTTTTGACGTCTATCATTTCAAGGCACTAACATAAACATTCTAAAACTAAATAAATTAGAGTTTTTATGTATATTGAAATCATCATAAATTGAAATGTATTAAAAATAATATAAATCAACACTGTTCCAAAACTGAATTTTGTGATGTGTTTGTATAAATAATATTCATAAAAACATTGCTGACAACTTACTTGCCTAACAAACGCCTGGTTATATGTATACAGTCATACAAATTGCATTGATGAAACTTAAAATAAAAATAAAAAAATGTTGTGAAATAACGAAAAAATAAAGTTAATTTATACATTTATATGGTCACATGTTTTTGAATTCTAAAATCCTGAATGTGGGTATAATTTTTTTTTCAATGCTATAATTTTTTTCTTGTATATTGATAGCATTTGTTGGTGCAATTCTTGGTTGCATGATTGTTCCTGTGATATATTATCATATAACACAATACCAAACATTAATAATTTGCTTTCAAATATTACTCTTTAAGCAAAGTATGATCCTCCAATGTTAATATTAATATTTATTAGAAATACAATTAAATTATAGTAAATTTTAAAATATATAAATAATAATATATAAAATATGTTTTATGGATAAAAAGTTTTAAAGAAACATATGTTGATCTAAACAATTGTAAATTATTAAATATTAGATTTTGATTATAAATAATAATAAAATTAAAATAGCATGGAAATTGACATGAATACAAATATATATATATATATATACATGCATACATACATATCCACAAAATATGTACATAAAAAAGAATTTTAATAGCTTTAATAATTGACTACATTTGAATTAATATAGATATCTACTTGTACAAAACAATGGTGTCTATGTGTTTGTTTGTCCATAAAAATTACTACTTGGTTAAGGCTGTTGGCACTGTTCAAAACCATAGTTTTAAAATGTTTAAAATTTAATTTAAAATTTAAACTGTTTAAAATTAGTTTTTATCTCACCCTCGGTTTTTAGTCATTGTTTTCAACTCCCAATTTAAAGCACTCATATGCTTGGTTTAATATATGATCCCTACCTTGGTAAAATATATTTCATTTATATAAAGTTTACTTAAAATCCATTATTGTTTAAATTGATTAAGCTTTGATAGCACAAATGCAACAAATAAGAATTTTTCAATATTAAAGTAAGTTTTTAAAGTTTTAAAATTACCTTCTTCATAAATTTTTATATTAGAGATGACTAACAAGAAAACCTTTTAATCAATTTGCAATATACATATATAATGCTGCAAGTTGCATAATTTTATCAATCATACTTTTTTTATTTGACATACCTCCCGCGTTTATTGTGTATAAATTTGGATTTTTCCAATAACATTTATTAGAAAATACATTTATATAAAATAATAGTAAATTTATTTAATTAACTTGATTTATTTACGTGTGTTTATTCATCAAATTAAAATTTTCAAGAAGCTTAAAATTAGTATAAAAACTTTATTCTCTAAAAAAAGAATATTGTATAACTTTTAAAGATTATAATATTTTTTGGTAACCTTTTAATAATTCATTTTCATCCCAAAAAAATCCCATTTACGTAAAAATATTAGTGATTTAAGATTATTACAAAGATTATATAATTATTTAGCTTGCTAAATGGATGTTCTCAAAAAATATATATATACACATAATTAATTGTCCTTTTGACTAGTGCCTATAATTTGAGAATACTAACAGAACAATCATAAGATTATTATTATTATTACTATTAATGTAAAAATATTTATGTAGAATATATCTTCTTTTCTTTTTTAAAATATTCAAAGTATAAAATTTTAAAAATATATATTTTACAGTAAACTAGCTTTTCATAACTATTTAAATCAAAAATATAATTAGAAGATAAAAAATAATTAGGAGTTTACTTGATCTTTTCTATTTATAAATAAATAAATAAATAAGTATTTTAAAAAACTAGACCTTATAAAGAAAATATGTTAGTAGACATTTTTGCACCAAGGTTAGGACTTTTAATTACCTAAAAACATCAAGGAGCACCCACATGCTAGCCATGCTCATTACTAATATGCTTTGTTATATATAACATTATACACAAATACAACAACTCCAATTACATTACTTCTAAATTTATATTTGTATAAAAAAAAAATGCAACATGCAATTGCTTATGCAAAAATATATCTATACTTACATTCAAATTAAAAAAAACATAAATGTTTGTACTTGATATTTATTGATTGTTATTGCATATGAGACACACAAAAAAAAATTGTTTCTGTCTCAATGCAAAAGATAGATCCAAATTATTAAAATTGTAATGCTTTCTAGTATAAAATAAATGTAACTAAATTAGAATGTGTTTAAAATTTATTCTTTAATTATTAGTAGAATAAAGTTTTGAATAACAATTTCAGTCTTATTATAAAGACCACTTGTAAGATCAAGATTTTAAAGAGTCATCGAAAGCACACCAACTTTTAGACACAATTTTAAAAATAGCAATGCACTCATTTCACAAAATTTTAGATATTATATTGTATCTATATCTAGTATTTTCTTGTATATTTTAGTATTTATATTTAAAAAAGTTTGTAATTTTTTTACATATTGGAAAATTGCTATGTTAATTTTTATTATTTGATCATTGCAAGAAATCAAAATGGCACATTTTTTTAAATTCGTACCTAAAATTATATATTATAGACAATGCATTAAGTTTTCCTTGCTAATAATTTTAAGACTATTATTGCCCAAATTTTATAATGATCATGCAAATGTCAAATTTTAAAGATATGTGTGCATTTATTAGCTATGTCATCTCATATATTTTGAAAAAATATAAAATGATGTACAAGTTGAAAATTATAAGAATTATATAAAAAATTATATAATTTATTAGCTATGTTGTGAATAAGACCTATATATTTAGTCCAAAATATAATCAAGTTAAAATTGGATAAGTAAACTTGATGGTTATCTATTTACTTTATTTTTTCTAAATTTTTGTTTTGACTTTTTTATAAGATTCTATTAATTATATTTTTTAGTTATTTTTAGAAAAATAGATTCTTTTGAAATTCTAACAAAGTCATATCAATTGTTTTTTGTTTCATGAGATTTGGCATTTATAAAATATTTATGTAAATAAGAAAAAAATGCTTTATCATTGGAATTCTTTCATTTCAATGATAAAGCTTATATATATATATATATATATATATATATATATATGACTTTTTAAACTGATAATTTATTATTTCTATTTGAAAAATGGCTCAAGACAACACACAACAATGACATACAAATGATGGCTCTTTGTTTTTCAAGTCTCAAAATTCTACTATTATATATAATAATTAGTACTTTTTTTTAGGTATTTGTGAATTCAACCATTTATAACTTTGAATATCCTTAGAAGCCCTATTGCACCATTGACTACTTTGTTTTTATCTCTAAAAATTGGTTAAAAATATTACTTTGTATTTTTTCTCATTTCTTAAAAGCTTGACTACAACATACACATGCAACACATATATTGTGTTGTAGAATACATGTTTTTGTATAGTCCATTGCTATTAAAAAAGTGTAATTATAAATTTAGATAGAAAAATGAAATAAAATATACCTATAAAATAAAAATAAATGTATTGGATTAATGTATTGTAACAAAATATTCTTCAAATAGATTAGGTCCTTAGATGCCACCCAACGAAAAAGTAAAAGTAGTATGAAAAAGTAAAATACGGGGCCCACGTGCTGGTTTCAAAAAGCCGATCCGAAACGCATAGGTTATGTCCGCTACTCTCACTCTATCTCTGTGTGTGTGTGTGTGTGTGTGTGTGAGACCTCATTCAAACCTCGAGAATGGCTCCATCGTTCCGAACAATAATTTTAGCCGGGACGGGTGCAAAAATAAGGCCCCATCTCTTTACTCAGGATGGGCTCCACTCACTGCCATCTCATTACGAGACCCTTACTTCTGGCCCGGCTTGCGGCGTTTGGTGCGGGGAACGTGGCCCTCTTCAGGGCAGGTCAGAGGGATCGCGAGAACCAACACTGTTCCCCAAGTGCCCCAAGACCAGGTTCCCAATTCAACCCCCCCCCCCCCCCCCATCCCCCGCGGTCCGCTTTGAGCGCCATCCCCTAATTTCTCTTGAATTTTTTCTCACAGGGTTTAGCAAAATTTCAGAAAATTGCGTGTCATTTATTTCCCCGCCTCCCCTGGTCTATTAAATGCTTTTAATCAGGAATTGAACTCTTTCGAGGGTTGATGGTGAGACTTGCCGAAGTCGGAAGGTGCTCCGGGTGCAAGTGCTGGTGGTGGTGGTTGATGGAGCCAGCAAGAAGGGCGGGGTGAGTTGTGTGAACTCTGGATTTGAAGCTCCCATCCAGGTTGATAGATTGTGAGATGGAGGGCGGGGCTCGCGGAGGCGGCGAAGCTTGTTGTTCGCAGGGTCACGGGAAGGTGATTTTGGAGTAGATTGAGTTCTTGTGCCAGTTAAATTAACATGTTTCTTGTGGACGTTTGTAGCCACGCTGAGACTCTGAGATACGCGGAGGTGTTGGAGAAGGCAGTCGTGGAGGGAGAATGTTGCAGGAGTGCGACTTCCTCTCGATGAGAAGATCTTGGTTGAGGCTCTCGCGAAAGGATTTTATTTCAGTGTTGATGTAGAGCAGCTGGTGGATTGCAGCAGAAGCCATCTTGGTCTTCGGGAAGCGTTTATGTCCTGGATCGCCTGCAATGCCAGGTAGCGGGAGCTCCGCGAATGGACGACTGGACTGCGTGAAACTAGATTCAATTTGTGGTTTTCGCTACATGCTAGTCTGATTTTAAAGGATTCATAGTTCAGTGTACGTTGCCATACATTGGTTGAAATTCGCGCCGGACGAAGAGAGGCAAATGAACGGTTGAAGGTTTAGGCACTTGACCTCCGCTTGAGAACTTGACGTAAGGACGAGTGAGGCTTGTGCGAGATGCTCCAGACCCGAAAATAATGCTGGAGCAGGTTATGTACTTTGAACGTAGCAGTGAGCTATTGTTATCTTCGGGATCATGCAACAGTTAAGCGGGTGTGTGCTTTTAGAAGCTCATTCATAAAGATTGTGTTCTACATGCAGGATGATGATTGACAAGTCCGTTTTGTCTTGTTGACTAGCAATGTGTAGTTAACCGATCACAACAGAAATACGTTAAGATCAGATTGTAGGTTTTCTCAAGAACAATGGCCGTCAAAATGCTGGCTTGCATGAGTTCGAAAACCTTGGAAGAGGCCGTCGAAGCCGACTATGAGAAGGACAAGACATCGTCCAAGCCGGAGACCAAATCTGACTTGCGAAAAATGAAGTCATTTACTTGTCAGACCCTGATCCATCCGTCTTGGTCTTTTAAAAGCCAAGGAAATCAAGGTGTGTCCCCACCTCTAGCAACTCCACCTCAAGCAAGTCGTCAGTCAGAGGGAAAGGAGGAGGTCGCGTCCGGGAAACCTGATGGAAAAGGTTGGAAAAGTTTCTTTGCAGCGCTGCAATGCTCGAGGGCACCGCTGCGATCTTCAGACGTACGTTCTCTCTGCCGCCAATGTTCTAACTGTCATGCGACTCTACGTCTTAGCCATACTTTCTCTTGAATATGTCCTCAGATTTGAAAATTTCCGATGACTGGCATTGTCGAATTTGAAGGTCGTTGCAGTACTCGGTTGGGGGCACTGATGTTCATATTCGCTAGTTTCGATGTAATATCCCTCGATTGCGCTGATGACACTACGGTAGGTCAGAAATGCAAGAGTATTGGGTTAGGTGAGAGACTATTTTTTCCTAGGGATACCTCAACTAGAAGTTAACTAAACCTTCTGAATACCGTATATGTGTCGAATGTTCGAGCAAATCGATTCAGCGAATCGTTTAATTTTTTACATTCTTTAATTTTGATTTTATCTACACTGGCGCTGACTTGCGTTGCAGTTCAAGGGAATGGCGGCTAAGTTGACAGCAGGAGCTTGTACAACTTCTTGCAAGCCTTGTTCAACTTCTGTTTCAGAGCAAGACGCTGCGCATGCTGTCCATCCAGAGGCTTCATTGGACAAATACAGTGAGGCTGATTTTTCGCTACCAGTGGCCAATTATCGAAATCCTAATGTGTTGACAGATGATCAAGGAAATAACCTCGGAAGTAATAATGGAGACGGCTCAGGTTCTCCGCGTTCTGCTCAAGCGGTCTCCCCGGAGCAGAAAATCAATGCAAGTCTTTTTGTGTTTTTCAGAAAATTTCGTCAGAAATACTTCGTTGCCGAGGATTGTACCGATTCCCATTATTTTTCTTCATATTTTCAAGCGTGTTAATAACATTTGCACAACTTTCTGAGGATTTCACCACGTCTTAATACTTCTCGTTCTATCAATTGCAGAGTAAAACTCCTACCCCAATTGAAAGCCCAGTTGTTGCGAGCTATCACATGAGCAATGGAACTGCTTTGAAGATTCCTGAAGAACCTCAAAATTTGAATCGTCTTATGCCGGCTGAACCAGGTGTTCCTGGCACTGAATGGTTTTCACAAGTAGAGCTTGGAGTATTCATAACGTTTGTGACTCTACCTAACGGTTGCAATGCTCTAAAACGAATTAGATTCAGGTAATACTAGTACTCTTTGTATGGACCTCTGGTTGAATGTATAATTGTTGACTATAGTACTGAATCACCATTTCTTGTTGCGGATGTGAGGATGGTTGCGAAGTAGGACACATTGGGATTAGTTGGGTGACCGCTTCGAATATGTTGTGACAGCAAATTACATGCTGTGTGAGAATGTAATACCATTCAATTCTCTTTTCTGCAGCCGAGACATTTTCAGCAAAAAAGAAGCTGAATCGTGGTGGGCGGAGAATGGAAATCGTGTCCGTGAAGTCTATAACGTACCAGCTTTCGAAAGGACAACGACAAATGGTCACCAGGCTACTTCAAGTTCAGAAGAAGAGGTACTGCTTCTCCATCTCTGAGAGAAGTTGTCTTGTGAGAAAGCTCTTCGACGAAATCCCACAAGTTCTGCTAAAGACACGGTTGGCAATGACTGTGTCTGATTGGACTCACTCTGGGGTTTAAAGCTAGGATAGCCGACAATGCATGCTTATTGATTTAAAATGAACGCTCACGCCCGAGCTAGACAAATTGAAGAAATTGAACCTGAACATGGCTCACAACATGGAAATGATTTAATTCTTCAGCAGGTTTCAGGGGTATCAGGGTATGCTACCCCCTCCTATAGTCCGCAGGGGTCACGAGGAGCTTCAACAAGGGATTCACCGGCTGGCTACAGTTCTGGGATATCGCGTGGAGCATCTTTGAGGGATACATCGAGCAGAGAGGCCTCAATGAGAGAACCGTCGATCAGAGAATCCATCAGACAGTCGATGAGGGATGCGGTCAGCGAACATTCCGAATCCGCAACGTGTACTGAGAGAGAGACTGAAACAGATACAGTTGCTGGAAGCGTGGCAGGTAGCGACAGAACTTATGACGGCGAAGAATCCACTTGGGTTGAGGAAGACGTTCCTGGTGTATATTTAACATTGAAGAATTTGACTGGAGGTGGTAGAGAGTTGAAGCGTGTCAGGTTCAGGTAACGGAAAACTCTGAAGCCTATCAGAGTGTGTAGGCTTTCAAGTATGTAGATTTTAATGTTTCATGTAGTAACCATCGTGTCTATGATAAACCTAACGTGCAGTTCGATTTTCAAAGACCATATTATCTGCATATCCATCCGTTTATCTATATAGATGAGGAGTGTATGTGTGTGTGTATATGTAAGGTTTGTGTTGTACTGATTCACCTTGGCTTGGATATTGCAGTCGTGAAAAGTTCACCGAGAAACAGGCCAAAATATGGTGGGACGAGAACCGCGGGCGAATTCACAAACAGTATCTATGACTTCAAATAACTTTACTATCAGCTGTAGCTGAAATTCGATTTTGATGCCTGGGCAGTTACATGCCTCCTGGTGGAGTCGGAATTGTCTTGCTGCGGAAGTCGCACAGGCACTGCAGGTCAAGCAAGGACGTATTGCTGAAATTTTATCCGATTTTTTCTAAACGATTTATTCATATTTATATTTTCTAGTATGTATCGAGCCTTCATTCCGGGAATCAAACTGTTTCAGGGGTAGTTGTAGCAAGAACCGCGGTAATTGAAAGGCATCCTCTAAGGTTTGAGCTGTAGTGCAGTGATATTCGCGTAACATCATTGTTTCGTTAAAAGTGTTTAGGAACATGGTTCATGCAGTATAGGTGGTAGTTTGGGTGGTTGTGTTTAAACTAGTGTATTTTGTAGATTGTGTCAGTTCGAGATCCGTCTAGGACAGGTAGAAAGTAGACGAATTTCGTCCGAGGTGGAAGAACAGGTGTTGTAAGGTGTTCCATTCAGAACCACGGTGAACCGGTCCTGAATGATTGAGCACTTCAAAATGATCTATCAGAGCCGTCTTGTATTGTTGGAAGATTCATATAAGACTCATCAGTCGGTGGTTAAGCAAGTTGTAAATTTTTAGTCTGGGTCGCAGCTCGGCAGTGCCACATGGCAGCTCTCATCCTTCGCTGTGCAGCTTAGTCAACTTATTGAACGTATTAAAACACTTAACATTTTCTTCAAATAGCTACTTTGTACTTGTTTGTTGCAGTGATAATACTGTGTTGTTGGAGTTTGCGAAGAAGCGCGGTGTTATGCTTCCGGTGCTGCAGCTTCTCTGCTATGTGATTCTGATTTCAACCACTAGACATACTGTAGCCCGGTTAATTACATGAGTACATGATTAAGAAAATAACAAATCTGAAACTTGATCAGTTATTCGGAACCTCAAGAGCGACATCCCAGATCAAGAAATACGTCCTCACGACTGTCTTTTGGGGCCTTTTCTGGTTGAATCTGTCGGTTGATTTCTCATAAGGGCAGTTGAGGAGAAGAGAAGTCACACGCACATATTGGAAATCGCATGTGAATGCCACACAAATGGCATTACTCGCAAGTCCTCGAACTTGACTTTCAAGCGGTATAGTTTTCAGGATTTTAACAATTGCACTGCTGATGGTCTGACTGGACAAGCCATGTGGAGAAGCTGGACGTTCCGATCCTCGTTCGATGATGTCCGCAGGGAATATCGGTGATAACAATCCAATAATCCCCCTCCTGATGATTACCTCTCGTCTACGATCGTTGTCGCGGCACTTGTCGAGAAAGCGTTCACCTGAGACCTTGTCTTCAATGACTAAGTCAAAGTAATGTTATGGTTCTGAGTGAGGCACTAGCCGGTTAGGCTACTAAGAATCACAGAGAAAGACTCTGTAGCGACAAACTTCACACATCCCAACAATATTGCATCAGGTAATACCAAGAGAATGTCAGATAATCGCTATGTTCTGGATGCCTGAAACATGTGTCGTGGTAATTCGAATACACCTTTGAGGTTGAGAATCACGCCAGACCTCACTTTGACTCAGTGTAGTTAGTAATTAGCCTTTAATTAGGCGACAAGGCGCAACTATCACGTCATACATGAACTCGAAAACTCACTTCGATGCGGATATGAAGCTTCTTATGTTCGTGAGTTCAAGAAATCTGAACAATGCGGTCAAACTTTCCTGAGCGACACGAACTAAGGTAAACTCTCCACTCTTTCCTACGTGTGCCACTCCCAAATCATTTTCTTCTTGAATTTCCAGGAGTTGGCTTGACAACGAACTTAAGACGATAGAACTCTGACTAGAAACTGACTTTCCTGAACATCTATCAAAACTTCCACGTAAAGTGCATGTCGATTGTGGAAAACAAGCTGGTATAACAACTTTATGCTTCATTTCCAGGAGTCTGCAGGGTGCTCTCTGAGCTGGATCGATTATTCAGTGTTCACTTATCTACTGGGACCATTTCACAAGCGATTGGTTGCATCGACAATATCTGCATCGTTGGTGTCTGAGCCTGAAGCCTTTTGATGGGATTCTCTTCACAAATGTTTGATTGCAGAATTCCCCTCTGATTAAACACTTTTGATTGGAGAGGTCTATGAATCTCCTGCTATTCTGCTACTTCTTTGAGAGCACCGATTGACAAACCAACTCATGTACAAGTTTGAATTTTCTGCGTTTGTTGTGTTTTGCAAAACTAGGTACTCCCCTGGAAGGGCTCAAGACTGTTCAGTCTCCGCATCGTGATCTGCGTTAGTTTCTGTTGTCTAACATCATTTGGGTGTTGCTTAGCATTCAAGTGTTGCTAAGTGTATATTGTGCATTATGGAGCATGTTTGCTTCACTATATATGAGATATGAATAAAAAGAATCCTGTGCCTTGTTTGAAAGCAAATGTAGTTGATTGATATCTCTAATTGTTTTCTAATTGTTTCCTAATTGTATCATCTCTTCCCATTTGTTATACAATTCAAAGAAAGGTAAATTCATGGTTTTTTTTTTCATTTGCCTACAAGTTTATAGTTTCTATTAATTTTCAAGCTATATTGTTTCTTAATCTTTTTTCAAGAAATTGGTCCTTATTTTTTTAATATTTTTTCTTCCTTCTAGTTTACTCTTTCATAACACTTGTGGACAAAACAATTTTGCCTTGTAACTTATATAGGAATGATAAAGAAGTGTTACTAATTATAATTACAATATTCTATTATTGTAAAAAATATTACAAATTGCTTTCAAAAGATGCAACACATGTTAGACCTACAATTAATCACCTATTTAATATTTATTGTGGTTGGAGTAATTTCACAAATGTATTTAACAAAGATGTTAGAATTATTATTTAAAAAAATCTTAATATATTTTCTTTTAAGATTTTATTCTTCTATTTAGAATTTAGTTGAGCCATGTATACAAATTTTTAAATACTTTTTCTTTCCTTAAAATGTAAAATAAAATAAATAAAATATAATTTTAAACTTTGATTTCCTTCTTTCTTCTATTGTATACTATATATATCTAGGAGAATGTTAAATAGACCCATGCTTTTACTAAAAGACCCATCCTTGATGAAGAATGTAATAATCATGATGAATATTGTTGATTTTTATTGGTTGAAGATCCAATAGTGGGAAATGAATCTAAAGGTCATTATTCTTTTTTTATGATGGTTAGGATGGATAGGTTGTTTTAGTAAAAACTTTGGTCTATTCAATCTCTCTCTCTCTCTCTCTCTCTCTATATATATATATATATATTATTTTTAAATATTATTATATTTTATTTAAACACCTAATTTTTTACATTAAAAACTAATTACTCAAGAAATTCAAATCCAACATGGTACAAATAAGTCAATTTCAAATGATAAGTACTTTCTTCAAAAACACAACATCAAGTAATTATCATGTTGTATACTCTTGTTTTAATTTATGACTATTCCATCGAACCTCTCATAGTTTCGTGATACCACTTTTTTGAACCATAACTAATCTTGTGAAGAAAAGAAAAAAAAAGAGGAAAAAATCCTCACCTTAGTACATGTAAAACAGATAACCAAGCATAAAACCCTTAAAAGAATATTCCTCAAACATTCTCCTTAAGACTCCCACCCAGAAAGCGTCAAACATCATAACCCTAAACCCGAGGCCATGGGACAGGGTCGGGAGAGCGGATATAGATGACGGCGCGGTGATAGGAGGGAAAGGGGGCCTCAGGAGGGGAATTGGGTTCGGTGTCGGGGAGGCTTGCGTAGCAGAGCTTGCTTCGTCGCAGCCCTAGAGCGAGCTCACTTTCCAGTGCCGGAGAGAGGCGAGGAGGGGAGAAGAGACTCACTCACTCACACTTACACACATCATCGCATCAAGCCTCTCTCCGCACTATGAGGTCATGGAGGGTCGCAACGCGGGCCCTGGCCGTGATTCGCAATGCTCAGGGCGTGCGTGCACCACCGTCTGCGGCAGCGCCGCAGCTTGCCCCCTTTGTGCCTCAGGTGCCCTTCCTTTCCGTTCTGTTTTAGTGTGTACGACTGTGTGTGGCATTTGAAGCTTAAAGTCTACTTTTCTGCCACTTTCACAAGCGTTTTTGTTATTCCGGTCGTTTGGTTGCATTTCGAGGATCGATGCGAAGGAATTTGGAGTGCTTAGAGGTTTTAGAACCGATCCTTTACGCAGATTAGGATTTTGTGTCAAAATTCTGTTGCACTGAATGGCGGTGATGATTGTTGTTTGTTGACATTGTGGGGATTCAGGGAATCAACCCTGGCCTTGTCAACATCTGAGGTTGATTGGAAGGTTCTTTCCGTGTTTGTTGATGATCTCCATTGCTTTGGTGTTTTGTTAGATGAGTAAATCAGACTCACGGTTGCGATTGTTCTAACTTGTTAATGTCATCTCGTGGAGCGAAGTTAGGTCTTTGGTCTGTCTCTCATTTGAATAGTTAATGCTGCGAAGTCCACAGAGGATTTTGCTTACGTCCAGCGATTTTATTGAGGTAGCTCCCGTTTACCATCAGACGTTAGAGTAGTATAGCTGTGACGAGTGTGCACGCTTGCATTTCCTTTTCAATCACCATATTGGCAGATGAAATATCGTTTGACTCAAATAGGTAGTGACCGCACTTGTATAAGTGCTTGACTATCTTCTCCTACTGTGGAATTTATTGAGAAATGAATCAGGACATATGATAAGTGTGAGTAACTTTGTAGATTTTTTGGGTCTTAATTTCATCGGGTTAGACCCGAATCAAACTCACATGAATAGACTTGTGCAGGAGGAAGCAACTTCCACGTTATGCATGGGTGTTTGCTAGGAGCTTTCAATGTCGAGCCCTAGGCCCTGAGTTTTCATCTGAGCGTTTGCTTGTCCCTGTGTGATACAGATTCAAAGACGAGAAGTTCCAAGTGTTAACTACTCTACTGCAACGTTTGCGGTATGTTTTTTGAGGTGTTCGTATGCATCAAGACATAGCTGATGTTCTGGGTTGGTCAGTAGCATTGTGCAATTCATAGGATAAATAGAGTCTTGGCCAGGTGAATTTCGGAGTTCTGTTATTATCACTGTACGCTGTTCATTGATTTGATAACCATATCCTTCGCCCGGCGTAGACACGCATTTACATCTGTGCAACTAAATCTTGCTTGTAAATGAACTGCTCTGAAGTGCAGCTTGTATCTCTCAGTTTTTATAGCTACAGTCATCGCTATTGTAACAGATTCTGTTCAACAAGCAGTAGTGTTTTATTTTTATTTTTATATGGACATATCAGAATATCGTCTTTACTATTCAGTACTGAAATAGCGATTCCGGGTTGTTGCAGCACGTGAATACACCAGATAACAACCCCGACTTGAAATGGGATTTTACTCCAGCGAACATGGAAAAGGTAGGTCGGTAGCTTCAACGAATGGTGTTCTTGTTATTTTCCTTTTAGTAACGTGTCTGTATGAAGATTGATGTGAGCTCCTTGATTAGTTACATGTTCGACTGAACTGTGCGTCCTCACCCTTCGGGATTCATTATACCTGTTCTCGCTTTTTACCATCTAAGCGGTTGGATGTCTCGTTTGCGAGCTTAGGTCAAGGAGTTACTCTCTCATTATCCCAAGAATTACAAGCAATCCGCAGTTATCCCGATGCTTGACTTGGCGCAACAGCAGAATGGTGGCTGGCTATCTGTGCAGGCCATGAATAGGGTACGTCTCAAGTCCTTAGCATTGGATATATTTAGCATGGCACGTGTATTGGTAGACCTCCCTTCTTCCATGTTTTTGCCAAAATTTCCTTGTTGTAAAGCAATTTTGGGTTAGTTCTATTAATTCCGGCTGACACTGAATTTGTAATGAAGATTGCAGAAATTGTCGATTACGCACCTATTCGTGTATACGAAGTGGCGACTTTTTACTCCATGTTCAATCGTCAACCAGTAACTATTTTTTACTTTTGACTTTGTTTACTTCTATTGCAAGTACTATCTTGTGAGTTAGTGTTAATCAAGTAATATTTGGGAAAAAAGACGTCCATGATGTCCAAAGTATTTTTCTTCGGATAATAACAGTGTGATTCTCCGTTTTAGAACATTGACTGTTGCCCTGTATGGTTAACAGGTTGGCAAATACCACCTATTAGTGTGTGGAACAACACCATGCATGTTGCGTGGGTCTCGAGACATCGAGGATGCTCTTCTTAAGCACCTTCATGTAGCCCGGAACGGTGTGTATTTGTTTTTCTTCTGAAAGTGACTGTACTACTGCCCCGCTTAACGTTCTGCACTTGATGAAGACTAAAAGTGTAGTGTTGGCTGTTTACGCTATTATTTTGATGGTCGTCATTCTGATCCCCTTGGTTGCGTTCTGTTGAGTTTCAAGCTTTTCTTGTTTTGAATTGGAGCTTACAATCGGTTGGACAATAAAGAATGTTGTCGGCATTAACAACGGTTGAAAATATCTGCAGAGGTTACAAAGGATGGTCTGTTCTCTGTCGGTGAGATGGAGTGCATGGTAAGTATATAACTTATCCTTGAGATCTATGTGCTTTTATGTTTAGCTCTGCTTTTCTTGCAATGCCTAGAATCCCATAGCGTTTCATGTTAGAATTGCGCATATTATGCTCTATGTGACATTTTCTTTATGAACTGTGGATTCTCAAGTGACGCCTCCCCTGTTTTGCGATGGAATTTGAATTGCAGGGCTGCTGTGTGAATGCCCCAATGATTGTTGTCGCCGACTACTCGAATGGTGTAGAGGGTTACTCTTACAATTACTATGTGAGTCCTGTCTATCTAACTGCAATTTGAATCTTAAGTTTGTGATATCTAAATGTGTAAAATTACAGAAAAATCATATTATGGTTGCCTTTGTACACTAAACAAAACCATTATTAGTATCTAATATTATCTTATATGAGATACTGATGGTCCTGGTTCATGTTGTCCCCGCCTTAATGGATTTGGAGCTGGATTTCCTGCTAACTTGATTCGTCGACTTTTATGTGTGTTGGCAGGAGGATTTGACACCTGAGCGAGTAGTGGAGTTGGTGGAGGAGCTGAAGCAAGGGAAGAAACCCAAGGTGCAATAAATCCCACTTTGAAACGAAGTTGTCTCGCATGTGTACTCCTCCCCGTTAGTTAAGATTGCTGTTTGATTATGAACGTTAAAACTATCTTCAGTTATCCCAGTATGTTTTAAAAATCTGACTTCATATATGTTATCCTCCATTTTATTACTACATTCAGATTCTAGTTCCTAGGATTCATCTCAGACAAAAACAAGTTTTGCTTCTCTTGTTTAACTTCGATTTGCTGCAGTTGGGTCGAGATGTCAACCTAAATTTTGACTTTTGTATATTGCAGTGGGGCACGCAACATCCAAAAAGAATCAACTGTGGACCTGCAGGCGGTACTACTACTTTGCTGTCAGAACCCCAAGCACCGCCTTGTCGAGATCTCGATGCATGTTAATTGATCACCTCGTGGGTATCTTTTTGCGGGACACTTTATTCCGGGTTCTAAGATAACCATTTTTCAATAACCAACTTGCTTCCTTTTGCAGAAAGTAGGCTGTTGATGTCATTGCACTTTCCTTAGCCTCGCAAAGTTTTCGAAGTGATGGTGCAACTGATTGTCGATGTTGCTATGTCTTGAAGGTCTCCTGAATGATGTAGACCTATATCTTGCATTCTAAATTTGAATCTCCAACATTTCACATCTACTCCAGATTATCTGACTTGTTCGTTGTGGTCATTCACTTCAGCCGTAAAATTAACGGGTACAACTTGACGTATTACAGCCTGAGCGTGTTCTAATTATTTTTCCATCCTTAAAAAAGAAACTACTCGACTACTTGTCATCCATCTCTAATTTTGATCTTTCTCTTGTGTGTTCTAGAACATAGCTTTTTCTCCTCCCTTGCGAAGTGGTTGATGTTCATGTCTGGCAAAGTTAATCAACTTGTACTAACTTCTACATTTTTAGCACAAGTGCTGTCCAGTTAAACTTAAGAAATATAAGGTTTAAACAATGACCTTAAACGTGCAAAGATATCTATGCAAAGCTTGGCATGGTAATGGTTCATTGTTTCTATTCTTTCACAATGGCATTTGGATAGAAAATCAGATCTGAAATTAGAAGTAAATGTTCTAATTTACTTGATAATGCACATTTTGTATGTTAGATACTAAAAAGTAAATACTATTTTATTTATAAGTTTTGGATGTTAAAGTTTTACATGTGATTTTTTCTAGTCTCTTTGATTTTAAATATGCTTAATCTTAAGACCATTTACAACCTTCAAAATTCTTCTTTCCTTCACACTATCACATTGTACATTGTGTCAAAATCTAAAGTATCTAGCTCACTGAAAAGTGATTAGACAAAGCTATTTTGTTAAATAAAATTTCCAAAAGTGAAAATCTTGCAAAATAAGTTACTTTTGTAAAATAATTTCTAAAGTTTTAATATTAATATATTTAGTTGTGTCACAATTATTGATATGTGAATAGACAAGCTGTTATCTATATTCACCCAAAGTTTCTCATTAATATTAAGTAAATAGCAATGTATGTACCATATTGGTATCTCACACATTAGTATCTAACAATTTATATATATATATATATATATATATATATATATAAAGATATATATAATCCAACAAATATTGTACAAACTTAACAAAATCTACAAATATAGAACTATTAGTTTCTATGAAAAACTCTAAACATCCAATAATTAATGAAAAAAATATTTATTTAAATTTCTTCAAGTAATTAAACAAGATTATTATAAGCCTTAAATTATTTATGAATAAGATTTTTAAAATTATTCTATTATAGTATAAATATTATATTACAAAAGAAAATATAACTTTTTATCTTTTTCATCCTTATTTTTGAATTCATAATAAAAAAAATCTTTTGTAACTTTACTATATATATTAAAATACACAACTGAACCATTTAATTATAAATTATATATTTTAGAATTTTTTTCATATAAATTTTATTTTTAATTATTTATTTTATAAAATTGTTAGGGACATAATCCTTAGAACCTTCTAGAGACAAGTTTCTAGAACCTTCTAGAAGCAAGTCTCTGGAACCTTCTAGAAGCTTCTTAGTTGGTAGAAGATGTTAGGGACATAGTCCTTAGAACCTTCTAGAGATAAGTTTCTAGAATCTTCTAGAAGCAAGTCTTTGGAACCTTCTAGAAGCTTCATAGTTGGTAGAAGTAGCTTGAGAAGCTTTCTAAATAGGAGTATATATTGGAATCGAGGCTAAAGAGTTCTTCAGTCTCGACAACACATCTCTTGGAGCTCTAGTTCACCTCTTTGGTGTTGTTCTCATCTGATTAATCTAGTTCTTGCCAGTTCTTCTTGAACTTCTTGTTAGATCTCGAGTCTGTATTTCTGTGTCCGTGACAGTTTGTCGAGACTTCACTCACCTCAGATATCAAAGCTAGTTTCTTCTTTGTTAGAGTGTAGACTACCCCTCTGCTTGGAAGTGTACTAGCATTTTAGAGGTTGCGGATTACCCTCCTCTAAACTGATACTTCTTTTGTTACAATATTGGAGTCTTATTCTTCTTGAAGAGAGTGGATTACCCCTTTTCTTGAAGCTCTTAAGGCATTTTAGAGGTTGCGGAGTACCCTCCTCTAAACAAATATTGTCTTCTTATAGAGTCATTTCTGTCCTTCTCTTAGAATGGCCGGGGGCCAAGATATTAATATGACAGAAAGTTCGGAGTCCAAGTTGGATGCTATTATGAATGCCCTCGCTACGTTATTGCAAAGAATTGCAGAGATTGAAGGAGTCGTGGCAAGGCTTCATAATGATGGAGCATCTAGGATGACACAATCTAGGTTGCACCAGCCTCAAACTTCTGCACTTGGAGAAGCAACTTTGCCTCAAGTTCGACAAGCACCGCTAGTTCTACAACATAAAGAGCCCTGAGTTAGCCTTCCAAACAAGTTCGATGGTACGCGTTCCAAGTTTCGAGGATTCGTCAACCAAATCAGGTTGATAACAGTTTTACAACCCGAACGCTATCCAACAGAGGAGTCACGTGTTAGACTTGTTGGAACCTTATTTATAGGACAAGCTCTATTATGGTTTGCTCCTTTGTTTGAGAAACGATCGTCCATACTAAACAACTTTGAAACCTTTTTGGAGGCGTTTGCGGAAGCATTTGGTGAACACCACAAGGTTCAATGGGCTACAACAAAGATCCGGTCACTACGACAAGGGATGCGCTCTACATCAGTCTATGCATCGGACTTCAAGCAATTAGCATGCGACATCAATTGGGACGAAGAAGCGTTGATGAATCAATTCTATTAGGATTTAAGGGACGATGTGAAGGATTTGTTGTTAACTCTTCCTGATCCGCAAATGCTCAACGAAGCTATTAGCCAAGCTGTGAAGTACAATAACCGCCTATTCCAACGCCGCCAAGACCAACGTTTAAGACAACATATGGTTCACCACGCCTCAACTATGTCGGCAAACAGCGTGAATTCACATTCAGAGATAGAAGACATGTAAATTGATGCGGTATGTGTCAAATCTCTTACTCTAGAAGAAAAAAAGCGGCGTATGGAAGAAGGTCTATGCTTGTATTGCGGTGAAGAAGGCCACAAAGTTGGAAACTGCCCCAAGAAACAAAATCGACGTATTGTCAAGACTAGTAGCACGTTTATTCAAGAAAACGAGGATGCCCAGCCACAATAGGAACCGTGCGGCTGGACAGTGAAATATCGCAACAACAACCAGGTTCTTTTCTTTCCGCTCAACCTGCCCTTTGTTTTACAATCCCTTTGCTTATTGGCCCTCAGAAACTGAGAACCTTAGCATTATTAGATTCAAGAGCATCTGCTTGTTTCTTAGACGAAGAATTTGTGAAGCATCATAAGATCCCTTTAGTACAAAAATCCAAACCTGTTCACGTTGAGGTCATAGATGGGTGACCTTTATTGTCTGGTAGTGTCACCCATGAATCAGAACCTATAGAAGTGACATTTAAGGGCCATAGTAGTCATATTATTTTCAATATTATTAGAACCCCATCAAATTCTGTTATTCTTGGTCTTTCCTGGTTGGAAAAGCATAACCCATCTATAGATTGGAAGTTGCGGAAGATGACCTTTCCGACAAAACCACCCAAGAGCAAGCCTAGTAAAAAACCCCGAATAGAGAAATCCTTATTTATTGGAGCAAGAGCGTTTATAAGATCGTCCAAGGAAGGCACACTGTTTGTTATTTATACGGCTCCAACTACCGGGGAGAAGATCTCGACAGCAAGTATACCGGAGCAATATAAGGATTTTAAAGACGTGTTTCAAAAGAAAAATGTCGACATGCTACCGGAACACAAACCATATGATTGTGCCATAGATTTACAAGAAGGAGCACAACCGCCATTTGGCCCAATCTACAATCTATCGCAGATGGAGTTGGTAGAGTTGCGGAAGTACATTGACAAGAATCTAGCCAAGAACTTCATCCGTCATTCAAAATTGTCAGTTGGAGCACCCATCTTATTTGTGAAGAAGAATGATGGCTCATTGTGGATGTGCATGGACTATTGAGGCCTCAACAAGGTAACAAAGAAGAATCGTTACCCTTTATCCTTGATTTCTGGTCTCTTAGAACAACTTGGACGTGTAAGGATCTTTACAAAAATTGATCTAAAGGGAGCCTAAAACCTCGTATGAATCAAGGAAGGAGATGAGTGGAAGACAGCGTTCCGTACAAGGTATGGCCATTTTGAGTATAATGTCATGCTCTTTGGTCTTATCAATGCTCCAGCGGTCTTTCAACATATGATGAATGACATTTTCCGAGAGGACCTTGACAATTTTGTTGTCATCTATTTGGATGATATTTTGATATTTTCCAAAAATGAGGAAGAGTATGAAAAGCATGTTCGTTTGGTCTTGGAGAAACTACGCGAGCGAGGACTATATGCCAAGTTGGAGAAGTGTTTATTTCACCAAATAGAGATGGAGTTTTTGGAGTTCGTTGCGACTACGGAAGGCTTGAAGATGGATCCCAAGAAGGTGGAAGTAATCGTGTCCTGGGAGGTTTCGAAGATGGTGAGAGACGTACAATGCTTTCTTGGCTTTGCCAACTTCTATCGGATCTTCATCAAGAATTACTCTCAAGTTGCTGCTACTCTCACTCGGTTGACATGCAAGGATAAGTTGGAATGGGGACCTCTAGCGGAGAAGGCTTTTCAAGACCTGAAGATCGCATTTATTATGGCTCCAATCTTGGTACATCCAGACTTTACAAAGGCCTTTTATTTAGAAACTGATGCTTCGGATTTTGCTTTGGGAGCAGTACTTTTACAAATGAGAGAAGACAAGAAGCTCCATCCGGTTGCATTCTATTCTCGAAAGTTCTCTGCTGTTGAAATCAATTATGAGATCCACGATAAGGAACTTCTTGCTATAGTGGATTCTTTCCAAGAATAGCATCATTTTCTTGAAGGAGCTACACACCCAGTGACCGTATACACAGATCACAAGAATTTGGAGTATTTCATGTCGGCTCGAGTTCTAAATCGACATCAAGCTCGGTGGAGTATGTTGCTATCTAGGTTCGATATTGTTATCACTTATCAACCTGGAAAGCAGCAAGGACTATCTGATGCCTTATCGAGGAAATCGTATCTTATACCAAAGGCTGGAGAAGCAACGTTTGATCAACAATGTATGACGTTGTTGAAGCTAGAGCAATTTCGGCTTTGTGCTACTATTGTGCCAATTGATGCTGACTTCTTGAATCAGGTACGTGCTGCGACCATTAAAGATTCAGTAGCCATTGATATCAAGCAGCGTGCCAATGACGACAAATTCAAGGTGGACGGAGATCTTTTATACTTTGAGGAGCGGTTGTATATTCCAAAAGGACCAACACGACTCCGAGTTCTTCAATCTCGCCATGATTTTCTAGCTGGGGGATATTTTGGATTCAACAAGACCTTGGAGCTTATTTCTCGAGATTTTTGGTGGCCCCAAATGTGAAAGGATGTGAAAGATTTTGTCCTCTCCTACGATATTTGTTCAAGATCCAAGAATCCTCGACATCGCCTTTATGGACTCCTATAGCCATTGCCGATTCTACGTCGACCATGGTCTTCAGTTTCCATGGACTTCATCACGGATCTTCCATCATCGAACCCATTTGACAGCATCTTTGTCGTGGTAGATCGGCTTACAAAGATGGCGCACTTTGTTCCTTGCAAGAAGACATCGTCTAGTGAAGTCACAGCAAGGCTCTTTTTCAATAATGTGTATCGATATCATGAACTACCAGATGATATCGTATCAGATCGAGGAACCCAGTTCGTATCAAAGTTTTGGAGATCTCTCTATGAGATACTGAAGGTGGATATCAAGCTTTCTTTGGCTTTTCATCCTCATACTGACGGCTAAACGGAATGGGTGAACCATGTCTTGGAACAATACTTACGATGCAGTATCAACTATCAGCAAGACGATTGGACCACATATCTGTCGCTAGCGGAGTTTGCATATAACAACACCCTCCATGCGTCGACTCAATACACACCATTCTTTTCTAACTATGGGTATCATCCGAAGCTTGATTTATCGAGTCCGTCAACAAATAACAATCCAGCAGCTGAAGGATTTGCGAAACAACTATCAGAGCTTCAAAATACGTTGAAGCTTCAATTACAATCCACTCAAGAATCCTACAAGGTGTCTGTAGATAGATTTCGGAATCAAGCACCTACTTTCAAAATTGGAGATAAAGCATGGCTTCTTCGACGGAATATCAAGACCAAGCGACTATGTGATAAGTTGGACTATCGAAGATTGAGACCATTTATCATCCAGAAGCAAATCAATCTAGTGGCGTACCATCTAAAATTACCTGCTTCTATGAAGGTACATCCAGTCTTTCATGTTTCTCTGTTAGAGCCTTATCGAGAGTCGTCTTTTCTTGGAAGAGTACAATGTCCGCCACCTAGTATTGAGATCGAGAACCATAAAGGATACGAGGTTGAAAAGGTACTGGATTCACGGCGAAGGTGGGACAAGTTGGAGTATCTTGTTCATTGGTGCGGCTACAACATTAATGAGCAAACGTGGGAGCCAACTGAAAATCTTGCCAATGCGCTGCAAAAGGTACAGGAGTTTCATCAACAACATCCTCATAAACCTAAGCCGGTTTGACGATAGCTTCCTTCTGAAGCTTGCTCACCCAAGAATATAAGAAAGGGGGAGAGCACCACCAAAATTCGTAGTTGATGTAGTTATTTTCTCCAAGATAAAATAGAATTTTTTCAGTAGCCATAGTTTGGTCTTCTGATATGGATAGCCAAGAGATAGATACTATGCCAGTCAGTTTATCTCAACCGACTAGCTCACAAAGGCGACTCCGAGATGAAGAACCGCCTACACCATGACGACGATAGAGGATACCGAGTAACCGATCACTGGTGATTGTATTTGAGTCCGAGCCTACTTACAACGGTGAGCCAAAAGGCGTGTTTGCAGGACAATTCCACAATGAGGACACGGAAGTTCATGCTTGGTTAGAAGTTGAAGGAGTGGGCCACTACCGTTGGCTTCATGGGCCGATGAACCACTTGCCTCGTGAACAATAGTTCAAGTTCATAGCTGACGTTATGCGACAGATCTTCATTTTCTTGCGTTGGTAATGATTAACAACAACATTGCTTCTCAGAGACCTCGAAGCTAAAGGAGGGGGTGATGTTAGGGACATAATCCTTAGAACCTTCTAGAGACAAGTTTCTAGAACCTTCTAGAAGCAAGTCTCTGGAACCTTCTAGAAGCTTCTTAGTTGGTAGAAGATGTTAGGGACATAGTCCTTAGAACCTTCTAGAGATAAGTTTCTAGAACCTTCTAGAAGCAAGTCTCTGGAACCTTCTAGAAGCTTCCTAGTTGGTAGAAGTTGCTTGAGAAGCTTCCTAAATAGGAATATATATTGGAATCGAGGCTGAAGAGTTCTTCAGTCTCCACAACACATCTCTTGGAGCTCTAGTTCACCTCTTTGGTGTTGTTCTCATCTGATTAATCTAGTTCTTACAAGTTCTTCTTGAACTTCTTGTTAGATCTCGAGTCTGTATTTCTGTATCTGTGACAAAAATATATACTTCTAAATTTGTATATTGGGCCAAACATATTTGAATCAAATATATATATGGTGAGTTTTGACTCTTTGTGGCATTAAAGACAAAATAAGCTCAAACACCTTTCACAATGTTGAGTGAGGGAACTCAAATCCTTCTTCTAAAAACTTGTTTTAAAAAGAGAAGAAAGAAGGAAAAATTTGACATTCAATAGAATAAGGATACAAGTCTTTTCTTTGGTATTAGGTAATAAAGATTCAAACACCCTCCTTCTCTCTTTTTATATGCATTATTGCTTCTACAACTTGTATAGCTTATTTGGCAATTCTAACCCCCCTACAAGCAAGGCTTTTTCTCTCTCTCCTTTCTCTCGTAGTTCTCTTTTTTCTTGGATAATCTCTTTTGTAATTGAAGAAAACAACAATATTAGTAGAAATAAATACAAATCACAATTTGATATGATTGCAAGCAATAATTAAAACAAGAGTTAGAATACAAAGTGATCCTTGTTCAACTACTCTTAGAAATAACATAATTTATTAACCATGCCATAAGAATGATATTCTTTAATTAGAATTTTAAAGATTTAGATTTGAAATGCTTAAATATAAACTTGAAGGTTTGAAGTAAGTGACATGAATAACTTTACATAATGACACCTATAAGTACTAACCTACTAAATAGTCTATCAATCCTCATCATTTTGATTTTTTTAATTAACATTAAAAAAACATAAACACTATGAGAACTATTAATAAAAATTATAGCATTTGACATAATTAAACTATAAGATTCAAACAATCACCACTAGTAACCATCTTTCAACTAATAACGATGATTAACAAAAAAAGAAAAAAAAAAGAACCTACACATCCGAGGTCTTCCCACCAAATTCTTATAAAATAAGAAATGTCTAGTGAAGATTAGAAAGGGTCAGTAGTACTTGGTCTCATTGAAATTAAGCTACAATGAGTACCCATTACTACAACGTGTTTGTTATTCAGAAGTAGGTATTTCGATGTGCCTCACAATTGTGGGATCAACTTTCTGGTTTCTGGCACAGAGCTCCAGGAGAAATCTGGAGCCAACTATTCTGTCAATGACGCAGTTGGTGAAAACTTGGCCGCCTCTCTTCACCCCTCATATTTCCTACTCATTTGGAACCTGATCATATGCTGCTGTCTTGCCGAATTCCATACCCTCTGCAATGGACAGTGTAAAAAAACTTGGACAAGAAAAAAGGATGCCGAGCAACTGCTCCAGTGGAGAGTAGATTGTGAAAACAAGCACGTGGCATTGATGACACAGCCTTCCAACGACAATAACAACTCGCAAAAAAAGCAGTGTCAAACAGAAGAGTTCTAGCAACTAAATACGCCGTACACACACCTCGATGGCCCCGATGGCAACCCACCATTCCCACTCCGGCGTCGTCTCCGACCTTTTTACCCACAGACACCATCCAAGTTGGGAAATAAAAACGTGGGCTCGAAAACAACTGGGGATACATCACAGCAGAGGAGAGGCCACAAGTACCCTCCGACATCGAGAATCGCCACCACCAAGGGGAGAGCAACAACACCAACCACGGCGATACTTTTGTTTCTACCTAATTCACCGGCGCAGCTCCCTAAAAAAGGAGCGACCTCAGTGGGCGCTGCATCGCTGGAGCCTGCACCCCAGAGGATGGAGTGCAGGCAGCCTGCAGCATCCGGCACTGTGCACGGATATCGCCAACTTCCCAGGAGCGATGCCATTCTAGATCTAGCGCCACGTTCCCCCCTTTGACTGGTCTAGATCCATTCCACACGAAAGTTTCAAAATCCATAAAACCAGCGCTGAATGTGAAAAAATGTCGACTAGCTTTGTTGTGGGCAGACGATTAAAGTACCACTCCGTTACATCAACAGAGCCACGTTTCTCCCTCGTTCTCTCTCTCTCTCTCACTCGTTTTCTGGGCTTGCTTTCTACTTAGCTTGCAGGGCTGCAGCAGATCCGTAATCTGAGCTACTTCTATCCTCCTGCATTGTTAAATGCCCACAGTCCCGTTGAGAATGGCAGCAAAGGGCATGGAAAGCGGCACATGATGTGTGAGGTTTTCTTAATGGCGTTGCGTTGCTTTGCTTCGAGCCCCTGTTGGAAGTTGCAAAAAATAGCGCACCCAGTTGGGGTGTTGCTGTTTCTTCGCATGAGGTACCCAACTGGGTGCATCTCTAGACCATGTCCTTCTCTTCATTTTTTATGGGGGGAGGGGGTTCTTTGGGACCTACATCACTCAGGAGACCTTGAGAATTGGGGGCACCAGTTGCCTTTTCAGCTTGTGTTTTACAAAGGTTTCGTCCATTCATGTTTGCAACGCTCGTGGAGCTTTTGTGTCTCTGTTTTTTAAGTCCTGCATTGGTTTGAAGGATTTGTTATTGTTATTGTATTAAAGAGGATTGTTTTATAATATTGTTATTGCATTAAAGAGGATTGTTTTACAACATTGTTATTGTATTAAAGATAATTGTTTTATAATATTCTTGTTATTTGATAAATATAGGATTCCATAGTTACACTTTGAATCTATTTGGTGTAGCTAGTTGGTAATCATTGATAGTTTAAGGTTGATGTGTATTATGCATTATAGATGATTTTGGATTGAATAAATGTATAATATATATATATATATATATATATATATATATAATCTTTGTAATGAACCATGATAAGTTATTATTTTTGGATTTATTTAGAAAATAAATCAAAGTGTAAGTTATTTAGTTATATGCATGTATGTATATATATATATATATATATATAATTGTAAAGTCTATCTATACCTCTTTAATAATTGGTTGGTTTTTACAAAAGAGATGGATTTGTTTCAAAAGACTAAGTCATCATTAATTAATTAATTTTTTAAAATATTAAATAAATTCAAAGAAAAATAAAGAGAGATTTATTTCTAAAAGTCTTCAAGTGTGTCTTAATGTTTTAATTTAATTTTTAAATTATAATTTATCTTATTGATCATTTTTATAATTTTATATATTTTAAATATATTAAAATTTGAAGTACAATAACATAAATAAAAAAATCATTTATATATTATGTATTTATACTATCATAAAATTTTATTTTTTTTAAAAAATAAGTTATCAGTAATAATTTTAACAAATGCAAGCTATCATCATAAAATTAAAATAATTGTGGTATTTAATATTATAAAATTTATTATAATATAAAAATAAATTTAAATAAGAAGATTTTTCATGCAAATAAAATTGCAAAGTGCTATGCATAAGTCAAGTAATTTTTTTTTTATTTTTTTTTTGAAAGCCTTTAATTAGGTTGCATATTTTAAAATCGATGAAACAAATAAACAAACAAAGTAACTTTTATTATTTAGTTCTATTACAAGTACATACTTAGATAATATTATAGAAGTTTCTTGGAAGTGAGTACAACCTAAAAATATCCTTGGAGGTACTAAATGACTATAAAATATATTTTTTTGATTTACAAAGTTATTATGAAAGAGCTTTATGATTTAGATACTAATTCCACATGGTTTGTAATCTTATAAAGGCTTCTATATTACTATCTTTTTAGCAAGTACATGTAGAATGAAGATTGTCACCATTATTGATCTTGTCAACATATCTTTTATATTCTAATTTTTAAACAAGGTTGTAATATTATTGTACTTGGAAATTGATATTGAAGTTTTTGATTATTTAAAAGAATACATGTTTATTTTTATCTCATTTTTATTTTATTATTCATTTGTTATTTTTATTTTAAATTTTTATTTAGGTTTTATGCACCAACAAATAAAAAATAAAAATAAAAATGTCTATTTTTATCAACAAATAATTATTAACAATCATAAATTAATTTTTTAATTAAAAAACTTAGATAACTCTAAAATGGCTTTATCTGCACTTACAGATACTAATAATAACATGAAGAAGTATCCATCTTTAAAGCAAGTATTTTAGAAAAATTGAGATGTCAATTTTTCTATTTTCATACTTTGTTCTTTTTATTTTAATTTTAATTTTTCTTAATTTTTGTACGTGTTAAAATGCAGGTGGATTTTGAAGGAGTTTGAAAAGAGCTTTGACAGAGTTTCTTCATAATCAAGAAGTGGTTTTAAGATGTTTCAATTTGAAAGGCTTCAACGATAAGAAATGTCATTTGAGAGTAGAAGTTGTATTCTGTGTGAAGGTGTAGAAGCTTTACGACTCCCCTCTGACAGGGGAATCAAATATATATATGTATATATATATATATAAATATATATATAGATTGAACTATATAAAAGCGAATAAACTGTGAGCGAAAGAGGTTCTAAATTACGTGGCGAAAAATTCACCCATCAAGAGATCATTGACAGAGGTGTGTGAAGCTTTGTTTTGACAACATATTTTGACTTCCAAGTGTTGAGAGAGTCAACGTAGCATTTTTGAATTCAGGCGCTGAATTTTGAGTTATATTGAGTGAATTTTTGGCATTAAAAAAATTGTTGAGATCTCAGTGCTCTGCTAGCGTTCAACATATTTCACATGTAGAATATGGTGTGAATTTATAATCTCAAACACGTATCTCATAAACGTTGTGTGCGTGAGAAAATATGGTAAAAAGTTATTGAGCCAACTCAATATCATTTACAGTGATTTCATTTCTTTTTTATTTCATTGATATGAAGTTCAACCATTTTAGTTGCATTTCTTCACTCAAACTTTTAATTTTTAATCCACCCATACCTCACTTCTTTTTGGGTACTTAAACTTTGAAGTTTGTAGCTCTTGGATGAGAATTTGCAATCACTAATTCTGTTATATTAAGAACTTCATTCAAAAGTTTTAGACTGTGGAAGTGTCCAATCGTTGTGATTTTTCATGCTTTTGTAAAGCTCTTGGTGTACACTACAGTGTAATATATATATATATATATATATATATATATTTCTTTTCTTCTTTTTTTCCTCTCGATTCACCAATCTAAAATTAGATAAAATATGCATTTTTGTGGTGAGATCCAACATTTTGTGAAGACCTTGAACACTTTTTTTGTTTATATATATATATATATATATATATAATTATAATTATAATTATTTGCAGATAAAAGAAATACTTTCACTAACCAAATATGATACAAAAAAAAAAAAAAAAAAAAAAAAAAAATGAATTCTCTTTATATGAGCAATTTCCAACAAACCTGGTGATAAATCATTATGGAATTTTAACATGTGGAAGAAAAACGCAGGCACCGCAACTTCAAATGATTCTGTTTGATTAACATTTACATGTTTAAACAAAGTTTTAAGTATTTATCGATTTCAAAAATTTCCTTACAACTACTTGATATCATAATGATAAAACAAGCTTTAAATTTGATGTGCTAGTAAAAAGAATTTGATTAAGATTATTCATTAGATTTGCCATCAAACATTATTAATTAAAGACTATTGATGGTATCAGTTAACATATTTTTTCTCACAACAATTATCAAATGTTTTGGCTAACACAGCTGTTCAAACAGGGATGCCATGCAAATGGTTCCCCTTCCTTCCCCATTCTTCTTCATTGTATTAGAAAGTGGGTCCTCTCTCTCTCACATAAAATGGTAACCTGAAGAAAAATCCAATGGGAAGGAGACTGGAGTTTTGGGAAGCACCCCATTCCTCGAAACGCCAGGAACAGCAGCATCAGCAGTGATAGCATCAGCAGTGATAGCAGCAGCAGCACCGTGTCAACATGGACATGAGACATGAGAAGCGGAGAGGCGGTGATGGTATAAAAACCAGCTGTCATGCAGTTACCAGGAGTCTAGAAGATGGAATCACAGAGCGAGAGAGAGGACCGTGGCGGGGATTCGACACACGAGAAGGGGACGACGAGATGGGGTTGCGTGATCCCGCAGTCAACGAGGAAGAGTTTGGGTGAGTGGGAGTTAACAACGTCGGATGATTATTATTATTATTCTTACTACCCCGAGATCCAGACCCCCACCTGGATACTGTGGCTGCTACAGTAACAATATCGCACTCTGAGTCCGCGCTGCAACGTGTTGAAGGGGAGGCGTCGACTCGCTCTCTTTCTCGCTCTCTCCCAGTGATCGTTTCATACCGCTTCACGCGTAGAACAGACTGGTCCCAAGTCCAGCCGCATCTGGACCCTAAAAAGCGAATCATCCGGCCTCACTCGTTTATAATAGATCCTGTCTCTGCCATGTTGGAGCATTCCGCTGCGTCCCCCACTCCCACCCTCCAATCTCCACCCCCCGCTGCCTTCCCCACTTGCAGGCATCTTTGCTGTTTTATTGTCTCGCTCACATGTGAGGGCCAAAGCAGAGTGGGAGTGAGTGGATCACCAGAATACCCTTTCCAGTGTTCGAGGACTATCTGGGCATGTGTCTCATCACAGGATACTTGCTTTTACGATGGTTTATGTTGACTTACGCACAGACAACCTCACGGACCTGAGGGCGTTCCTTGGAACTGAGTTAGTAGTGTGTTGCTTACAATAGAAGCGGGGAACTCGAAGATTGGCTCCGATTCTATTCTAGTTTATGGTAGTGTAGGCTTTTGGGCATCTCGTGTAGGTACTTCTTGTTGATTCCTGGATCACCACGCCAGGACACCTTCTTTCAGTGACGGAGGCCGCTCAAGTAGCTTTTTGGATGTGAGGTGAAGTGTGTGCGTGTGTGTGTGTGTGTGTGTTTTTATTGTGAGCTTGAGGTGTCAGTGAGGATGCTAAGCTCCGATGCTTTACAGTGGTTAGCACTTCTGCTCGAGCTTTGAAGTGTCTCAGTTGGGTGCACAACAAGTGGTCGTGAAATAGAATTGGCAAGGACGGCAAGTGATGTGATTCTGGCCTAGTCCATTGTCCAGGTTGTATTTGGTTTTGTTTTGGTCTAGCTGTTGTGATTCCTGTCATTAGGAGATGTACCCTCGGATTGAAAGAGGACACTTAACGTTGCAGCTGGAGTTGTGCCTGGGTTGAGGTACACATGGACTGAACCACTAGAGCCACAGGGTCAGTTAACGGGGTTGAGTTTCTCTTGTGAAGTGTTTGATTTAACGTGGTCCGACCTCACTAGACACCCATTTGTGCTGCGCTTTTTTGACGAACGCGGGAGAGGTTTAGCTCGGGGTACTTGTTTCAAAAAATCGTGCTGATTTGCGGTGAATCTGGAGAGTGTTTCTATCCGTAGAGGTTCGGTCCGTGTCAAGCTGGGAATTGCGCGAGTTTGATTTTGCTAAGGTTTCTGGGAGAGTAATCTTAATCCGAGGGAAGACGCGCACGAGAATTTTATTGAGCTCATACGGTGAATAGTTCGATACGGTAAGATTAGGGTACTGGGAGGAGGCTCTGCTTTTGGTTGCCTTGTATCTCTTGCGCTGAATTTTCCACATCTGCTCAACCTGCCGTTCGCATCCAACCTGCCGAAAAAGTTCCTCGCGAGAAACCTGCCAGGAAAGGGAGCTTGCCTGAAGCTAAGATTCGGTGGCCTTCGACTGCAGAAGGCCTTGAATAGAACGGGATTTCTGAGGAGATGAGGAGGCCCTGTGGAAGAAGGGAAGAGCGACTGAAAACCTGGGCGAATTACTTTTCTTTTTGGCAAGAATTAAGGGCCTCTTCACAGGAAAGGGGTTGAGGATTTCGCGGTGGTGCGGGGACCTTTGATTTGTGTGCAAAGACTTATTAGTTACGCAGTTGCCTCACAGCGTATACAACCCATGATTTCACATTTCAGCTTCGGCAAGCTGTGTGTCTAGTTCGTCTCAGTGCACATTACTTGTATCTCCTTTCTTCTTCCTTGCATCATCTTCCTCTTCTTTCCTTCCTTCCTTCCTTCTTCCAACAGTCTGCGAAGCCGTTGTCCGTTACAGCAGAACATTGAAGATTGGGCTCGCTGATGAGCAATTTAGTGAAAGATCTCTCTAGCCGTAAGCACTTGCCATTTGACCCTGAATGAGTTTAACACCCTTGCACTCAAGTTTCCTGGAAAATTTTCCGGTATAGGATTCTGAATCCAATCATTATCACGTTTCATGTGAACCTGCACGAGTTTGCTTGATTTAACAAGATATTCTCTGCACACATGAATCTACATGACTTTTTGATTTGAATCCCGGTCAAATTCGCGGTTCGCTTACTTGTACTGCACCAGTTTATTATGACTTCTGAATTATATTGTCACAACATCCTAATCGACAGATTCCGCCTGCAGTCTCCTACGGACTTCGAAGAATTTATTTTGTAGGCTTGTTCAACGGGAAATATTGTTTTAAAACAAGGCATTCGCTCCTCTGACGACGCCAACTTGTAGCTTTCACTATCATTTCTGAACATTTTGGACATTTCTTGTGATGCAATAAGGCAAGCTGTTGCTTGAGCTATGCAGACATCTCAGCAGCTCAATTCGATGTCACCAGAAGACCAATTGTTGAAGTCTCTTTCAGCAGATTTTCTCGATCTGCTTGATAGGGGTCAAGCGTTTAGTGATGTCACATTTAATGTGGAGGATCGTCATGTTTACGCTCACAGATGCATTCTTGCGGCGCGAAGCCCCTTCTTTCGGACGCTTTTCTGCGGCGATACTCAGCTCATGAACAGCGCCCAACCCAGGTCCAGCTTACCGAGTGTCATTCGGGTGGGGATTGTGAGCTACGATGTCTTCATGTTGCTGTTACAATTTCTGTATAGCGGGAACTGCAACGGTTTCTTTTCTCCTCAAATCAGTGGGCGTCAGTGCAAAGTCAATTCCTGTTGGCACTCGTCTTGCAGCTCTGCTGTAAAGTTTGGGCTGGAGCTGCTGGATGCAGTGTCCTTCTTTGGCTTGGAACAGCTTTCTATCATTATTCAGGTTAGTACCTTCATTTGTACGTGCTTTTGCGTTTGGAGATTGAATGCAGCGTACTGGAACATCTTTTTTCCTTTTTAACGAATTGCGAAGCTGGATAACGTAAAGAAAATCCGCGCTGCTTTACTTTCGCTCTTCTGATTCAAATCGTCAAGCTCTACACTTCATTTCATGGTTTCAACATTGACTGATTGCAGACTCATTTAGGCGCCATAGCGGAGAAAGCGTCCACCGAGGATTTAATGCGCATGCTGATAGCTGCACGTTATCAAATGGAAAATCATCTCTGGAAACTTTGCTCGAAGGTTGTTGCAAAGTCGGGTCTAACACCGGAAATATTGCACAAGTACCTGCCTGCAGAAATTGTAGGGGAGCTAGAGTCAATTAGGCAAAGGTCTGGATACGCCTTGGAGGCTTCTTCGTCGGGCAATGACATGTTGGAGAATAAGACGAAGCTTATGCAGAAAGCCTTAAACTCGTCTGACGTAGAATTGGTAAGGCTGATGGTCATGGAGGAGGGCCTCATTCTGGACAAAGCATTTGCCCTGCACTATGCTGTTAACAATTGCAGCAGGTATGTATCTGATTCTCACTCACGTATCTCATATCCTTTACTGCATTCCAACTTTCGGCAATTCAGCATGGATGTAAGTTTGTTCGGTCATGTTTAGAAACGTAAATGGATTACCTCAAGACATGCTCTGAGGGTTTTACGATTGTTTGTGGTCGGGCTGGGATTACAGAAAAGTGGTTGAGACACTCCTGAAAGTGGGAGCAGCAAATGTGAACCTGCAAGACCAGGACGGCGAGACGCCATTGCACATGGCGGCAAAGCTGGGGGATCCGGAGATGATTGCTTTATTGTTGGACCATGAAGCGAATCCCTTGATGCAGTCAGTTACCGGTGCAACTGCAATGGACATAGTGCAATCCGGTGCGGCCGGGGTTCAATCTGCTGGAGGGTACAACTCAAAAAGTGACCAAGTGAGGTTCAGGCTTTGCGTGGAGCTTCTACAAAGTGCTGCTTTGTCGTATAGTCCACCTTTGCAGGTGAAGGCTACGAGAGTGGAGATAGGGAGCCCGGTTTCTATTCGCACAGAGCATGGGAGTAGTACGTTGCTGCCGGACGAATGCGATAATGATTACCATGGGTCGATGAGTAGAATGGTGGGTGGCTCTACTCAGGGGATTCACTTCGGCAACCGCGATGTTTATTCCTCTTTCACACATGGGCAAGGTAAGACATGAACAAATTGCTGGTTTCTGTATCTCCAGTCCGATGATTCTTACTGTGTGCTCAGAGCGGCTGAGCAATGAAGCTTCGATCGTCATTAGTGAAGTGTGGTAGTTCATTTCTGCCAGTAGCACAAGGGAGTTGATTATGAAGGATGATCTTTACGAAGTATCGTCGTGCCGCAGTGGTTTTTATTTATTTATTTTTCCCGGCAAAGAGGATTTCTCTGAGGATATCCTCCTGTCAGGTCATCAGAAGTTTGAGGAAAGTTCAGTGTTCAGATGTGTTCAGTGGTGTGGAGAATGTGCCTTGACAAAATATATCTTGACAAAATATGACTTGACAAAAATTATTTTTCTTCCTCGCTTCAATCGTTTTGGACAGTGCATGGCAGAGAGCCAGAGAGAGCGGAGCTATCCGACTCCATTTCAAAGTTACTGAGTTCCAGCGCCGCAGCCTTTGATTTCTCTGAGCCTCATCTGCACGCAGAGTCCCGGAATCTCACTAGTAGCTACAGCATGTTGGAAACATCAAGTCTGGATAACAGGCCGCGCAAAATTCCGCGATTAGTTGTAGGCATGCAGGAATTCCCTGATGAAAGAGAGGTCATTCTCAGGGATTTCTCCAACGAACCCAAAGAGAATTTCAAGAGTGTATATAATGCCACTGGCATGAAAGAGGAAGTCAGCTCGGGGCGGTAGCTCGTCTTGCAACAGCACTCCGAAAAAAGCTCGTTATGCCCATGGAGGCACATCTGAGTGAAAAATGTGACATAAAAAAATTTCAAGGGATTATGGGATACGCAATGATCTCCCTTCCCAATGCCAGGGTGATCCAAAAAAAAAAAAAAAAAAAAAAAAAAAACTGGCAGGCTTTGACGTTATGAAAGATGGATGACACAAACAGCAGCCTACGACCGTAAGAAAAGCTTCTTACTGATATCAATTGCCGTGGGCGAGAAATGACAGTCATCTCTTTGTGACATAGGTGATGAAGATCAGTGTATTGTGGACACACGATCTCCTCTACAGTGTTAATAATCTGCTATGTACCTTCACCACGGACCCCCACCTGTTGGGTAAGTACGTTGAAACACGTAGAAAAACCAGTGTTGCGTAGGTATCAGGATCACTCACAGCAGCTTTCCGACATCCACAGGGACGCCACAACCCCTTATTTTCGACCATCGGAACTGGATACCTGACACCCAAAGGGTAAACCAGCAGGGTCGATGTGGTTCTTACAGTAGTAGCCAGAAAATACAGTTTTGGATCCCAGCACTGTCGCTCCAGTTTGTAGTACAAATATGCGACACCCTGAAGTGTTTATTTCTCTTTCTTCTTCTTCTTCGTCTTCTGTTTTTTGTCCTATTATTGCCCTTTTCCTCTTCTCTCTCTTTGCCATTGCTAGAGATGAGCAAAACGAGAACTCATGCGACTGTTGGTCCTTGTGAAAGACGCAAAGACATGACTTTTGCGTGGTTTCATACATTGGTTATCTACTACTAGTACTGCCATTTACTTCCTATGAAGTTTTTTCGGTGTTGTGCTTTTGAACACACTGGCAGGCAGCATTCGTAGTAAACTTCACTTTTTCTTTTCTTTTCTTTTTTGATGGCAATATAGGATTGTAAGGTTTCTTTGCGTTGAAGTAACAGGTCTTTGTAATACACTGGATGTTTTGAAGAAATCAATTTTTACTTCTTCTTGGGGTTGGTGATCATGAAAACAAATGTTTTGCAAGTGTGTTGATTGTAGTGTAGTTCTTGTAGCAAGTTATTTGCTTTATAATATGCCATAATTGCTTAAAATATAAATTATAAATAGAAGAGAGATCTATTTGTTGTTTTTATTTAAAATTGTCTTATTGTGATTTTGTCACCTGTAACATCATTCGTAAGTAAAAATAAAATCAAATAAAATAAAATCAAATTCAAGATTACAAACTTACTTCTAATACTATTTAATGGTGACAATTTACAAAAAAATAATTTATTTGTAATTAATATGTACTACACCAACGGTGTTATATGTCTTGTAAGGATTATTTTTAATAAAAAATTCAACAAATTGTCTTCATTATCATCGTTGTGTAAATGTAGTGCAAAGCCAAAACAATTCAAGTCTTCCTAGTAGAAAATGAAATTGGATTAATTTTCATATCCAGAGAAAGTTGTTAGCATATACATATAAAAGGAAAAAAAGGGAAGAAATGAATGATGCAATCATCTCAGAAAAATAAGTTTTAAACTTTGTATATGTATTTAAAGTGAAATAATACATTAATTAATATTTTTTTAAATGCAGTTTACAATGAATCTTTGATTTAATATTTTAGTTTCGATAAATTATTAATATCTGGCATGAAGATAAAATTTCACAAATTGAAACGTAATATGTAATTATATAAACATCAAACAATACAATTCAGCTCAGACGATTACTTGTTTATTCATTTTACCTTTCACACTTTCAATACATAAAAAAACATCAAATCAAACAACTGTTAAATCATGTCAATTATTTCACAGTTTTTATTTTTATTTTTATTATTTCTGTTGACTTGGTGTTGGGAGACACTGTAGAAATCAACAAGACATTAAAAAATGGTGTTTACAGTCAGAATCACGTTTATCCCCCAAAAATACCGAATTCCGGTAACTTCAAAAGAAAGGAAAACAAAATAATTTGGTATTATTTAGAATGATCTCCAACGCAGTATGTTTTTGAGAATCTCAAAACAACAAGCAATGCTACATAATGATATAGTAATAATACTAATAATATATTCTAGTTCGATGTTCTATCAAAGCAGCATGTACCACAAGACGAATGAAAACATATCATCCAACGATAAAACACCATCATTCATCGAAAATGTTTCCTGGGGCCAGAATTAGCCCAAGTAAAGAAATGCGCGGGTTTTACCCCCAAGTAAAGTTAAAAAAGGAGCTCCCACCGAGGCCGCCTCCTCCTCCTCCTCGAAGTTTGAAAAGGGGGAAGTGCCCTTGGAAACGGGGGTTTCCCTCGACGACGCTCAACACACATGCCCCCGGAGCCATTACAACAACAACAACAACGCCTCACAGCGCCCACTGCGACACCCCACCACCTCTATCACCACCACCACCAGGGCACTCAATTTCACTGCTCCGAATTAATTGTGTAGTTCCCGAGGCTCAGAGAAGAAGAAGTAGAAGAAGAAGAAGAAGAAGAAGACTCTGGAAGGAAGGAAGGAAGGAAGGAAGGAAGGAAGGAAGAGGGAGAGAGGTTGAGAGAGAGAGGGCTCTGCTGGGTGCATTTTTTTTCCTCCACAGTCATTGCGGATACACGTGCTCGACCATTGAGGCTGCCGCTGGTGTCGAGCTTGTGAACGGGGGGCGTGGAACGTGCCGTTATTTGTGTGTGTGTATGTGTGTGTGTGTTTTGTGTATCAGTCTTGGCTAGGATTTGACGTCGCTGCAGCAGCCATGGTATTTTTTTTTCTCTTGCTCAGAATTCTTATTTTGTTCTGCGGATAGTTTGCTCCAATACGCTTGTTTCGAAACACCTTTTCTTTCTGTTGTTTTATTCTTTTTTTTTGGGGGGGGGGCGGGGGGAGGGGGGTTTGGCCTCCTCTGTCTGTCTGTCTGTCTGTCTGTCTGTCTCTAGAGACGTTTGTAGGCGAGCACGATGTTGCTGTTGGCGCAGTGGGTATTTCGTATGTGGTTGTCTCGTTCTGTTCATTGGCGTGCATTAGAGCTTTTAGATTTGTGGGTTGGGTGTTGGTTTGGTCCATTGGATTGATGATGCCTGGTTCTGATGATTGGGCTGATTTGCGTGAAAGTGAAGTGATCTGGCCGAAGCTCTGGGTGCTCGAATGTTAGAGCTATGCGTTCGGTGAAAGATTTCTATATAGCTTGGATTGAAGCTAGATTGCAATTAGGGCTCATAATTTTAAATCGAAATAGTTGTATTCAGCTATGTATCGGACGAAAGGCAATTCTTGATTGCAGGGGTATTAAGTTAGGGTTTCAGTATTTTTGGGAGTGGGTCATCGGGTCGGATGTCGGTGAATTTTTTTGAGCATGTTCTTAGTACGAAGAGAGGCTATACCATGGTCATCCATGATCTATGCATTTTCAAAGCATAGCTATCATTTCAATGCGTCCAAGTGTTGTGAGAAAATTGGGTGATCTTACGAATTGGAGATGTTGCTTCCGCGTTCTAGTCACTCTTTCGTTCTTTTTCAATAAAATTTCAAGGACTTTAGTTAGTCAAGGATCATTTAGCGTATACTCTGCGGGTTGGTACAGTATACGCAGTTTTTACTGGACTTTTATCATTGCGGCGCGCCTCTGCTGGTGTCTGGGATGTCTGCCGCAAGGCAATAGCGTATTAGATATCCAGGACAGGTGCATCTACATTATTATCATTAGTCGAAGAAGTTGGTAGTTGAATCAGGAGGCGAAGTTTAGGCGCATGTCCTGTTTTCTGGCTGTTATCTTTTAGATTTTATTGAAGTAATTTGAGTGAATTTTAAAAAATTGGTGGACAGATTTGTTAGAAATATTCTTCATCGCACTCGTTGTTTGTTGTGTGCAGCTTCCCCTTTCACTTTTAAAGACAGCTCAAGGGCATCCTATGGTACGGGTCACCTTTGCCATAACACTTCTTGAATATATTCTTTGGAACATCATGAGAAAAGATAGAATTTCACATAATGCGAGGAGTTGTTGTGCACGACTGTAATCATTTTATATCCTGCATGTTGGATCGTTACATGGATCTTTTAGGTCTAACATGACCTCGTCGGTAATCTGCAGCTTGTCGAGCTCAAAAATGGAGAGACTTATAACGGCCATTTAGTAAACTGTGATACATGGATGAACATTCACCTACGTGAAGTTATTTGCACCTCAAAGGTGATTATTTTTGCTACCATTATCTATTAGGGTTTTCAAAGTGATCTGCCTCGTCCCAGCTGCTGGTTCATATTTATATTGCAGATGAATTAATTTGAGTTATTCTTCGATTGTTATTGATTCCTTTTGGTTTTATAATGGATATGTGGGCATTGTAGGATGGTGACCGGTTCTGGAGGATGCCTGAATGCTACATTCGAGGAAATACTATAAAATATTTGCGGGTTCCTGATGAGGTTAGTATTTACGATTCAACTTCTAGCTAGCGGTTTTAATCCTGTTCTGACAATCAGTATACTGTTATTCATACTCTTACGAAAGCGTGCAATGTGCCTGATTTGTTAATAGTTTCTGAAAGCCATCATCATTGCTATTGTTTCCTCCTTCAGGTCATCGATAAGGTTCAGGAAGAGACAGTGAAACGTTCAGGTGCGGTTATTTTTCCAATTCACATTAACCCGTTTTATTGATTAATTGATCTATTTATTTTGCTTGACTCGTATGAGATGATCATAATGAGCATGCCGCGACGCCGGTGCTTTTTTTTATACCCTTAAGAATTTCTTTGAGGAACCTCCTAAGCATCTGTTGGAAGATGTACAATTGTTTTGACAGATGTAAGACCACCCATGTTCACTTGATGACAAGAACAACAAAGGGTTGGTGATCATTTGCCGAATTACGTCAGTACCGGTCAGTTCGTCTAATTTTCAGGATGATTTATGTCCAGGACATCTAACTCATGAATTCATTCTTCATATCAGATCGTAAACCAACAATTGGTGGCCGTGGACGCGGTCGAGGAAGAGCTGAGGATGGAGTTGGTCGAGGCAGAGGTGGTGAAGGAGGGAGAGGAGGAAGAGGTTATCAGGAGGATGGTGCTGCTGGGGGCCGAGGTGGTGCACGTGGGAGTGGCGGTGCCCGTGGTGGAGGCAGGTCTGGTGGTGGACGAGGTATGCCGAACAGCCTGCATCCTCTTCGACGTTTTGCATGTTATGAGTTTAGAACGCTGGCGAAGTCTTCTGAGCTGATGTTTTACAAATTATAGTTTGTTTTGTTGCATCCTAGGAAACTTAAACTATTCTTCAGTTGGTTGGGCCGATCCGAGTTTTTTTTTTTTTTTTTTTTTTTTGGTTTGGTTTGTTTTGTTTTTTTTTTTCTTCCCTCTCTTTGTTTAATAAAAATTTAGGCTGTTAAATCAAAATTCTTGACTCTATTCTGACCTTTTTGTGTACTTTTAGGTGGTGCAAGTAGGGGACGAAGCCAGTGAAGTACCACATCTATCTAGTGTTCCTCCTCTTTTTCTGGCGAACATGGTTTTCTTGATGTAAATTTGGCAGCATATAATAACAGATTAGTTACTCCTGTTTATTGTTGCCTTGTTCGGTACAAAGGTCCTCTTAGTTTAGAGGTGCCCCGCAAGAAAGTGCCTCTCTTTAAGCAGATGCCCACGACAGGTTTTACGAGGGGGAGGCTGCAAGGCACAATGGTGGGATGTGGAATAATTGCTCCAATGGTCGACGTAGGTTCCGTTTCCACTAGTGAGGAAGTGTAGAAACTGATCTATTGCGGTGTAGTAACAATCAATTTGCTTGTGAAGCAAGAGACATGCTTTCACGTAACACTTCGTAAAATCACCGTGGCATGATTATATATAGATATTTGTGTGCAGATCATTTTCTTAATTTCTAAGAAGACTCAAGTTCTACAGAAGATAAGAAGAAAATACATAGAATGTGTCTCAATTAATAATCTTCAGGGGTAAAAGGAATAAATTTGATACCTTTCATGGGTAATGCGTGTTCTTTTAATTTATTGATAAAGACTACATTTATCTGCAAGTCACATATTGCTCAACTAAGATGTTATGATTCTATGATATAGAACATGAAGCTGTTTATATAATTTATATTTGTGGTGGCAAAAGCATGTAAAAAAAATATTGTAGAAACACCCTGATTGATGTTTGCTTCGAAATGGTTACTGAAGAAGCATTTGACTCTCATGAAAATGAAGTACTGTTTGTGGAAAAGGTAAAATTTAAAAGAATTCATCCATCAATAAATAGGTAGGTAAATATATACTTGCTGATCTGATAATGTACCCACCTTCATTGCAAACAGAAACTGTCTAGAAACCCTCGGTCACAGGACAGTCTCGTCCCTATTATGTATGGAGGAATTCATTCATTTTTATTCAAGGCAGCTCCGAAGTCTGATAAAACCCTAACCCTAATCCTATCTGGGATTGTTCTTTGTCACCTCGTTTCCTCAGAAGATAAATTGCCCTCCCTCGTCCCTCATACTGTGTGCTGTCAGCCATAGTAGTGTTCCCGGCGGACGTCGTTGTGGCTTCTATGACGTACTCGGTAGATAGATGTGTGTCTTCTGGTCCAGTTATGAGAATGGCGTCGTTGTTCGTCTGGTTTTGCACACACCTGAAGTTGGTCGATTTTTTTCAGTGCCGTTCAGCTAAACTATGTGTGCATAGAGTCATGCTTAAGCACGCTGGTTATTCTAAGGACGTTCAATTACCTGAACCCTCCTGGAACATATCTAGTGACATATCTCTATGGAAAGTAGTAGATGAAGTGTATCCTTGGGTTCGTAATGTTTAAGTAACAATTACTCTTATAATGTTGCGTAATCTTCAGTCTTGCATTTCGCTTTCAACGATTTTGCAGTGTCACTTTCTTTTCTTGGAACACGAATTCTGGATTCCATTCCAGTATTAGCGTCCAGGTCGAGAAAATCACTGATCGGAAGTGTTATTCTATTCCAGCATGTAGAATAACACTGGGATTTGTGCTCACGATGCATCACACAATGGCAAGGCAAGCCTCTCAATAGTAACATATATCAATTTCCCATTCTGATTTGCGATTACCTGAGAGACATTGGCCCAGGACTATCTATGTCCAGTCTCATTGATAACTGTTGTGCCTGCAGAACTTGTAAGAGAAGTGCTTTCTGACTTGGATTTCTGCTCCAGGTACTGATGTGTGCTGGTTCAAGACGAACTATATGCTTAAATTCGTTTAACACTGCTATGGTGAAGGTTTGAATCTTCAATAACATTCGAAATAAATTACTCTAATTTATCAAATTTTCTCTTGTTTGTTTGTTTGTTTTGATTTTTTTTTCCTTCTTTTTTGATTTTTAAACATGGATGTCGTAGTTTTCTCTTGCTGCCAAGAACATGATCTTATAATTTTTATGTCTATGCAAAACGTACTCAAATAGGTTTTCCAAGTATTTAGTACACAAACATGAAGAGATGTTCATTACAGAGCATGATGCATTTTCAAAGAAGATTATACCTGGACCCACAGAAGAAATAGATCGGAGAAAAAGTATTCATGAGATTTAGTCAACCATTTCTATGTAAAGTACATATTTTTAGACAACAGCTCATTCCAACTAGTTGATAAGTATACAGAAAGATTCAAACAATTAAAGTCAACAATATCATTATGTTACAATTTTTAGGAGAGGATACACTTTCATAGCTGGGCCATATGGAAATAAAAGAAAAAACTATCAAATCAATTGTAGCATGGCTTTACTTGAGCTAAAGTAATGTTCCAACATAAAGCTCTAGGGTGAGAGTTGCTTTTGACAGGTAGTTTTATAATAATAAACACTTTAATTTGGTACAACGTAAAAAAATTGAATGGAAAAAAATACTCAAATAATACTATTGGCATCAAAATGTGGGAAAAATAAAGATTACAGTTCAACTTATTCTTTTCAAGAGTATGGATTTTGAAATCTTAATGATATTGCAAATGATGATACTCTAAGCATACCGTAAGTTTTGAACAAAATGGTACGTACCAACAATATATTTGGTGATAGCAATGCTGTTTCTAATGACATCATATTAAATTTAAGTTGTAGTGTGATAAATCCCTTTTATACATTGTCTAATCTTAATTTCCAATTTTAAGATTTCGAAAAAAAAAAATCGTATTATGTTGTATTTTTGCCATCTACAATTGAAATAATAAATATAATGTAGTATCCCTCATTTCCCGTTACAAAATTTAATAAGTAGAAGAACAACCTTCTTATTATATACTTTATTAAGTCTATTTATAAACATTGATAATAATTAGAGATTGATCCAAATAAATCTATAACATAAATTATAATTCTTATTTTTCTACGTGTTTGCTAACACTACAAATACTTAAATATACTTAAGAAACGGTATTTAATTGACCATTGCAGACATGGAAACTTGCTTCCAAAAACTATGGAGAGCAAAAAGTGAAGGCCCGAAAATCAAAAAAATAAATGCTAAAATACATGAAAGAATTATTTTATTTATAGAAATCTGATATTCGGACGAGCTTGGTAGGTCATGTCCAACTTTCAAGTGATCAATGAAGTTTAAACATGACCATATCATTACAAACCAGACAACCAGTCCAAATTGTACAGAGGTTGTGGAAGAGGATATCAACCCTGAAAGTCATCCGAACTTGGCAACAAAAGATAGAAACTGAGAAGACTAATCCAAGAAATGAGAAGAACTAACCTCATTTCAATCTGAAGGCCAGCTGCAGGTGGGTTCCTCCCTTCTACATATCATTCGCTTACATAACTTACTGTACTTCGTTGCAGTAAGAGTTTCATTCTAACTAGGAATACCAAACACATCTCGAGTACAAAGACTCCAGCTACGGTCATCCTTGAACTCCAAGACATATGTGTGATGTTTAACCAGGGCAGTTCGATGACCAACTGAGACATACGTTGCCAATTTCTTCGATAAAATTGCATACAGGCGTGCTTCGTTCCCTGCATCAAGCGCGCTACTTGCTTCATCCAAAAAAGCAACTTTGGGACAGTGCAAAAACAGCCTTGCAAACGCCAGCCGTTGCTGCTCGCCTGAGCTTAAGGTGTCCGACCAGTCATGCACTGCGTCCAACCCACCAAAACGTGCAGGTAATCCGTCCAGAGCTACCTCTTTCAATGCCTCGTGCAGATCACTGTCACTGGAGTAGCTACAAACATTTGCGTTACTCGGAAAGAGAAGTTGGTCACGTAGAGATCCTAACGGCATGTATGGTTTCTGGGGCAGGAAGAAGGTATCACTACTGAGTGGACTCTGAATGCTGCCAGTTCCCCGGCTCCACAGACCTGCAACTGCTCGTAGCAATGAGGATTTACCACATCCAGAGGGACCCATAACGAGAAGCGACTCTCCAAAAGATAGCTGTAAATTCAGATCATGGTAGAGCACACACTGGGAATTCGGAGGTATGATTGAAACATCCCTCATTATGAGACCTGGACCAACTTCCCTCTTTATGTTTCCTGCACCACAGCCAGAGAGAGCACGTCGTAGTGTTGTATTTCTTGTATCGGTTTAGAGAAATGACTGTTGCGGAGGAGAGGTTGACTAACAGAAAATGAGATCTCCTTATGAATCAGGTAAGCATTCTGTGGTTCTAGATTGCAGGCACCAAAATAATCAGCTCATTACTGAAGTTAAAAACATTTTTGAATTAAGCCGCTTAAAATAGACGAGAAACATGAGTTCAACGTTTTGTAATGTAAGGAGAAGAACCCGTAGGAACAGGCCCTGAAATGTTCAGCAAAGAGATGTCTTCACGGTCCTCATCAGCAGCCAGGCCTAATGATGCTGAGGTCCGCCCAAAATATCGTTTCATTACGCGCACATCTCCAGTGTGTGTCTCAAGAGCTGAAAGTAGGGCTTCCAGTCTTTCTGTCTGCACTGCAAGCCCACTGAGAAACCGTTTTCCTGATCAAGACTTTGATGGGACTAGTGTTTTAAGACAACCTAATCGACGACTGATTAATCATATTTATATCCAAATTAGCCCTTAAATAACAACCTCGTGGAACTTCTCGATTATGCACCCTATAAAACATAACTCCATAGCCAATGTATAAGCAAAAAACCAGACACTCTTCAATGGTACCCTAAAGTAACATAATTTTCTCTTCAGAAACACAACACTAGGGACAGTAGGTTTCAAAAATACATAAATTGTAATGACAAACCTGATACTGTCAAACTTAAACACAATGACAGAGAGAGCAGCCAGGATCTTGTGAAATGCATAACCAGTTTGCGAAATAACACCAAATTGCACCTGTGAAGGCATTTCAGAAATATTCACTAGTATTCTTCTATTGAGAATTTAGTCATTCTAGAAAGTCCTAACTACTATTCTATATGCAAGGTCAAGATACACTTCTTTCCAAGACCCAACCCCGAACATTTGGATGGTCAAAAAATTGAAATTTACTTTAAACAAAAGCACACAGTCGGATGGATACGCAACATACCTGTCCAGAAAAATAACGAGGAGCGACTATGATGGATGGAACAATGATCATAGAAAATTCATATATGTTATTAAAGAGAGATAAATGCCGGTTCCATACAATAAGTTCTCTGACATTTTCCACCATGGAAACTAAAAAGTCCTGAAATCAAAACACAGAGGGTATCGTCAGCTTTGCACAAAACCCAAAAGCCTGAACTGATTACCATGAGCAATACAGGGTGGTAATCGAACATGTTACTATACACATATCATCACATCGTCAAAAATGAATAAGTTTAAAGTTGGAGGACCTTAGTTGTAGCTGCTTCATGGCTTTCACCTCCATAGAAAGCTATGGACTCGACATTGTCACGCACTCGCACAAGGGAATACCTGAATTCTGCCTCTCTTTGAAGAGCCTACGCAGAAGTGAAAGTCATGATCAGTTGAGTCAACCCTACTTGCTGTTGATCTCAAGAAATTTTACCAGATAGATTTACAGTTCACATTATTTGAAAACTGGATGTTGCTGTATTTGATAAAGCTACCTTGAACTTGAGGCTCGTTAATCGACCTCCAAATCCCTTCACAGTGACGAGGGTTCCAAATGTTGCGTATACAACCAGGAAGTAGACCAACTCTGGGGCTATGGTCCTGTGAAACATCAGATCCATATCAAAGAAGTAAGATTATTAAAACCAATGAATACAGGGAATGCTCCCCTGGTATATTGTGACGGCATTCTGGCTCTAAAAGCCTAAAACAAGTTGGTGGCTGAAACCCGTTTACCTCTTTACTGTTGAAGTAAAACATTCAAGCAAGAGACAACCAAAGAAACACAACCAAAGAGAGTACAGCTAGAAAGTGCACAAGTCATAAAAGAGCTTACCAAAGAACTCCAGCGAAGCCGATGACACTCAGAAACTTGCCTGAAAACAAGGCAATGATCTCTACAGAGTTTTTGACAAAACTGTATACATCCTCGCAGATTCGTTGGTCAGGATTGTCAACCTTACCATCCATTTTTAGATCAAAGTAGGCCCTATTGGCTTCAAGTATACCCAACCTTCCAAAAACCAGAAATTAGTTCTGCTCAACCAAGTGTACCATATCATGCAGTGCATCTTACAGGTCCCAAAGTTTGCACCCTATTTACTTCGTGAACAAAAGAAAACACACAGGAGCAGTTATCAATCCGTTATGGTTACAAAGGCTAGCTCCTTTTCCATACAATAGAAACCAGACAAGCAAATTACCTGGATGCAACAATTATAGCACATCATTATAACATTGCAAAATGGAACATAGCGAGTTGCAAGGCTTAATAAGAGGAGTTAGTACAGAAATAACTGGAGAGAAGATACTCCGACATCCATGCCCGCCACTCGAGACTAAGCAGCTCCTGTAAGCAGAAACCTAATTTTAAGACTGCTAGCCATGCATCTGGAGTGGTGCAATTGTTGCGTATAAAATAAGCTTGCTAATTTTCGGGTTCTACAATGAAAACCTACTACAATAAAACAACGCTGACATGCGAACATAAACAAAAATTGTGTTGAACTCGAGTTTTGAAAGTATCTTCTGCCACTAAATCTCTAACGCTAGTATACATGAGAGATTCAAGACCTGCACAGACGGCAAGTGTGAGAAGGGACCTGCATGTACTGGTAAAATGAATCCAATGGAGCTGCAAAGATGACAATCATCACAAATCGCCTGATGGCTCTGTAAAATTCGGCAACATCCTTACTGGAAAGGGCGGTCGAAAAGTCTCTTTGTACGTATGACATCACGACGAACAAGGCTGCCCTGGCCAAAGTTACTGGCAGAATTAGACTTGTGACATGTCGATATACCTGACTGCGTTAGGAGACTCTTCGGGAACATCCGGATTTCAAACAGTGAATAGATTAAAGACACTTCAGGTTTATGGTCCGTGCAAGTCCTCTCTACAGGAAAAACTTTAGATGATAGAGCACAAGGGTTTGAGAAACAGTGCAGGTAACAATTTACAATCAATGTGAACCGAAATGCAATTAATAATCCGCACTAAACTCATCCAACTCTTGTAAAATGACGTAATAAAATAACTTCACCTCGCGGCAATTGAGTAACTGGAACCATTTGTAGCCACGAATAATAAATTCGTGACCCATCCATACAAACGATTTCGCATCGCAAATTTGCTTAGCAGGGACAAGGTTTATGACACTTTCTGACTTCATACATACAGTCATTATAGCTACGTTACAAGCTATATTTCCAAAGAAAATCAGAAGATATTCAGAGGGCATAACTCTTTGTTAGTGTACATGTGTCAAAACAGAAGTTTCAGGAAATTTACGGACACATGACGGCTTTAATTCTTCACTTTATCAAACACGTGACCACTGACCAGCCTCAGCTTACTGCAATAAATATAACAAAAGAAATACCGACATCTTTCATATTAATGTAATCCTATTTGACCTAAAATGCTAGGTTTTGAAGGTCTGAATACCCAGGTAATTATCAAGAAAATTGTAGGGAAAAAACCTGAGCTGAAAATGCAAAGTATGAGGACGATAAAAAGAAGATATCGGGCTCTTGCTTTACGACCGCCAAAGAAGTACATGCTGCCCACTCTCCATAGCTTTCGAGACACGTCCAATGATAGATCCGGAGGACCCTGCTGCCTCGTCCCCAATTCTGATGCCGTTGATGTTGTTGACATTGCGAATGCCAAACTGTGATACTCTCAATGATTTACCCTATGACATTAGGTGATGATACCCACATTTCGCATTCGCATCCGGGATTCTACTTTGGGCTTGCAGCGAGCACAATATACATCTGTATATGAATTGCCCTAGCAGTTATTGAAAGTAACTTCGTTGAGTTGGCTCTAAAAGTTGGTTTCTCTCAAAGACTTGAATGGTCACAAATCATCAGAATAATTCACATTTAGTTACAACCACGACACTTTGGTATTCGAATCTGCTCACAGCCATCGTTCACAACCTAAGGAACTACAACTCTCAACCGCTGCCACCACCACCACCTTCTCTTTCAAACATCAATGACGTAATTTCCACCATCCCCGTCTCCACAAATTCAATGTACATCAAATGAAATTAAAATGTCATGGTCGTCGAGGTTGAATACCTAGCTCTCAAAAAATCCCTCTCCTCCGATCCTCCAACCAGATGAAATTGCGGCCACTGCCCAAGAGGAAGATACATGACGGACTATAATGTCCACTAATTGCATGACAGATTCAGAGTGCTCTCAACTTCCTTACAAATTAATTCTAAATATCATCAACATTGGAGCACACCTGGTAGTCAAAATGACGATGTCAGAGTAAGAGAGGAACAGACGAATGCGGTCTTCAAGTCTTTAATGTCCACATAGAACCCATGTGGCATTTTGGGTTGGCTCCTCCCACATATCATCTGGTTCCGGCTTGAATTCATCCTGCAACCAATAGTGGATACAAAAAGCAACGAAGTGAGGAGCCATCAAGGATTTTTACTTTTTTTAATTAATACATCAGCGAAACTTTACTAACTGAAGACAAGCGAAACATAGGCAATATCTCATTTCAATTCCTTTAGACACGCCCCCTCAAGCAAATAAAATAACCCCCCATCGGGTGATTTGATTTACTTAGAGATGTATTGAAGTCTCGAATTTCAAGAAGAAACATACAAGAGAATGCTTAATAAGATATTAAAAGAGCCCAGGTAGAGACCTCATTATCTCAGGAAGTCCATGTGCTGCAAAAGCAACCAATCGTTCATATTAGACTGTGGGAGATCGATTTATTGATATTCATTTGATACTCATTTGAGTCAAGAGAGGCCCGATTGTGGTGAACTTGACCACTGTTGCCTCCTGTTCAGGGAATTTAAGCGCTGTAGAAGAGTGGGGAAACTTCAGCCTGAGCTCCAGAATCCACCTTGCAGAACAGAATCTGGCCTTTGTAATGCAGCAAGTCTACTATCACGAGTTGATGAGGACCCATTTTCCCCATATGCTGTACTCGGCAAAAACTGGGTCCCCATTTGCTTCGTCCCTCGTCATTGACTGTCAATTCTGAATAAATAATCGGTCGTCAACTTTGAGCTTGATTAGCAACCAAGCTGGAATAAAATAATCCTTGTGCTGTAGGCTGACTGTCGTGAACTGATCCAAATTATGATGCTGATTTTTGTTACATATAATAGATATTGATGAGATTGCTCATGCCACAAACCTTACTACGCAATATTACCTACCATCCTTAAATGGATGGCGTCTATTTGGTGAACGCCGATAAGTTTCAGAAAACTGGATTCACTGGTTACTATCGACTTCTTCTGTTGCAAGGCTGACCAAGACAATCTGATCACCTCGCCAAGAGTGAATCTTGAGTTACTTGATTTGTTGGTAAGTTTCCATCTTTTCGTCGTCACAAATAATTCCTACACTTCAATGCACCTAAAATGAATGGTGCCATAGCAGGTGGAATCATCTAGTTGAACATCTTCTTAGAGGTACAGAGGACACCAGCTGGTATGCTCCAAACCACAAAAGAGTAAGTAAAAATTCAGACTTCGAGAGAGGAATTCAAGACAATGAGCTGTGGGAATCATGAAACACAACGATGTCAAATCTACACTCTTCTCAACACGCTCATCAAATCAACAATCAACCTGAACACTTGGAGGAAATTAAAACATATCAAAAAATTCTACCAAAAATCCCGCTCTAGCGAAAGTCAAACAGACGGGGTTTAAAAATCACGCAACCAAAGCACACAGACAAACACACCAAAGACATCGAGAAGCGTGCGCCACCATCTTCCACTTACCAAATAAAATGTATTATCCATCACGCACTTCCTCGGCAACTATCTTCCAAGCTTTCACAGATTCCTCCATAAATTCCAACGGCTGTAACATTCCATCATCTAGAAATCCGCACCAAGAACCATGACACATAGTAAAACCACCATTGCCCTCCCTCCCTCCATGCATGCACGCACGCACGCACACACACACACACACACACTTCATTCATTCATGTTTCTCAAACCCGACCACCGCTCCAAATTGTGCCCGAAACAACCCACCCACACATCTCAAACTCACCCTCCAAACTGCAAGAATACAAGGCCAGGCCCAAGTCGGCATAATGAAGATTCACATATATAATATAATATAGGGAGTTGTTAAAACCACATTACCATCTAATGATTGATTCTATCCATCCCTATCTCCATCTCCTTGTTCCATGTCTCCATTCCCAACCCCTTTCCTTGTTCCCTATCCCTCATTCCCTATCTCAAAATTAATCAGGTGTGCCTTTAACAACTCCCTATATTATATTATATATATATATATATATATATATATAATTATGAAATTAATTAGATTGTAGAAATGTAACAAAATATAATATTATTGGAAAATTTTAATTAATAATTAAAATATTATTTTTGAAATTAGCTAGTTGGATAGAGATATTTTGATATTTAGATTAAGTAGTTACTAATTTGCATTCAATACTTAAATCTTAAAAAATCAAGTGGACTTACTTAAATGAAACTAAAGATAATGTTAAAATGAATCAAAATTTCAAAATTAGTTAGTATTAAAAAATTTATGATGGATTTCTAAGTGAGCTAAAAAATGTTGTTGAATATATAAACAAACATATATAAAATCAAAGCAATAATAAAAAAAATGTGTGTATATATATATATATATATATATATATATAGATATATGTGTGTATATATATATATATATATATATATATATATATAGATATATGTGTGTATATATATATATATATATATATATATATATATAGATATATTTGTTATTTGTTGACATAAATGTACATAATATGAATAATATTTATAATCCAATGTATATTTGTTTTATGCTATTGGTAAATTTTGATATTTATGTGCTTAAAATTTGAAGAACAATAAATCTAACAATAAAATTTTATTTTGAGGTAAATTAATAAAATATACTGAATAAATATATAAAACTAAATTTATTATCTTAAGTAAAGAAATTATGTTTCAATAATTGAATAGATCACACTATACAATTATTTTGACTTAAACTTGTTTAAATAGAGCAATATACTTGTATAAGATGATAAAAGTATTTCTTTCAAATTATTGAAAATCAGTGAGTTAAAATTTTAATTTTATGTGATTAAATAAGATAAAACAGTATTTTCTAATACAATAGAAGTTTGTATATTAAAATTGATGAAAAAGCTACCATAATAATAAATAAAGCTATCAATTCTATTTGACAAGAGTAAGTATTATGCATTTATTTTTTATTAAGTTTCTATGATACTGAGAAGAAAAAAATAAATTTTTAATTTAATATCTAACAACACATAAGAATGAATGATTTACATTGTCATGAATCTAAAATATGAATGCAATATTGATTTTAAGGATTTGGTAGAAGGAAGTAACAAATAAAATTAGGGCTAGTTGAATTCTATAAAAAAAATATAATAGAAAGGTGTGGTCATTCTTTATGTTTTCACATATTATTTTAAAAATTTAGAAAGAATCATAGAATAATTTGGCTATTCTTAGAACTTTATTGCAAGTCTTTTTATAACCTTATAATCTAATGGATTAAATATAATGACATAAAAATTTCTTAAGTATTAATTAGCAATAAGTGCTATCAATGAAAATTTTTTTTGTTTTACAATTTCCATTTTAAATGTAATTACAAAATAACTGAAGAAAATAATAGGATTATTATAGATAATAATTAATAGGATATTGATACCACTAAGTGTGGTTAGGTTACAAGTTGAAATATCCTTATTTTAGAATCTTAGAATAGAATTAAATCTTATACTTAATCTTGAACAAGCATCCTATATATATATATATATATATATTTATTTACATCTTAAATTAGTTTATGATTTGTATAGATATACATGTAGATAGATACATATATAAAATTGACAATTCTTGTTAATTTTGGATTTGGTAATGATAATAACAAAAGTTACATAATATATATATATATATATAAACATTTTTTTTTTCATTGATATATTGCACCTTACAACTCTATTTTGTACTGTCATCTTTGTGTTCATTAAAATAATACACTTGTTACATTAATTATAGAGATTTTATACACAACTTAAAGGTTCAAACAAAAGTGGTACAAAATTAACATACTAAGAAAACAATCCTTAAATTGTTAAATACTATAAGAGTTTCATACAATTTTTTAATTATATTTTTTATTTTTATTTTTTAATTTCAGTACAAACCAAAGTTAAATGTTATTTTATCAAATAGTTGAAGGCATAATTTGACTTTTTACATGAACCAAAAATCAAGTAGTAACAAAGCACTACTATGACATCTCAACATGAGATTTGTTTGACCACCCAAAAAGATTCAAATGACATTCTATCTAAGACATGAATAATAAAAATTAACAATTGAGATCCAATACGACAACAAACTGTTGTGCCAATGATGTACCTTAACAGCTCCTACACATGCGTGTATAAACCAAGGACAATGTCAAGGGTACAAGAATGGTGAGAGTTAAATAAATGAACACTAATAAGGTTACATGGTGCAATTCTATTCGTAAACAAAACAGCGAACAAGACGTTGGAGGCTTTGCACTTGGCACCTACATATCAAGCATCTCTATGCCTTCAATTGCACCACAAACTGTGAGTTACATCATTAACAGACACTCGAATAACTTTCGGACATAACCTAAAAGGATTGCAGCAAAAAAAGCGTAGAATCCTCAAGTGATCCCATGGTAATTTCTCAAGCACAACTCTATGCAGTCAGGACGTGAATCTTGACAAGATCTTGAATAGACTCCAGCTTCTTACTGAGCAGTTCCACACTATGTTCTTGAATAAATCTCAATGAAAAGGTGGTTCAGACTTTTAGTCCAACTTCCTCCCAGAAATTGTATTTAGCTGTCTAGCTGTAGCTTTCTCCCGGTTGTCTGATTCATTTTCAGATTCTAATTCCTTCAGTTGCTCTAACCGTCGCAAGACATCGAGGCGCTCTCGGCCATAAGCAGTAGGAATCTGTAACAAAAGTATCAATGAAAACGAAATCAGATGACGATGACCAACTGTCGGAAAAGTTAGCAACTGAACAAGACAATCAAGTTCATTACACTTGGCTACACAAACACCACTTTTTTCGCGTATTATTACTACAAAAGAACGCAGAAACAAAAGAATTTTTAGACTTTCTATACTCCAAACAGGACTAACTGGAATGATCAAAGGGGTATGCTTTTCACTACATCAAGCAATAATACGTGCGCGTAGCAAGGCAAGTTCGAAGACATTAGTCACAAACCAGGCCAGGGACGTATTTCTTAATAGCAGCAAGTATAGCAGCATGCCCCACAGCGGTAACCTGCGACAAGAGTAAAAAAGCAATCAGGGAAAAAGATACATTTAAAAAAAAAAGGATATCCTATTTTGCTCTCCTGTAGCTATGAATGAAACCATACACGTTGAGTATAATTTTGCAAGACAATAGTGAAAAGCTTAGACCATCAATAATATTTTAATATAATTTGAACTTCACATTGCAAAAAACTATAAGAATAAGAAAATTCATTTGTATTTTAAAAAACGGGGGAACCAAATAGTCAGAAAACAGAGAGTTTGTGCCTTACAGGCAATAACATAAGAACTGCTATGGGTATGACTGAAGCAAGGTCAGTGACCGTTCTCATGAGTATCTTTTGCTCCCGGTCGGTGAGTTCCTGACCAGCAACACTTCGTCTTAACAGCAATACTGCCACACCTACATCACTGCCCAGAAGAACAGTGCCCCTCCATGCATCCTACTCCCAATCATAACACACACATTAACATAAACAGGAGCTTGATAACTAAGAAAGCTTCCTACACCAAAGCTTAGTAACATCGAAAAAATTGCAGTTCGATCTCAATCCTAAACCTGACATCTAACACTTCAAATATTCTGCCTGATGTATTGTTTTAGATGCGAATAAATGATCTACTGTGAACGTCTTTCAACAGTTGGCAAGTTAACATAAATGAAAGCTTACAGAGGTAGCATCTTTGAGCTTCTCAATAGACTTGCCAATGACACCTCCAGAAGTTCCAGCAACCTCCGAAACATCAATGCCATCCTCAGTGAACCCGGAATTTAGGCTGGTGATCGATGTATTTGACATCCGCACCATATCTCCGCTTGATGATGCCTGGCCCAACCAACAACCAGTCAGAATAACAGCAAGAACAGAGCTAGAGAACCATTCATGATGGTTGTGAGTTGAAACGTAAGGAATGTAGGATATCTTGGTCATCCACCAAGCCTGTCAGTCTGTTCAGAACAAGAACTCACCCTTTCTGACCCTGCTTGCACAGCAGCTTGACGTATACGATCCTCTAATGCAGCCAAATCGCCTCTTAACTGCTCAATGGCTTCGTCTTCTTTTAAAATCAAATCTGCTCGTTCTGCTTCAAGTTTAGTTGCTTCGTAGTTAGGTGTCCACGCCTGTGTAGCAAAACAAAACCTTACGTTCAAATCTAGATGATGAGGACAATTACCAATATCAGATCATGCAAACACTGACCGTTTGAAGTTCGGAAAGTATGAAAGAGCCCACTCGCTCAATAACTCACAAAAAATCTACTCATATGTAAGAACACAACTCAGTATGAGATGATGTCGAGCATGCTTACATCATCGCTGACCGCAGAACTGCTTACATCTTCCCTTTCCTGCTTAAGATTTGAGAACGGGAAGATGAAATTTACCAACCCTCGACCAAGATTCGCTGCTCCTTGCAGAATAGGATTCTCTCTAAGTAAAAAATTCAAACAAAAGCAAGTTGCAGTCATTTCTCCATATGAAATATGCACTTCAGAACAGAAACTTCAAATGTCGATAAGGTAGACACTACGCTTGCCAAATATAAAAAAGAAGCAAAACAACAGGTCCAGGACTTCCAAGTCCCTCACGTGTACTGCACAACTAAAAACCACAAATAGAAATAAATTAGGTTAAGTTGCTGCACTAATTTAATGTACGGGACAGACGAACCCCAAGAAGTAACATATTTTCCTTGTTTGTACTCAGATGCTTTCAGAAAACTAACTCTTATGGAGGAAAATAAATGGAGGGAGCATGCCAACAGAGTAGAACCTATTTTGCGACTGCAAACTTGTGCTTCGACGGTCATTCTCCTCATAATCACTCCTCCCATCTGCGTTCCCTTTGCCATTCTGCACCAAAACACATTTTGCTCATGTTAAACTTCACACGAAGTTCAGTCAATGCTGGAGAACTGCGAAGTTGAAAGACAGGTTTAGCATAGAAGCTGAACACATGACAGGTTGGGCAATATAAATCTCAATGTGATCTACTCCAATCCACAACTGGGAACTTAAATGAATATGTCTTATTCTTCTATTAAGTTAATTGTTTTTTAATTTTTAATTTTTAATTTTTAATGATTCATATATTTGCGTATTATCCATTCCCAAAGATGAACGAAAGCTAACATATTCTGCAGTACACCAATAAACCAACACTGAGGAGGCCCACCAAAACTTCAAAGCTCTTTCTTAAAAGGCCAGCTTCGGCTTTCAAAGACAGCTCCAGTGATTCTACTTCTCTCTTCAGTGCCCATATCCTCCTCAGATCAACCCGGATTGCAGACAAAGTTTCTCTTTCGGAACTTCCATTAGATTCAGACTCTCTGAGGAGCATTTCCAATTTGTGAATGGCGAGCTCCACGCTTTGTAGCTCCTGCAGCATAAGTCCCCATGATGAGAATTGCAGACCTTCAAGGCGTATATACTACACATTAAAACTCTCACCCTTGAAACAACATGCCACTAGCGCTGTAACAGTCCTTAAAATATTTTAGAACCTGCCGCTCTACTTGCCTGCATGCTACGGATACATTAAGTACTAAACGTGATTACCACAAAAAAATCAAAGTTAACAGTAATCTTCACAACAAAATATCCTTAGGACCTCAGATAATGACTAAATAAGATTGCAAATTGCTCTAACAGAAACTTTTGAACAAATTCAAGCACCCGGTAAGAGGAAAAAGAATACTTCATCAAATAATTTGAGTTGACGTTCCATTTCCTGCAATCCCATCTGATCTGCTGGGATTTTACTCATGTTTAGAGGTGTCACAGTAGGAACATCCCAAGTACGCAATAAGTTATCTTCAAACCGCTTAACATTTGCTTTCCCTTCCAAATCTTGTTTTTGGCTGTCGGTGACACTTCTTTTCCCATCGCTTCCATCCCTGTCACAAAGGTGTACCCAAAGAAAAGAACGACGTTAAGACTTATCCCATGCACACTTTTCAGACGAGAATAATTATTCATAGATGTCAAAAATTAAACCCAACAAAAGTATAACCACTCTGCTGTCAAAACGAGGGAAAATCTTGTCAAAAACAAATTGATATAGAGCAAAGCCAGAAGAATATTTACCTGATTGGAGTTCCATCACTACCTACCAGCTTGTACACTTTGAAGCACTCCTCCAGGCGCTGCTGACTGTTGCAGTAACAATACTTGAGTAAGATTTACGAAACAAGTGAAATAAATAATTTCGTCAACAATCACGAACTCAAGGTCAAGAGCTTTCTGGACACTGAGGATTGCACGACCCGCATGAGCAGGATTTTGTGGTATCAACTTCAAAAAGAAAAGTTACTAGCATTCTAGGTTTATAAAACAAAGTGTAAGGCAATGAAAAATGGGAAAAAAACTCATGAAATAAAACACTGAAGTAGAAAAATAAACGCCATTAGTGGCACGGTCGACTAAAAACTACTGAAGTTAAGTGAGCGTAATAACTGTTACCCCTTCTCAAGGAACGTGGCCCCCCGAAAACCTTGTGGTTGCAGAACCCAGGTACTGTAACGGCCAAAGCTTCCAACCCACGACGAGCACATCTGAATTGCCACTCCAAGAGCCATTTGCTTTTCTGCTTTACTAACTCCAGACATCACCTTCTTGTGCTCATTATGAGACTTGGCTGGTGGGCTTCCTGGATAGAAAGAAAGCCACTCCATCTCTTCACACACTACCTGCATAAAAAAAGAAATAGTTCAACAATCGCGCCCAAGAACGCCAAGTTGGCCCATGAAAGGTGAGATAGAAGTAGAACTGTTCTTCTTCCACGAATATACTTTGATAGACATATGTGAAATGGTAAAGGAGCAGTACAATGAGAGTAGCAATCATTTCTTCCAAAAAATGGAGACATATAACAAATCGCGTTATAAAATATCAACTTCTTTTTGAGACCATCGAAAGGGACTTGATTAGAATTCCTCAAAGAACAAGATCATGTACATTTTCTCAATGTTTTCTCAATCCAACAATCATCGAAGAGCATCAGTTCCTGGTTCTCACCTCCACAAAGAGCTGGTAAGAGGATACCCTTGCAAATTGCGGATAAAACAAGACACTACCACCATCTAAGTACCTGTAGGACAAAGCACATGAAGATAAGCCTCAAATTACCATTTCTTAATTCAAACATGAACTTCGCCTGATTAAAGAACTAAAACAAACTTTTACCATTGCATGCATGGTGTAGGATCTTTCACGGAGGATTTAACAAGTACCTAAGCAGGCTTGCAAGTGATTCCTCCGAGTCACCTACACCTCGGCTTGCTAAATAGGCCCTAGTGCTTCGTCCCAAAGCGACAAAGAATCCAAATAGGCCCAAGTCCTGCTGCAGATCCTGCACGCCCTTTTTTAAATAAGATAGAAAATAGGGAACTTGTTCGAGCATGAGCATTAGACGCACCCCAAAACTTCCGGACACAAATCACTCGTTAGTATTCTAGGTGTATTATTCAAATGGGATTAATTTACATCTGTGAATCATTTGCACACCAGCTAGCTCTAAGATTGCAAATAAATCCATGTCAAACATTGTAATAAATATCCAAACGACCTACCCGTTCTGTGTTCAATACGCACAACATATCACAGTTAATTCGTGCATAGTAACATCTCTTCTTCGTAGATGTGAGGATTTAGGCAAGGAGTATGATGACGGCAAGTACATTACCTCAATTCCCTCAGTCACTTGTAGTTTTAAGTGTACACCTTCCCTAACTAAAGCTGCACAAAGCAGCTGCTGTATAAGATTGATCCAGAAGACCCCTTCTCTTTCATTAGCCTGCCACTTTTGCACGTCTGCTGCTCTAGATCCGAAGTTGTCGAGAAACTGCCGCTTGAATCCTATACTACATGAAAACTTATATATGTCTTCTATTGACATAAACTCAAGCAGCTTTTGAATTTGGCGGCCAATCTCCTCGGGTAGCAATGATGTAAATAGAGGACAAGATACTGCTGTTGCCCCTAACTTCGTGATGGCTGCGCTACAGGTCAGAAAGAGTTTAAGAAGTGCAACGTCACTTGCATTGCTTGGACTTGCAGCCGTCCCTTCCCAGCCTCTGCAATGATACTTTTGTGAGCGGGCAAAAAAGATTCAAAGATCATCTGAAGTGAGAAAAAAAGTGCAATTAGGTTGAAACAAAAACGAACAGCAAACGGATACCGCTAACCCTACAATGTGGAAGGATTGTCTTCCAAGAATAATTAACTACAAAATAATAATAATAATAATAATAATAATAATAATATAGTAAATAAATGATGTGAACAACCAGCAAACATACCAGAAAGAGGTCCCAGTACTTCACTAGTTTTAACACCATTCTAATCAAGCAAATCAAGGCATGGTTCTTAATGACCTTCAGTTAAAGCAGTAACCTTTACAGAAGCTCAAAAGCATGTTGAAAAGAAAAATGCGAGCTTTCATAAGGAAACAGATTATGGAATTGCAACATCACTTTGTCCAACATGCGATGCTAAGTACTAGAGGAAAACCATACGTGGATGTTACAGCCGCAAATCGCTTGTCTTTCTCCAGGAGACTGACAAAGCTGGCCACAGCCTGAGGATGCTGCTGGAGCCACAACCAATCATCGGACGACGAGTCCCTTGTAGACAACTCCTGCTGGATTGAATCTCTAAGTGGCGCACACTGACGCATTGAGCTGCATACAGTAAAACATCTGGAATTAGAGAATAAGCACGCTTCAGACAAAGAAATCCGGCAAGAAGACAAGACGAAAAAATTAGACTAATAATTTATTCTAATTAGTGAACCAAAATGTTCAATTTTGATACGCTCAAATCCACCGGTAGTTGCCAATGGCTGCACCCGTTAATCCGTCTGTACGAAAGAATAATAGTATGTCCTTCATAAAACCAATGCCTTGGTTAATAACACTGATTGCAAGAAAAAGATACTTCAAATCAGATGACATTCTGACGCAGTCGGGGACCATATAAACAATAATTATAATTGTCTGTAAGATGGACACGAAAGACTAACCTACGCTGTACCAAAATATGAATATCCCTGTCTCGCCCTTCGCCACGCGCTGCGATCTCCTGAACTGCTTGGAGCAGCGAATGTACAGCAGCCTGCAAACCAAGAAAAATTAAAATGTGGACAATAAAATTGAAAGCATACATAATTTTGGCGCTCTTTCACATGTGCATCCATTAAAATAACTCCAGTAGGGAAGGTACTCGGACTCACATTGTGGATTCATTAAGCATTCTTATACAACGTACATCTAAAGGAGTACTGGTAATCCAACGGGAATTATGATATATTGTTGCAGTGAAAATTATTATCACATATCCATCATTTCTTTCAGAATGCGAGCTTCTGCAAGAATAGTGGGAATAGGAATATTCTGCATGTAAGTATTCACTAGGTCAATTGCCTTCGAATTTTTCGTAAAAAACTAAAGTAACAATAAAATATGAAATTAATTCAATACGACAGACGAAAAAACTGCTCCAATTCAGGTGAACAACCTGATTTGGCGGGTTACTGTAGCAATCTATAAATTGTCACTGGTACAGCAAGCACAAGATCTTACTGATCTGATCCAATTACTCCTTGGCATCTGAGGCATCGCTTAGACCTTCATGCCCTAAGGAAATCAAAATTGAGACTACGTTCCATTTAACAATGGATCGTCATATAAAACAGTCACGACTTTGAAACTTTCCCGGTAAAGACATCTGTGTGAAAGTAATTGCCTGGTAAGCGAGTGCTCTCATCCAGGCATTCTTGTCAATGCCAAGCCATTTCTGAGCAAACCAAGGTCCGCGAGTGAGGGATTCTTGCTCCTCCATTGCAGATTGGAAGACAGAAGCTGCCTCATGAAGCGCATGAACGAAATTTTGGCCTTGGTCCCCGCCATCGCTAGGCTTTGCTTCATCAAAGCCCCCCCACGCCTCCGTTTCACCATCCTCGCCCCTAACTATACCATTTTGCGAGGCGCTCTCCTCAGAAGTGGACGAAAACGCTCTAGGATACAAAAGCCCAGCTCCCCCTTCCCTCAGCGGGAAAAAAACCCTAAATTTCTCACTACCTGCAATCCTACTCACTACAATTAATCCAGGACCCTGTTTCAAATTTTTAAGCGCGCTTGATCTCGACCTACAAAAACTATGAGAGTCCACCGCATGTGTACTCTTGCGTACGTTACAGCAACTGCCAGGACTCTCCACCAGCCGTCCCGTCACACCCGCACACACGCCGCTGCACAAAGCAGAATGCATTCTCACGACCACGGACAAAACCTCCTTCCCAGCCACTGAGCACGCATGGAGGATCCAATTCTCGGTTTAAACCAATAAAACTTCAATGCTCAACCCTGCCTCCCCTTCAATTACACCAATCCAAACACTCCAAAACAAACCACGCAACTCACTCACTCCCTCAATCCCTCAATCCCTCAATCCCACTCTCCCTCTCTCTCGCTCTCTCACCCCTCCTCCTCCAAGCTCATAAAACCACATGAAACAAAGAAAAATCCGGTAAAGCCCCTAGCAACGACGGTGTTCCCTGATCAGAAAAACCTCCCTCCTGAAGTGGCGCAATTGCAGCCCTGCGTAATAACTGACTGTGTGGCTGCAGCGAAGATTGGAAAAAGGCAAGAGTCCGACCCTCCTCTTTTTTATTCGTGTACTTCTGTGTGATTTTTCTGTTCACTGGTGTGGCCCAGCTTTAGAAGCAGAATGAGGAGGAGAAGTAATCGGGAGAAGAATGGAGTCTCTAGTTATGGCGCTGAACAGGACGGCGAGGAGGAGGAGGAGGTGGAGAAGCCTGGTTTGATGGATGATAATTCTCCCTTCTGTCTTCATCCATCATTCATCTACTTTTCCCACATCTAGACTTGACCTACGCTTCATTTTCCGGATCATCTACTTTCTTCCATTATCTTCTTCACGTAATCTACGATTCTTGTGTCATCTACGTAGTTCCGTGGGCACCGTTCGATGTTGGTGCCACTGTAGAACCTCGTCCCCTTTGGAGCCTCGAAAAATAATTTAAAAAAAGCTTGCCAAGTCACTTTTACTTTTCCATGATTTTTTGTTCTTCATGCCCTAAAGTAACAATTTTATTTGCTTTGTGCTCTGTGAGATTTAAATTAGTTGTGGGATTGATTGAAATTTAGAAGATTGGTGCAAAAGTTATGATGGTGGTGGGTACTAAGATTGTTGTTGAAATCATTGTAGCCTGTTACAAAGTTGTAGCTTCTCGTTGAGAATGAAAGACCATTTTTTAGATATATTTGGACACAAATTGTATTAATAGTAATTAATCATGCTCAAAAATATATGTTCGTTTTTCATTATTTCCATGTGTTTTAAAGTTTCATTAATGGAGATAGATTTTAACCAAAATTCGTGATAAGAAATATATTAGGTGTAACTAAATTTAATTTTAAAATAAAATAAAAGTCATCTTAAACTATAAAATAAATCACATTCAACTTTTATCATGTCTGGAAATTTTATTATAAATTTATGTTAAGAAAATAGAAATATAAAACTTATTTTGTAAAGAAGTCATATATTCTAATGACCTTTAAACAATGATTTTTTATTTTTATCTTTTAATTTGAAATTTTACATGTGAGTTTTACAAGAACCACCTTCAAATATATTCACATTTGAGGATACAAAAAAATATTCTTAAAAATATATACTAAAAATTCTTGGTAGCTTGTTTAAGGCTAAAATCAAATTAGATGCATTTTTAAGATTATCCAAAGATACTATTATTCGTTTGGGTAATTTTTCTGAAATTGGTTTCTATCTAAACATTATTAAGGTGGCATTTCCTCATGATTAGGTGAACAAATTGCCTGTCCAACAACACAAAGATGTCAATTGATGAACTAAAAACTTCACAAACATTACTGTGCCTAGTAGGAGCGACCGTCCTTAGTTTTATTAGTGTGGGTGCTTAGTAAACTAACGTATATTGAAATATCCAACGCCATGCTGACGTGGCAGATCAGTTCTAGAATCTTCGAATGGATGGAGGGAGGGATGAAGGGAGGGAGAGATAGATGGATGAATGATCGGATGAAGTGACGGATGGATAAAGGAATGAATGGGGGATGAATGGGTGGGTGGATGGAGGGATGTATGAAGTGATGGATGGATAAAGAAATGGTTGCTGGATGAATGGATTGATGAATTCACAAACCGAGAGGTTGCCCTTACCTTGAAGTTCATGGTCTCGGGAGCGGCATTGTTAAGGAATTTGTAGAGCAGAGTGTACAGGGGCCGTTGCTCCTCACTCTGCCGTGTTACGAGCTCCGCATATACGTGCTTATTTCGTAGTATGGAGTCAGATTCATTCGATTGTTGTTGATTTGGCTCACCGTCTTGGTCTAGTCTTCCAAACCTGGTGAGGAGGATTGATTCGGGCGACAAGTTGAGTAATTCCACCAGCTTTTTGTCCCTTAGTAACTCGTCCACAAATTTGTTCCACATGATGGATTTGTTAAAGAGCTTAGGAGATATGGCACTGCTTTCTTGCATGAATTTCCAGAGATTGTTGTTACATTCCTGTTTTGGATCCAACCTATGATCAATCGCTTGATTCCACATGCGGAGGCGAAGTGCCCTCTGGTGCGTGGCGTGGAGTGGAGTGGCGGAGAGTTTTTGAGAAATGCCCTCACGAACTTGGTCATAAAAAAGTCGTAGATATATGCTTCGCATGGGAGAGAAAAGGAGTGCGTATTGCTCATCCTGCCAGTTGAATGCGTCCAAAACTTGATGATCTTGCAAGGTGATCTTGGACTCCAGAAATTTTATCTTCTCTGTGAGTTCCCAATCATGAAGTTCCAAGAGCTGCATCTTGCGCGTAGCTACTACAAATTTGTTCTGAAGGTCTTGCACTTTGTCCAGAAGCTCAAAGCCTTCACTAATGCGTTCTTCATCAAGGATTCTTTTGAGCTCGGCAGGATCGACCTCGTCACCAACTCCACAGATTTGAGTGGCTAGATTGGGATCCAGCACAGCGCCGATGAGATTCTCGACTTTGTGAGGATCTTTTACACGTTTGGACACTTCCTCGCAAATATGTTTCAAGCTAATCCTCTCGTCATTTTGTGTGTGGTTTGCACCACCAATTGGATTTGTGCTGGTAAATAATGATTCCACAGTGGATTCGTCGAGCAATGCAGCCAGATTGACTGGACAGGTCAGTTTCTCGGTTAGTGTTCCTTCAATGGGATCTATTTGCAACAAAATCGATTGGTAGCTCCCCTCCATCCCGATAATATCTTCGGATGCGCTTCAAGGAAACATGCCAGGTTCTCTCTGGATGCTGAACCGTTCACAAAGTGTTTACTCTTAACAAAAATCTTGAGGATATTCTCAAACATACTCTAAGCTTGGACGCAGTAGTGACGTATCCATCCATTTCACATACGACTAATACCATTGCACGCAACAATTTCTAACGTGCTGCAACCAAATAAGTCTCGTTTGACGTCAAGTCTTTGTGATGTTGAAGAGCAGGACGAGCTGCAGCGGAGGGACACAGCCAGGGTTCAACTTCCACAGGAGACAAACCGTTATTTTGCTTAGAAAAGTTCAAATGACATGCCCGAAAGTGAAAATTTATCATGGCGGGCAGTCCTTGGTGATTTGTTCATGGTTTACGCAAGTGGCTGCGGGTACGACAGCAACTGGAACATCTAAACTAGTAAGAATAGTGAGACCATTTTCACCTCCTCATCTCACCACCTTATCATCGGTCACACACTTACTGTTCAAGCCCAGCCGTAACACAAACCTAGATAATTAATTGAGTGCTTCAAACAATGTACAAACAAAAAGAATAACAGAGCGAGATTATTGAAAAATCAGATTTTGGACATGCACACTGGAAAGACAAAAAGAAGATCAAACAAATTCATTCTTGTATGCTGGGTACATGATCCATGTAATAGATACTAAGTGTGTGCCTACAGAGCACTAACAAGAAGTAGCACTGATATTCATGTAACTCATTTTTGTTGGAGCTCAATTCTCTGTTAACTCAGTAACGTCATGTGGACAAAGCAAGATTGTACATTCAACATACAAGATTGCAATTTTATCCCACTCCACCTCTGCACATACCAAGATGGTATGTGGACCCCCAACAAGCTGCTACAATCCTGCTACAACTGACTCTTCCAGCTTTGCTGACCATACTCAATATTAGTGACGAACATCAACTTCAGTCCAGCTGGGTATGAGCATCCTCGTTCACAACGCAGGGCGTATTCCATCTCCACAGTCAGTACTCCTTACCTGAATTGAAGTGATAGCTTGTTGTGCTCACTTTGTCAGGTGTCTTCGTGGTACTTCATATATTTACAACTTAAACGAGCTCCCCAGCTCAAGAAAGCAAGATGTGAGAAACCAAACACACAGAAACCGGTTCCTAATCCCAGCATCCTGCAGCAATATTTCGACGCACAATGTCGTGCAATGTTCAGGAACGAGCTGCGCTTTTATTCAATCGTGGTTTCAAAGAGTGATCCTCTAGATTCAGGAACAGCAGTTGTATGCAAGCCAGGCTGAGAGGTACGATCTCTCAATTCGAGCATTTTCCTCAACACTCTTTCAAAAAAGTGTTAGTTCCAATGAGTTCATCGGCGTATACCATAGTTCCAATGCAGGATACAGCTACAAATGCGCAGCTGTATAATCTACACTGTGCTAGAAGACGGGCCTCCCCAGCAAAATTATATAAAGAGCATATTACCTCCTCAAGTAGTCCATTAAAATTTACAACTTCCCTAGGAACGGAGTTGAAGCCTTATAAACACATCCTACCAAAGTGTTCGAACATTCTTCATCACCTTCAATCCTGTCACCTACCACGCTTTACATGTCACCATGACCTCAGCGTTTACAATGTAAACCTAACTCAAGTGTTTGAAATTCTGTTCTTGCAAGTTCTTGGAGACCCTTTTTCACGTTCAACTTTTCCTGTGCAGCTGGTGGTTCTAGCGAGCATCGTCTGGAATCCTCCTACATCTAGCGCGTGAGTACCAATTATTCCAAGTAGCTTGTAGTGAAATCAACCTTTGCTTGATGTGAGCCTTGAAATACTGATCCTGATGATCGGAGCTTGCAAGAACATTTGGGCAACTCGACGAATGGAAATTTTATTGCCACTCGCAGGATAGAGGGACGCGATTATCGCTTCGAAGTCTAGTTTGGTTTCAACAAACTTAAGCAGTGGGTACTCCACATGAGCTTATCCTAGATTTCGGGGAAAAAATTATCACAATGGTGAAGATTACTGAAGCTAAAATACCATTCCTTCCTCTAGATGGACAGCAAGAGTTATAGTGAACATCAAAGAGGCTTGTGACCACGGCATTGAGGTGAGTATATTCTATGTGTTACTTCTCCATGGTATTTTAAATCGGGTTTTCAATTTAATCAGTCTTGGAATACTCTGTGCAGCAAGCATTCTAGTTTTCTTGGCACTTTTCTGCTCCAGACTGTGCCATCAAGGTTTCGAAACACTGTGTAGAAGTTTTTGTTTGTTTTTTGCTTGGATGTTGAACTTTCTTTCCCTGAATTTCTGATGGAGTCCGGTGGCCCTTCGACCTCTGGTGACAGGAAGTTGGCCTCCCCAGTCGAACAGCTTTGTTTCCTTCATCGGTAAGTTGGTGTGATGCCGTTGCTTTTGAAGTTTTATTATTATTTTCATGTTTCTACGCCCTCATGCACAGCGCTGCTACATGCTCTAATCATTGCAGTGCCCTCAATGCAGAGAGTTTCTTAGGAAAAACGAGAATCTCCGCGATTGTGGTGGAGCATACAACCCAAAATTGGTGGACAAAATAAAGGTTAAGGTCAAGCGAAAGTTACCATGCAGTGGATGTTGTTGAAACAGGGTAGCTTTCGGAGACCGCTCTGCAATATTGAACTTCTCAACAATTGCAAGCGTTACATTACCCAGAACGGACATTTGTGAATTGGTTGCGCATTCTATTGCTTTTCTCCCTATGGCTGTGTTTCTGTAACAGTGATCAATGCATCAGACCTTTTGAGGATTACCACAATAAAACTAAGAAAAGAAGGGTGAACTACTTTGATGTATTGATCCTTGCTTTGGCAATTACCTTGCAGCAGTTTTAGGCATACAAGACAAGGGATGGGCTTGTCCCTCAATGAAGATGTCCCTTCACAGTTTCAGGTGCGTTCTATCTATACGCACTACATATTTGGTTTTGTATCAAGTCTTCGTACAATTTTCACGGCAGATAAATCATACCTCTTAAATAATAGATTCTTTAATAATTGAAATGAGATCCAGCCTTCCCTTCTTCGCACTTTGTTCCGATTCTTCTCTATGTAACTACTTCCCTCGTTTTTTTCTTTTTCCAGTAGAGCGAAAATTCAAATGTACTCGGGACTTCTTGTCACATTTATGCTCCAACCTTTTTCATATGTCAATGCAGTGGAAAGACAAAGCAACAGCCAGATCTTAAGTCTACGTGCAGACTAAATTGCAGGTAAGTGTTCTCTACATTCTATCTTGAGCATAATATGTGATTTGAAATCATTTACTTTTGTGTGCCTTAACTGAACATGGGAGTAACTGTTCCAATTTAGAAACTTAGTAGTGTTGTCTAAGCAGGTCAGCTTGAAGAAGTGGATGTGATTATTCAGTAAGGAATTCGCTAAAATTCATGTCTTGGTTTGCTGTATGTTCAGAATAAGACCCGTATTTCCAGCACGAGTTTCTCCTCTGCAGTTGACTGCGGAAGAGGAGCCAAGAAGCACAGAAACACAAGACCTTGACACTGACTTGATGTCGGTGCTGAGAGGGAAGGCTACTGTAGCTCTACCATTCGAGAACATGGCAATGTGTGTTGATGCTTCCACTGTTGTATTAGGAAGACAAGAACCTGCCAAGGTTAAAGAAGCCCACGGGCTGTTTAGTTGGTTCCCAAGATTCAAATCTCCATCCGTTCTAGCTCCATCAACATAATTGGCTTTGCAATGTTTGTGAGGTTATTATACACTCGACTGCCAACCTCTTCCTAAACTTAAGCAGAGGGTAATCGTGCACAGAAGCCACGAAATTAACATTCATTCTTGTGACAACTTTCAGATCTAGTAGTTTTATCTAGTGGACCAATGTATGCATCCTACAAATAGTTGTGGGGTGGTGCAACGTGTGGCACCCGTTTGCATTACAAAATGATTTCAACCAGCTCTTATTGCGCAATGCCCCTTGGTCCGAAGTCGTAACTATCACACCTAGACTGAAAATAATCTTTGATATCTTGAAATGCTGGATTCTTCTGTCGAACCAGCACTTGTTTCTGTGAGTAGTATCAAATGGCGTAAGCAGCAGAAACCGTGAGTAGTCGGACTGATTTCTCTACAGTTGGGAACTGAAGACAAATGGAGTTTCCTTCGCACTTGGGTGTCAGTGGAATAAGAAGCGACTGAGCAAAACGAAAATCCTCTCGCCCCATCAACCAGGTTTTCCTGCATGGACCTGCACGACGTAAATTGGAAATTCTTGGGGCTAGATCAGTAACGAAACAATTGGACTGCACGATGAAATTCTGGTTCTTCTTCTTTTTATTTTATTTTATTTTTATTTTTACTGTGCACAGATCAAACTGCCTCAGGAGATGAGACTCAGCTCAGTCTCAAGAGTTGCAGCGGTGTACGCAACTGTCAACGTATGCAAAGGTTTACACCAAATGTGTGGAAAAATGTCCATTGATACAAGAATTTTGCACGAGCCCAATTTATCGTCAAAAACTGTCAATACAAAATCGTGCACCTACAATGTGGCCGTAGCGGAAGAGATACCCAGCTGGGTACCTGGTATTAGATGTATCATAACATAGAAATGTTAGAGTTTGTGTGTGTTGGGTACATGTTCCGGATGAAAAATAAGTTTAATTTGTTTAAACGTTACAAATAGAAATGCATTACTTAACTTTCAAAGCTTCTTCGTTAAGAAGTCATTTTCGAAAGTGTGTCCCGGTGTGTATATATAAAAGCTCAAATTAGTTCGTGATTTACATTGCTATCAGTTTTTTAAAATGAGTTTCAATATTATCGCATGTATTAATAACTAATTCAGTTATCAACAAATAAAAACATCAATAACATGATCAACTTTAAGATAATTTATATTATACTCGGAACTATAAACAAAAAAAAAAAGTTTTTAAAATTATTTTGGTAGTTTCATTTTTATGACATTTTTAGGTGTGTTTGTTAATTATGCAATACTCTACTATTAATATCCTTGCTAGTATACACACGGAGATCACATTTTTATTATAATAGTTAATTATTACTTTTTACTTATATTATACAATTCATGCTGGGTAAGACTTGTTTTTCCCCAACGAGATTAACCTAGAATTATTTGACCTATTAAAATTAGGAAGCTAACATCACAGTACTTCAGATTAAATAAAATGAAACAAATAATTAAATAAATAAAGCTGATTAATCAATAATATTTTCATTTGAATCTAAAGTTACCATGAAACACTAAAAAGATCACCCAAATTTTAATGTGAATGAGATTCGAATCCCATTTTATATTTTGATTAAGATTACACCAGTTGTTTCAAGATTCAAAACCCTGTTTGTTATTACATGATTTATGTTGGTTGACTATTGAAGTTTGCTTCTATTCAATAAAATTCAAGCAAGTTCTTCTTGCAACTCAAACGATGATTTTTTACAAAACAAAAAACAAATGTGTGTTTCACATATTATCAAAATTCAGTACACGACACAGCACACTCTACATGAATCTGGTTCTTTTTTCTTTCCTATTTCTCTCAATAATGTATGACATTTATTTGCAAAGCACATAGGTTTACATAGAGAGATAGAGAGAGATAGTTTCCAATCCTAGTAGAGCTTTCTCACAATAAATGTATGCATTAATAAAAATCTCAAAATAGAAACAAAACATTAATCTCATGTTAATCTCATCCAAAAAAGAATCACATCAACCATGCAATTCTCAAAGGAATCTATCTACCCACCATCCAAGTCAACAACAACAAAACACACAACGACGAGTTGATAAGTTCAATCCCTCAGTAATCATTGTCCACAAGTGGCTTATGCACTGAAGCTCCACATAGTGACGTCAAATGATACAAAATATAAATATAAATATATGTATATATCAAATACAAAAATAAACATTACCAACTCATTACCAAGTACAAATGTAGAAAAGCGCATGTGGACAGGTGTATGAACCAAAAGCCAAATTTGTGGGTGGGTGCCACCTGGACACCTCCTCCTCCAATCAAACCACGACAGCTCAATTTTCTAAAAATTATATCCCTGTTCATATTGCACTCTGGGAATCAAAACCTTTGTACTGTTGTTGTTACTGTTGGTTTAGAAGTGGAGCATGAATCTGTGATGAGAATCACAAACACAACACTACTTAATGGATCAGTTTTATTAACATAAAACGTAGAGTGTATTCTTCGTGTGTTGCACAAATGCCCATCCTAAAGTGTGGGATTTTATATATATATATATATATATTTTTTTTTTTATTGCTACACATTACAAATAGAGTTAACAAAAGCACAGATCCGTGTCGACACACCAGATCTGCATCCAGGAAAAAAAAACAAGTTGCGGAATCTGCATGAAACTGAAAGCGCCGGTCAATGCAGTGTGAGCGGGTCCGCCGAGATCAGAGTACTCGCAGCGGAATGAGCGACGCTGCGATGGACGCTGGAAGCAGGAAAGCGGCGGAGGCGATGCAGGCGATGGAGCGAGTGAGTGAGTGAGCGAGCTGGTCCGTGGCAGGCTAATCCGGGTGGAACCAATCCATGGAGCATAGCAGCCAAGGCAGGCAAGGCCGCGCTGCCTAGCAGCATTATGCATCGAATCTGCTTTGTCCACCTCCACAATCGTCGACCATTAACTTCTCGCGGGGGACCCGGACATCGTGAGACCTGCCAACCCTGACTGGCAAAATTTACAGGCGCATCGAGAGTGGCTTTACAGGTTGCCAACTGCCACGTTCCCATCGGCGGAGAGACACGCAAGCATGCTATCTAGCTAGCTCCCCCGAAATCACTTCCTGCAGATGAGGCACTCTGGAGATGAAAACAAGTAAAAATAAAAATAAAAAAATCGTTTTCCCTCTTAATGCAACGCCAGTTCATCTGCTGTCGTGCTGTCTCTTGTGGGCGTGGCCCACTTCGGTACGCTGCGATTCACCCGCTTCGCAGTTGGAAACGCCTATCCAAACGCCAGTGGATTCAAACGTAGAGAACTTCTTTTTCTAGGGCATTAAGTTCACTCCATATTTATGCTGCCAGAGTGATTCTGCTGCACCGACTCTCTCTCTCTCTCTCTGATGCTGAGACATTCTTTACATGCGTAATTAAGTTGTGAGTTCTTTTTCCGCGATTGTTGTGCGGCGGAAAAAGAACTCACAATCGCGGAAATAGCAGGCCATGGAGGATGTTAGATTCTGTAACACTTCCCACCCCTTCAAACCTACTTCCCCAACTCATGACTTGACCTATAGGTAAGTAAGTTCCTTACCTTTCCCTTCTCCTCCTTCCCGACTTGTGTGTCGCTGACAGGATAGCCTACATTGCGTCGCAGCACGAGCCTGGTCTGCTCGCCACGTGCGGCCCTCCCCCCAATATCCCGCCAGCCAGCACCGAGAGGAGTGTGCCTGGTTCATTGTTCCCCCCACTCTGGCCTTCCGCTGCACATACCAGTTCCCGGCCTGCAAAGCGAGAGCCTTTGGAGGCTTACGGTGCTGTGACCTTTGATGCTGTCGTTGCCGCTTCTTCTACTGGTGCCGCCGTGCCTAGGTTTTTATTTTTGTCTTTATTTTTGGTTTTTTTTCTGTTCTCCTCCTTATTCTCAGGTCACGTTTGTAACATTCCCGTTGACCTTGTTTTAAGTGGATGAGTATCGAGGCTGGTCTCTAAAGGCAGCAGGGTAGAGTCGATCCTGTGGTGTGACGTTGGGGTGAGTGGCTAATGGATGGGTTTTGGTGTGATTGAGATTGGTGAGTTGAGGTCGTGTGTTGTTTGTTGGTGTTGATTGGGGAGGGGGGGAGGGCAAGGGTAGATGCGTTGGCAGAGTGAGGGGTATGACATGTTTGAGTATGTTGTGTTTTTTTTGAGGGGATTAAGGAGAGAGTTTCGATTCTGGGACCCCCCTCCCCTCCCGCCACTTTCCGGTTGATTTTGTAAGATCTTAGCTTGTTGACTGCATCTTCTGTTGTGTGTTTGGTTTAGGCTCGAGAGTGTGAATGCTGTTTCATTGCTGATGTAGTGCATGCACTGGTGTTGGTTGTTTTGTTTCAGCTCATGATGGTTTGGCGGATTCGTTCTGTGCATTATGATTGAGGCTGTGGGCAACGGATTCGTTGGCAGCTTCATATGCGTTGCAGTACAGGATATCTGTTTAATGCAAGTGAAGTTGGTGGCACGAGCTGGAAAATCGAAACTGGTAGTGGAAGGAGAAGCTAGCGCGCGTGACAGCCTTGAAATCAAAGAAAAATCAACCGAGGGTAGACGATAAAAAAAAGTTAGGGATGCCTGAAGCTGCGGCTGCCCCGTCGAACGGGGTAACTAAACCAGAAGCTGGGGTCAGAGATGCAATTACGAACGATGGCCCAGATCATGGTGGGCCTCATCACCATGAGCGCCATCACAAGCACCACGATCGGACGCCCGTGGCTGGAACGCGTGGAGTTGGTGGAATTGGAGCTTTGGCCGGGGGGAAGCTGGGAGGTACCGAAGACGACTTGCAGTTATTTTTGCATTGGTTTGGTGTCACTGAGAATTTTTAAAATACGTTTTAATTTTAAATTTTCCCTCTCCCACTGGGGATGTGTGGAAAGGGCTGCTGACGAAAGTTTTCCTCTCTACTCAAGCAGGACATGATGGATCAGGACATGGAGCTCAGAGGGGACAATACATTGAGGGTCACGAGATGGAGGCTGACACCATGAAAGAAATTGTGGAAGGTAAAAGACTCCTGCATGGAACTTTGGAAGTGGAGATCAGATCAGCTGAAAACCTCCCCAACATGGACATGTTCTCGGAAAAATTTAGGCAATGCTTCTCTTACCTGACGATTTGCAAGGCTCCTTTTGTAAAGACAAAATCCAAGATTAATGAGAAAGGTCATGGCCATCGCCCCAAAGGTATCACTAGCGATCCTTACGCTGCGGTCAACCTCGCTGGTGCACGTGTTGCCAGGACGCGGGTCATCTCAAACAGCACGAATCCGCAATGGAATGAGCATTTCTCCATTCCTGTTGCACATTATGTGAGCGAGGTCGAGATTACCGTCAAAGATAATGACGTGCTGGGGGCACAACTTATTGGAGACGTGAAAATCCCTGTGGGTGATATTATGGATGGCAAGGTTGTTGAGGGTTGGCATGATGTGATAGCCCCCTCAGGGAAGATAGCGCATGGGAACGCCAGGATATATTTCACGATGAAATTTACTCCTGTTGAGATGAACCCCATTTACATGGCCGCAGTTGGAGGGCCGGAAAAACTTCATGCAGTCCCTAATACATACTTTCCTTGTCGCAAAGGGTGTGAAATCACCATGTACCAAGACGCCCACATAATGGACGGCTCTTTACCTCAAATCACGCTGGCGGACGGAGTACCATATCAGCACAGGCAAGCTTGGGAGGAGATGTGCACGGCCATACTGGATGCTCATCATCTGATATATATTGCGGGATGGTCTATCTACACAAAGATCAAGTTGCTGCGTGACACTACCCGAGATTTACCGGACGGTGGGGATTATTGTCTTGGAGATCTTCTGAAAAGAAAGTCGGCAGAGGGAGTTCGTGTGCTCATGCTAGTTTGGGACGACAAAACATCTCATCAAAATCCTTTTATCAAAACGGTGTGTCCGTCGATCTAGCTTTATTCCGTATTTTTCAGATCAGCATCAAGTTTCCTCACGGAGAAGTGAGCACTGAAAAGTCTGTTTTCATACTTCCGTATTTCTGTTGTATGCAGGTAGGAGTCATGGGAGTTCACGATGAGGAGACAAAGAGTTTTTTCAGGAATAGCGCCGTTCGCTGCGTTCTGTCTCCACGCTACGCCGATAGTAAACTTAGCTGGTTCAGGCAACAGGTTTTCACTTATAAGCTTTCGACAAAACTTAGACAAAGCTACATTTCGTAGAATTCACGATACATTGTGAGCACTGCTAGATCTATGTTACATGTCTACCAACGACATGCTATATAGCAGCTAAGTTGTGTTGTGCTTGTCTGGAATTGCTTATTTTGATAACCCCCAAATGAAGTTGAACCGAAAAGAGAGACTGCTACATGACTGCTACTATTCTATCCAATGTGACTACTAATCTAGAGGGATCTGCTACTTACCACCAATTATGCAACGCAGGTTGTGGGAACTCTGTATACCCATCATCAAAAGACTGTAATCGTTGATTCTCAAGGTCCAGGGAACAAGCGGAAATTGACGTCTTTCCTTGGTGGTTTGGATCTTTGTGATGGGCGTTGGGACACTCCAACTCACTCTCTATTCAATACCTTGAGCACTTTTCACAAGGATGACTTTCACAATCCGACCTTTGCTGTAAGTTCACTATTTCTTTTATGTATGAAGTGTAGATGATGCCACTTTTTTTCTGTTTGCACACCGCGTCCCTTAAGTTTCTTTTCCACTCATTCTTTTTGCTGCATATCAGTGGCTTCGGAATTTGGAAGTCGTGCTCATTTATAATATTTCTTGACTCTTCATTACAGGTTGGGGCAGAAGGGGGAGGCCCACGGCAACCTTGGCATGATTGGCATTGCAAGATTGATGGTCCTGCCGCATATGACGTTCTTACCAATTTTGAGCAAAGATGGAGGAAGGCTGCTCGCTGGCATGAAGATGAACTTATCCAGATTGAACGAATCTCATGGATTTTGGGTCCCAAGCCGCCTTTTCCTGCTGAAGGCGACCCTAAGTTGTATGTCACGAAGGACGATGATCCTAGTACTTGGCGTTGCCAGGTGAGCTTGCAATCAATTGAGTCATTCTTCCTGTGATCTTCCTCTAGAATTTTCCGTCTTTGTATTTACCGACAAATCGTTCCCCCGCAGATTATTCACTTGATGTACTGAGCTTGTAATTTTTTTACGATATTTATTTCAGGAAGTGAATTCTTTCATGACCGCGTATGATTGTAGTTGGCAAGCTCACCGTTTTTACCATTCTGAATGCGTATGCAGGTATTTCGCTCGATCGACTCTGGGTCAGTTAAAGGCTTTCCGAGGAATGTTGAACAAGCTGAGAAGCAGGTACTTCCACGCATCTTATGCCCATGTTTTGGTGGTATTTGCTCATGGTGCGATTTCTCATGTAATGAAACCGACAGTTTCGACTGAAAATTTCACAAGTATGACTTAGATTTCTGGCTGAATTCAACGTGTGCAGCATCTTTCATGGGGAAAAAGTATTGCTATAGATATCAGCATACAGATGGCTTATATCAAAGCTATTCGGTCAGCTCAACATTTCATCCACATCGAGAACCAGTATTTTATTGGCTCCTCTTACAACTGGCCTGATTACAAGGATGCAGGTGAATTTCTTTGCCACATGACGCAGTTTACTTAAGATGAGTTGCTTGCTTTTGCTCTTAAAAATCTTCGCACCAATGCTAGGTTCCTTTGCTTTGATCTTTGAACACCAACAAAATATTCCATTCAAACTTCTTTTGATTCTATGTAATGAGATTTAACTGAATCTGTATAAAATCAGGTGCGAATCATCTGATCCCAATGGAATTAGCACTGAAGGTGGCATCCAAGATTAGGGAACACAAACGTTTTGCCGTGTATGTGGTCATTCCTATGTGGCCGGAAGGTGTTCCTGATAGCGGTGCTATGCAAGAGATTCTCTTCTTTCAGGTAAACTAATCAGTTGAATCATTTTTTACATTCTTCTGTGGGTTCGTCTTGGGCTTTATTAATAGATTTATAGGTAGCGTTGCCTATTTTGTTGAGCTTAGTAAAGAGTGGGAGATATGATGCACTTTTTTCTCTTTCTCTTTCTTTTTTTTCATTTTTATTTCACCTTAAAATAGAGAGTTCCGTTGGATGTATGATTGTGCGATGCAGGCACAAACGATAAAAATGATGTATGGTGTTATTGCTGATGCGTTGAGGGACGTTGGTAAGCTTGGTGAACTACATCCGCGAGACTATCTGAACTTCTATTGTCTCGGGAACCGCGAGACGAAGAGTGAAGTGGAAGCGAAAGCGGATCCTCCCGCTAAAGCACCCGCTCCAGAAACGAAGCATGTGAGTAGTAAAAAATGGTTTTCAAATTCACCATTCGTACTTATTCGACCAAGTTGTGAAGAGGACAGTCGTTTATAAAACATTAGAAGGATTCTTAAGTATCTTCTTTTTCAGAAGCTTCGGTTCAAATGATTTTGTGCAAATCATATGCCATCCTTACTTTTACTACCTGAAGCATTTCAAGGCCTTTCTTAACACAGCTTCGCTGCTAATGTTACGCAGGGCCAAGCCCAGAAACATAGGCGGTTCATGATTTACGTTCATGCAAAAGGTATGGTTGTTGATGACGAGTATATTATTTGTGGGTCGGCCAACATCAATCAGCGCTCCATGGACGGATCTCGCGACACGGAGATTGCTATGGGAGCCTTCCAACCCCGGTACACTTGGGCTCATAATGGAGGACATCCAATGGGACAGGTTGGTAATAGATTACTCCCAATTTACGTTACGTGCTTGGACTTTCTAGATAGTAGTTCTATAAATCAGTTCTCAGATCTTCCTGTCTTACCCTGAAGCTTTGTCTTGCATGTAGGCAATGAGTCTGCGACGCTATTTGTTGTTGGTAACAGTTGGTTGGACTTGTCTCATAATACAGGTCTATGGATACCGAATGTCTCTGTGGTCTGAGCATTTGGGTCATGTCGAATCCCTTTTCACGGAAGCCGGAAGTCTCGAGTGTGTAAGAACAGTAAACAAGATTGCGGATGAGAATTGGAAACAGTATGCTGCGGAAGAAGTCACTGACATGAAGGGCCACTTGCTGCCTTATCCTATTCAAGTTAACCAGGATGGTACCATTGGATCTATACCCGGCTTCGACACGTTTCCAGATGTGGGTGGCAACATATTGGGAAATAATCAAATAAATTTACCCGACTCGTTAACGACCTGATTGCAGAGGAAGGTTCTTGAGAATGGTTCCTCATTTTATTCTCATTAGATCCTTCTGAATTGCATAAAGAAAGCCTTGAGAGGCTCGATGTGATCGAGCTGCTCTGCTGCCTCTCTGTTCATCAAGGCTTGAACTTTCCAGTTCCTGCACTGCATAGGTTATTCTGTAATTTTTAGAATGGTCGCCTCTGGTTCATGTAGTTTGCTATCACCCGTTCAGAAACGCTTTTGAGAGAGATCATGGGCTTTGCGACTCTAGTTTGGGCACAGAGAGAGTGAACTTTGTCAGTAGCTGCAGCTGAATTGGTTCCACTTGGTGACGTTACAGGAGGATCAATCTCACACTTAGTCACTAGCTGATTTAAAGTTGATGTTTTGTCATCAGGTGCCGAATGTGTTCATACAGAAGCTGAGCATGCTTACAATTTGTGAGGATGCACAATGGTAGCGAAGATTAGGCCTTCCTGTCAAAATAATTGATAAGTAGATATTGAAATTCATTGAGTACATACCTTGTGAGCAGGTAGGGTAGAACTCGCCTGCAAGTCATTTTGGAACATGTGTTTTCAGGAAAGACAGATTTTCTTAAATAAAATCTAATGTAGAATTGTGTAATACATGAAGATTCCTGTTTTCGAAACGTATTAAAATGTAACGAAATACATTGATTCTATTGTTGAGACTAAGATGTTTAATTTTGGCTTATGCTTTTTTCTGGAATATTACAATCTAGAACATGCGGAAATAACAGTCTGAATGGAAATTATATATTTTAAGCTTGGATTGAATGTTTTCAGTGAGTTCAATTAGAATCTTAAATAGTTATTGTTTCATATGGGTTTAGCTAGAAAGGTATAAAATGTCTATTCATGTCTTTTCACAAACCTCTCACCTAAACTTTTGGTTGTTGTTAGATCACTTTAAAAAGGGAATTTATCACGAATCTTCTCCAAGTCTAGTCCCATTGCGAAGAGAAGGAGGTCTAAGAGAAAAGATTATACTTCTTTGGAAGGTAAATATAGTCTTTGTGCTATTATTAAAATTATTTGATGTTTAAATTTAGAAATACATGATAATCATCATTTTCTATTCTAAAATCTTGTTATGCTTTATGGAATTCTATTGTTAAATAAAATGTTACAACCAAGCATTGCAAGGAAAATAGGTCATGTCTCATGTCTTTGTTAACTTAAGAGATCATGTCTTTTTGGCTTAAAGACCAACCTAATAATTTTATAAGTTATTTAAGAATTTTTAATTTTTAATTTTTATTTCATATTTACTTTGCTCACTTATTTATCTTCTAACATCAAACTTGTGTATATAATATTTGTAGTTTGTCTCTATAATTTGTTTTTTATTTTTATTTTTTAATATGCTTCTTTTCTTCTTAATTGTTTATAAATATGTCAATTTTTTTTCATAGGTTAGATTATTACTTGGATACAATTCTAAGCTAAATTCTTTATCATGACTTCTTGTATTTTCTTGCACTTCTTATGTGACTTTGATTGTTGTTAAATTTATAATTATTTATTTAATTTAAAATTTATTTTTTAATTTTATAATGTCTATGTTAGATTTTATGTATTATTTTATTTCATAAATAATGCCAATACTTGTTTCCTTTTTTGTATTTTGACAGGTAATCTAGATATTGTTACAACCTACTTTTCTTCTTGTACAAGATAGAATATTTAAAATAATGGCATTGCAAAATAAACTAATCATTTTTTTGTCTTATTAGTGATAATATCTAATGAGAAATATATAAGCTTGAAATTACATAGAATTTTATTCTTGTAGTAGTTTGGTATTTACTCTGTAGTATATATTATTAATCTTGTGTAATATTTTATATTCTTTGTGGTTTTCCTAGTGGCAAGTTTGTTTCTATTAAATCAATAAAATTGTATATTAATAGAATATACTTCTTTCATTAGATATAGTAAACTATTTGAAGCTCATTAAATTTATAATATACCATCTTCATTTTATGCATAAGATGTTATCTCAATTATTTTAAAATATGTAGGCTTATAGTTATTAAAATATTGGTTTTTATTTTTATTTTTATGATTGTATGTTAAATCTAAATCAAATAATGATTTGTACTATTTTATTGTTATAGCAATTATTGTATGTTTTTTTTTATTATTATTATTAAATAAATTGATAATGATTTGGCGTTATTAATCATAATTTTTTATTTTTGTAAATCTCTCTTTTATTTTTTTTACAACAATATTTATCTCAAATTGCCTATATCAACTATTTTTGGTTTAAAATTTAATTTATTTCTATATATAAAAAATTAAAGTTATATTATTTATAATTTAAAAAAATTATGCATAAAAAAATAGCTAGATACATTAATTTTGTTTAGATGTGTATGTCTATTTGAATTCTTTAGTTCTAGAAAAAAAAAAAAAAAAAAAAAAAAAACTATATTTTTTTATGACTATAAATATTCTAAAATTATTTCTAGTAAATTTTTATTAAAAATATAATTTTGAGATTGTTTCATAGAACATGTTAACATATAATATTGTAATTGTTTAATAGATGCAAACCCAATAATATTAATTAGATTTGTTTGTTTTGCTTTAAAATCTAGTCATAACAAAATAATTAATATTATTGGATTTGCATCTATACTTGTTTTTATGTCTATTATAACTTAATTAAAAATATTTAACAATTTGTTTAATAAGCTTCAAAGAATCATCTATATCAAAATTTTAGTTGATTTGATCTTGTTACTATTTTTAATACTATATTTCTAGATTGTTTGATCAAATTATTTTAGAAATAGACTCTTTCCAATAAAATATACAATAATTACATGTTTGATTGCAAATTCTATTTTTGCTTCTATATATATATATATATATATATATGTAATTAATATGTATTGTTTTATAAATTAACCAATTAATGTGGCTTTTCTTTCACAATTTTATAGTTTATTTTTTATTTTAAAAAAAAAATAAACTGACTTTCTTAGATGAAAATAATCAATTTTCTTTTGTATGCTAAGCAATTCAACAAAGACCAAATCTTCTATTTGTACATTTTGATCTCTCCTACATTAAAACTAGATTGCAAAAAAGAAATACATCATTGTAAAATCATTTTGATACTTGTAAAATCTATATCTTACATTTATACCAAACTTGTTGCAATCTAAACATTCTCAACCATCCACACACCATCCCCAATGCTTTCTTGCCAACAACAAATATTATCATTACTATCTTTACAGAAAAGAAGAAGTTTGAATCTATTTAAGATTAAGCATTCATCAACCTAAAGCCAACAACAACATTCCACTATGAAGACGTCAAGTAGGACAAGTGCCTTAACACATGGAAAAGTGTAAGACACAGTAGTAAAAACAACCAAAGGGTGTAAGACATGGATGAATGGCTGAGCTAGCGGATGCAAAAAGCGGCAACCCAAAAAGCGCAGGAACGTAGAACAAAGGGGAGCTCAGACGCAGGACAAGTGGAAGGGACTCCGGAGTAAGCTCATCTCACCACCACCGCAGTTGAAAGGAGGGAGAAATAGTAGTTGTAGCTTGAGGAGGATCTAGCTAACAAGTGGCACGGATTCACACCACCACCACAACGCCGGGACATAAGTTGGGGGGTGGGGGGGGGGGGTCAATTGCAGGAGTTGATCAGCTTGCATCGATGGCTTACTATTTTATTTAGCTGCCATAAAACTGACAGTTTTGGTCAAAGGAGAAGGTGGGGTCTCACCTCAATGCCACACCAGAGCCAGTTTTGCGTTATCCCGAGTGGGTCCCGATCTTGTTATTGGAGAATGAACGGCCTGTGTGTGTTGTTTTGCATCTCGGGATGGTGCACCCACCCCAGATGAGAACTGAAGCGGTTTAGCAGGGAGGAAGATAAGAGGAGGAGAGTCCTTGTCATGCCAGTTCCTGGTTGTCGATCCTGATCGTGGATGTAAAGATTTTCTCATTGCCATCCTTCTGAGGATTCCCGACGCCGGTAGGAATACTGTATTCTGAGGGGTGATGAGAGAAAGTGAGGGGAGAGCATACCTAGCCAAGTGGCGGAGGGGAGAGATGCCCAGCTGGGCAGTTGGGCTGGATTTTGCATATTTTGACGACGTCAGCAGCGTTGAGGATAAACATGGCAGGCTAGGTAGTGAATTTGTTTAATGATTTTATATAGGAGGTTACAGCCAGGAATTCCGGGGAGCTTCTGATCTCCCATAATATTCCTCGTGAACCCTGTGTGTCTAGATTCGGGGGCACTAGCTCCTACGTTTTAAGTTGTCGGTCACGCCGAGGCTGTTCTGTTCCTGCTGTTGTTGCGATTCTCCTTTCGAGAGCTATGGAGCCCGGCGACTTGTTGCGTTCGCTGCTGCGGGGCTGGACCCTCCCTCTTTTCTTGTTCATGCTGGGGTTCACCCTTGTCTACCTCCCCAACTTCGAGAATGCTAAGGTGAGTGATTCGCGCTTGGCTCTGAACTGATCTGGATCATGGATGTTGAGGTTGGGCTTGATAGTTTCTTCCGCGTGGCGGTTCCTCCTTCTTAAGAATACAGCGTGAATCACAATGATGTGCGTATTCTTTCAGTCAGAAGTGACACAAGGATTAGACTTCCAGAAGTTGGATGGTATGTATGAATCTCGTGAACGTGCGCAATAGGAACGGTTAAGAATGCTGTTGATCGTGATGATGATGGAAACCTGTAGCTTTTAGGTCGACATTCTCGAGTTGTTGGGTTGTAGTGTATTGAGTATTGAAAGGTTTCCTTGATAGGCGACCGGATTTGCTTTCTCTCCGAACATTGGTCTTTCGTGATTAGAGAGAATCCAGACGAGCTGTAATATTCTCAAATCTAATTAGAGTAGTACAAAACTGCCTTTAATTGACCAGGGTGCTTGTCTTGCTCATTCTGGTTTAACTTTCAAAGGGCATGGCAATTAAGTTGCGTGTGTGTTGGTGTGATAGATTGTGCGGCGGGATGACGGATGCAGCCTACTGCATGATACGCACTTCGTGCTCTACAGCAAGCGTGTGGTTACTCCTTCCGGTATCGGGCCATATGCAGGTTTGTTGCTGCTCCTCGTCTTCGGTCTCAAATTGTTACTATGGATAGTTGCGGTTTCAAATTACCATTATACGACGTGCTGAAGGTCCAACAATGTTGTATACTTTCCAGAAGCAGAGGATGTAATAACCTTCGAGCCCCATTAATTGAGTTTCTGGATACTTCAGTGCTGCATGGCAGTGCATGCACTTATCCAGGTAAGACCCATCTGTAGAAGATTAGAGGAGCAGGATGGTCGGCAACTAATAATTTGTTGATGCAGATCTAGCATGTTGCGTGCTGGTTGCCCTTCTGTAAACTTCATTCAGGGCTCTTAAGTACGGAGTTACAGATCCTGAAGTTGCAGTTTGCTGCGAATGTATGGTTTTTCTGATGCAGTGGAGGTGGAGGGCGAGAGGATTGTTTCCGTGACGAAGAGAAGTGAGGCACCCAAGACCTCACCAGGGAAACCTCGTGTTCTAGACTATGGAAACGCTGTCATCATGCCCGGACTTGTCGATGCGTACAAACTCTAACTTTTTGCATCACACAAGCAAATCAGTCTGGTTGCTAGATAGGGATAAGTATACTGGTTTCACGTATGTGCGGCTTACATTCGTAGATGAATGCTTCCTTTTAATAGACATGAATTCGGTATATTCAATCTTGCCGCACTCAAATTGCGAGTCCTTGCCTATACATTGTTGTTGTAGATATCTACGCCTTCAAAGACGGGTAGATGGAGTACGCATACACTGTAATCGTGATCTTGAGGGTGGTGTTTGGTGCAGTCATGTACATATCAATGAGCCAGGCCGAACGGAATGGGAAGGTTTTCTTACAGGCACGAAGGCTGCTGTTGCTGGTATGTGGCACTAAGCCTTGCTCTATTGCGTGGGGACTCCTTTTCCTCTTCACGCTGAAGCTGATTGAATACTATGTCTTGTTCAATGTATTGGCTGTGTTTCAGTGTGTTGCGTCTAATATGCGGCGCATGTGTTGTTTTTTCACGTTAAGTATGCGGCATCGTAATTGCATTGATTCTCTGGGACTTGGACTTTGCAGGTGGTACAACTGCAATCGTGGACATGCCCTTGAATGCTCATCCTACTACCACAACAAAGCAGCACTTGGATGAGAAGGTTGGTTTCTTTTCGTAAAATTTGGGCTTCTCTTTGAAGGAAAAATCTGTTGCATCAATGTTATGACTGTGCGAGCTTTAAATTACTCTTCAAGTTACTAAACATGGATGTGTGTGACCATGGATTTAGAAAGAAGCTGCCAAAGGAAAACTTTACATAGACACTGGTAAGTGCCTTGCTTCGAGAGCCATTTCCGAATTTGCATGAGTGGCACGTGAGTTTAACTGCATCACTGCATCTTCAGAGTTCACATCCTTCTCAGTTGATGTAGTTCTTGACATCGTTAGGTTTTGATGGACACAGTTGTTTAAGCCCATGAACTATGATCGACTTAATTTTCATACTTTTGTATGAGCTGTCCGATACAACTTCAATATAGACTCAATGATATACTGGTTTTATTTCTTGATCATGATGATTTAAATAAGGGTATGGATGCATTTTTTCTAGTTCATTATGGTCCAACACAGTTATGAAGCAGTTTTTCTACAGAGACGTTCCTGTATTTGACGTGCACACCTTGTCTTGTCAGGTTTTTGGGGAGGCTTGGTTCCAGATAATGCTTACAACGCCTCAATTTTGGAGGAACTTCTTGAAGCTGGCGCACTTGGCCTTAAGGTTAAAAACGTTTACTTTTGTTGATGTGTAATCAAACGTTTTCGAAAGGATCTCAATGCAAATTAGTGTTATCAGAAAGGGGTTGTAATTGTTATTCTTATCTTGAAAATAGTTACCCAGTTATTCTATGACCATGCACTCTTGGTTATGATTCTTTTTTGCTGCTTTATTGAGTGCAACATACCAACTGAGTCATGTTACTTCGAACGTCAAGTTTGAGAGGGAGATATGTAACATTGTGGTCAATAGTGCTCAAGATATTTAACTTCTTATTTTACAAATTACTTTGACAAAGATTTTCAAGAGGAAAATTGACGTTTGGTTGGATTGTGAAGTCGTTCATGTGTCCATCAGGAATCGAGGACTTTCCAGCCACCACTGCACAACACATAAAGGTGAGCAGGTTATGGAGCAATTTTTCAATAGTTTTTTTGATCAATTTTCGTTACGTTATTGGAATCATCTTCACGTTTATCCCCAATATCCATAATTCAATATGACAGAGAAACGTTTCCTTCGTGTTTCTCATGGGAATTTGAACGCAAACTTTATGCATTGTCACATTATGTGCCACTTATTGATTTTAACATCGACAGGTCTGTTTATGTGTTTATGGGGGTTCTTTTCCGAATCTAACTTCTCTGTTGGTTGATTTCGTAGGCTTCATTGCCAGTGCTCGCAAAATTTGGACGTCCTATTCTGGTACACCAAGAAGTGACAGACCCACCTTCCCAACCGTCTAGTTTGGTGCCAGGAGAGCCACCGAGTAATGCACGCGATTACATGAGATATCTGAACGCTAGACCTTTGACATGGTATTTAATTCTGTGTACTTGGATTCTTCCCTTAACTTTTGGTTGTTGAGCATCAAGAGTTTAGAACTATGATCTACTTGCTCTGTGAATATTATTCATGAGTTACAAACTGGGACTAGAGAATTCGTGTATGTTGTTAGCCGTCCAGTACTAGAATTCTTTTCTTTCGATTTTCGGTTACAATCACTTAAGTCTTTTCTGAGAATTGTAACCTAAATCACATAATAACCTAGATTCTCCTTTCTTTGGTACCTTCCCAACTACTCGTGAAAAAGTTCGACAGAAGCCTCGTTGTTCCATGACATATTAGGGTTTTATTGCAGTCTTTGTGTGAAGTACAAGACCATCTATGGCTGGGAGTATTCAAATATGTGGTAGCCCTGATTTGAGAGCACACTTGAGTCACCCATAGGTTTTATTTGTTGCTGCAGGGAACGTGAAGCAGTGAGACAGTTGATGGAGGTGGCCAAAGACACTAAACCTGGAGGAGTGGCAGAGGGAGCTCATGTGCACGTTGTACATCTCTCTGACGCAGAGGACTCCCTCTCTCACATCAAAGTACGAGTTACTGTGATTTTTAAATTATTGTACTCACCATGAACTTCCTATTGTTGCTAATGCCCATCTTCAGTGACAATTTGTTGGATATATCTGATCTTTTGAACAAATGCAAACTCGGCGTGTCATTCATTTATATAGTAATTGTCGGCTGCTGTCACAGGCAGCAAAGGCGGAGGGATCTAGTGTGACAGTGGAGACGTGTGCACATTACCTTTCTTTTGCTGCTGAAGATGTACCAGAGGGTGCCACTGAATATAAATGTGCTCCGCCATTGAGAGATGCTCGTCACCGGGAACTTTTATGGAAAGCTTTGCTGGTGGGCATCCATTAAGAACTTTTGAGTAGTTGCAATTTCCATCTGCTTTTTAACTTGTATTATTGTTTGTACAAAAAAATCGTTTGTGTTAACTACCTCTAGTATTCGCAATGCGATAATCTCACTGCATTTAGAAGCACTATGGATCTTTAAATTACATTAAGGCACTTATGGAGAAAAAGTAGTCATAATTTTACTTCAACTCTTGTGCCATCTCTAAAGTAGGTAGACTAAGCATCTTTTTATTCCGACCATGTTTTTGTATGTAGGGTGGAGATATTGACATGATCACAACAGATCACTCACCTTCAACTCCAGACTTGAAACTTTTTGAGGAAGGTGATTTCTTGAAGGCTTGGGGAGGTATTTCTGGCATTCAGGTGAGTTTCATTGGACTTGGTGTTTTGACGTTCTTGAATTTGGTTATAGCTAAGGGCATTGCTGTTGGAACAATACATATTGTCTTAGAGTTTGGTTCATTCCAAAGAGTAAAGATTGAAATCAATGCTATGAATCTTAAAAAGAGATGCAAATTGATATCCTTTTTGTTTTTGTGTTTGTAGTTTGCATTGCCAGCTACATGGACTCATGGTTCTGCCTGGGGAATGACCATTCAGCAAATGTCAAGATGGTGGAGCACCGTGCCCGCTAAGATGGTCAATCTTCCACGCAAGGTTCTCTAAATTTTTTCCATCTCTACCTCAGACTTGTTTACATTTAGCATTGTTTGTCTCAAGATCGAAGTACTCAAAACATGTTTACTGCTTGATCTTGAACATTCTAATGATACTCACAACAGTTAGTAGTTTCAGCTTCTGTGGCACGCAGAGCTGATTTGAAGAGACCGGGGTTCATAACTAATGGACTGTTTGGTGGGTTTGTACAGGGATCACTCGAGTTTGGGAAGGATGCGGACATTGTTGTGTGGGATCCAGAGGAATCGTTTGTCATTGACAGCACGTATCCCATCTACTTCAAAAATAGGGTAAAATATTTTGCTTACCAGCACCGCAATTATTTTCTTACACTTGCAACGCACAATCTGAATACGTAGTGTACAATTCAATTTCAAAAGAAGTTTTACTTTGAAGTTTATTGATTTGGTTGCGTGTTATCATGTCTCTACAAACAGCTGTCGCCTTATATAGGCCACAAATACTCAGGAAAGGTGATTACTACGTTTTCTCGAGGCCGGCAAGTATTTGAAGAAGGTCGGCATGCACAGAAACCTTGTGGTGCTATGATCAATCCAGTGTGATTTATGTGTAATGGTCAACTACTCAAACTTCCTCAGTGTAGGCTTCCCGAGATTTCATTCCTGTAGAGCCAGGGTTTTGATAGTACACTGCTTATTGTAGAGTGTCACAAATAATATTGCCAACGGAGGGAAATCCGCTTAACACAGCAGAATTCGTGGCTTACTAAGTTTTTATATATTAATGTGATGCCAGAGATCTTCTTGCTATACCACAAAGGAATGGAAGTTTGCTAGTTAAACTATATATTTTGCATGTGTAGACCTTTTGCTTCTTGTACTTATTAATGTAACTGTAGGCTTGTAACTAGATAACTATGAACTCGTGACAATGTACTCTGAATTTATTTTACTTCTGTATATGATGGTTAAAGTGTGAAGCCTAATTTATTGCGGCTATCCCTGGTACCATTGTTTTCAATGAAGCATTGCAAATGATAGGAGCAGTGTTTGGAAGTATGTAGGAACATGGGTGAGAACTCACTATTGAACTGGGAATTGTTCTTTGCTTCTAGTTCAAAACCCACATCTACAAACATTCATAGCAATTCTAGGCAAACCTTAAAGCTGTACTTTGTAGTACTTTGATTTTTAATTTGTTCTTACCAGTATGAGAAAATGATCTCTGTGTTTTATAAAGAATTGAAAGAGCATTCAAATACACAAGCTCATTCTTTAATCCGAAGTTGCTTCTGTGAGCGTGTGAAACGTCCTTTTTTAAAAATTTGCATTTTGATTTTGTCAGTTTCTCACTCATTCTGCATACAATTTCTTGTCACCAGGGGAATCTTTTTAAAAAAAAAAAAAAAAAAAAAAACAAAAAAAAAAAAAAAACAAATCCAACAAATTTCATCCCCATTGTAAATTGCACAGCTGAAAATGTCAATCTGTACTTTCACTGGGCATGCGTAACTACTTCAGGGGTGAAGAGTGGTCCTCACTGTTAAGATTACAAAGTTTGCTTTCATCATTGAAATGTCAACCTAGTAATGTCTAATTTTATACAACATTCTTAATGATTTGTATTCTTCTGATGTCAAAAGTATCCAAGTACATTTTTTACATAATATGCACATAGTTGCAGAAGATTAGATTTTTGAATTGAAGTCACTCACCATGTTGTATTTGTAGTTTTAGTTGTGGTTTTGTTGTTAGCTAACTTGAAAGAGTCCCATAATTACATGATAGATGAATTGATATACCAGGCGTATGTATGACAATCTCACAATCATGGAGCTACGCACAAATTCATTACTGTCAAATTCGTTACTGATACATCCGAGAAGTAGTCGGTATTCAAATCATTTCACAGTAGACAAGTTTTTACAAGTAATTTTTCTAAAGCCCGAGATGAGCTTGGCCACTCCAAAGCTCCGTGCCGCTGCCGTGAACCAGGAGCACCCTACCCAAACCCTCACAAAGCTCCTCGCAGAACTCCATGTACCGGTGCGGTTGAATACCTTTGTAATGGTCAGGCAGATTGATAAGAATGAGTTGTGAATCTTTAGATTGCTCAAGAATGATGTTGTTAAGCTTCTTGGAAGAGCAGCTCTGGCTAAATGTTTCCCATGTCCTTTGCATGGACTCAGGCATGTCAATGGATACTGCAGGACTGTCTGCAGGAGAGCCTGGGCAGAACTGACTTGAGCCGTGCGTTATATCATCGTGGTCTGACTTTTCCTATAAATCACCAAGTAGTTTCATGAGTGGTGTACTTGCAAGATATTTTTGGATACTTTTTGCATGAAATATAAAGTTATTTGTGAGAGGTATAAGAGTTTCTTACCTTGTCGTTTTCGACTGTGTCTAGTCCATGGTAAAAATTGTCTCGCACAACATCCAGAGTGTGTCCCTCGTCCCCATTAGCCAATTGTGATATTTTGTTGGGTGTATTCCATACTTTAATGGTTGTTTGGGACATGGGTTTTGGTTCACTCAACTGAAATCTTGGCAATCTTATTTCCGTGGATTTAAGATTTTCGATAGTTTTGTCTCCAGGATTGGCAGTTTCAGTCCAATGTTTAGAATTCGCAGGAATGTCACTTCCTCTGTCTTCAATTGTCTTCCTATAATCAAATATGTAAGTTGTAAATACATGAATAGATAATGAAATATCATGAAGTCAGTTCGGAGAAGGTACATGTGACAAAGTCGCTCAAATATTCCTGTGAGCAACTGAATAGTAAAGAAGCAAAGACAGAGTATGTCCACGCCATAATCATGTAGATGTTTGTCTTACCGGAACTTACAAACTTCCTCAGCATAAGCTCTGGTTTCCTCCATTCGGATGTTGTAGTCAAATGTGTAGAGAGCCAAGCATGATTCATCAAGCTCTAGAACCCGAACCTCAGCCTTGATTCGAATCTGCCAATACCAAAAATGTTCATATCGAAAACATCAATCTAAGGCCAAATTTTGAGTTTAAGTCATTCAACATTAGAGATTCAAGTGGAAAGAGGAGAGCCCTACCAAGTCCAAAAAGTTTTCAAGATTCCTCTTCACCAATTCGGGGTTATCTAGCTTCTCAGCCACAGTGTACACCCGGAGTTTACATTTGCGCCAAATTTTGTGTTGTTGCAAAAGATGAGCCACGAGCAACAACAGTCCGTCATCGTGCACAATCCACCAGATATCAATGACGCCCTCATGAAAGTCTTCCTTCCCAGGGAATCGATCCAAGTGCATGCACAACAGAACAGCCTTGTCTACTACTCGGCATTCTGTCAGTGTCTCCAACAAGATCTGAACATCCACACAATTGTAAGAAAACAACAAAATCAAATAAGGTAATCATCTGATGTTTTTGAAGGCTTGAATTACTGACGCGCTTGAAGTGTGTGGACCAAATTTGGTAGAAGCAGCAACAAACGAGCTGAATGGTAGCAAAGAATTTCTCCTATTACTTCAGAAGGAAAGATTTACCTCGGCGTTATCACCATGGCCCTCTTCTCGCCACTTCGTAGGCCATCCCAGAACTAGAGTGTTGGGTTCCAGGCTCCCCAAACCTGATGATTGAACTGCATAAGTCTTGCCTGCGCGGTATGATTGTGCAATCAATATTCTTCCAAATCCAGTTACCTTTGCTTCAGCCATTTGGTTATCTAGCTTTATCTGTTGACAAGCACAATATATAACAAATTTTAGATTACAGAGATCTCTTGCTCAAATTCGGCATCAATTTTGGATCGTGAATTGGAGAGCTCAAATGGTGAGTGTACTCGAGAAGAATGGCATAAAGTAACAGTAAAAAGCAGTGAAACCTATTATTAATACTTGGGCTTTTTCTAAGAAACAAGATGACCAACTTCAACTTCAAGGTGTTCCAAAAGTGCTCTAATGATAATTCTTGAAGTGTATACAGAGTGCTTAAAAACTTTTATTTGTGTTGATTGTTCCAGACACATCCAAAGCAATCTAGAATTAAAACTAGAATTTTAAGCTTTGGGTGGTGTATTCTAGTTTTTAGAGGAATTTTTTTGGCGTCTGTTTACTTTTGAAATAACAAGTGTTGATCGCCACCTTTTCAGCTGATGCTTGAGCCGTCACCTCCTCCAGTTTTCCCTCAAGGATTACCGTGACCACACATAGCCCTTGACCCTGTTCTTTTCCAAAATAAAAAAAAAAAGAAAAAGAGCATATGTATCATTAAATATGAAAAGTTAATTGATTGCTGAATATGACTTGTAGTTAAAGAATGGGGAAAACAAAAATGCAACAAACCTTCTTGAGCTGGGACGTAAAGAAGAGCAATTCGTGGTTTGAGTGGTCATTGTTGGTCCATGAAGAGCGAGGCATGGCAAGGCACAAGAGCTGAGGCCGCCAATTCACAGTGTGTCGCGCCTCTTCTCCAACTGACAAAATGCTCTGCACTGCTATTTGCAAGCATAGTCCTCCTACACCTGTTCCCCAATTCACTTTAACCTGCTAAAGCCCATCACTTAAGGATCTCCAGTGCATTTATTTTTTAGAGCACTTCATTTCCTCTTTAAAATGAAGAAGCATGTAGAATGCGTACCTACACAAAGTAATTGTAAATTGGGTGATGATGAGATAGAAAAAAGGTACCTGGCGATAGTCAATGTAGACGTACATGACGAGAAGGAAAACCATGGCAGCCAATGTCCAATACCATACAATCACAAAATTCATGGCTGCACAGGCTATAAATCCTGCAAGCGCACTAGACCAATGGCAGTACTTCCATTTGGGCCTCCAACTACACAACACATGCATGGACACCAATTCCTGTCAATCTTTACGTAAAGGTTCAGAGTTTGTATGGAAACATTGAAAGTGGTACAACTAGAGTAAATTAAAACTGAACTACGTAAGTCTCACCTTGGTGCATTGACGAGGGAGAGAATGAGGCAAGAAAGATTCAAGGCTGAGTAACAAGTCAAGAAACAAATAGAGACTAGTGGAGCCACAGCATTCAAGCTCCCAATCATGGCAAAGACGATGCAAAGCAACGTGGTGGCCACCAAAGCCCTTCGAGGCTCCCCGTTCTTTGAAACATGAGCGAATGATCCCAAAAATGGGACTACTCCATCTGCAGCAATTGCCTGCATTACATGAAGAAATATCATGTTTTCAAGTTGTTCTTGACATAACAGAAAAATTAATAGTGAACTTATTAAAAAAATTGACATTGACAAGGAATAGTTTCTGAGAATGCCTTCACCTGAAGTAAGCGTGGGGAGATAATGATGCACTGCATAGCTTGGGCAATGGCAGTTAAGGCGATGCCAAATTCCGTCAGAATAGCTAAAGGAAAAGAAATTTCTCTCACAATGTCAAGGATTGCGTGTTCTCCTCCACCTAAGTTTCCTAGAAGATAATCTCGTTTTGCCACTGCCGCCCATAATCCCATGTAGGACATATACATGACAAAACTGATGACTACAGCACCCAAAGTTCCTCGAGGAATTGACTTCTCTGGTTGTCGAAGATGGGTTGCTCGATCGGCTCCGCTGCAAAAATATGTGGAAGTTTTAAACATATAAAAAGCATCTAATCTCTTGTAGCAACATTATAGCTTAGGCTTTAACGTTTCATATAAGGAAATGGAAAACCAAAGAGACGTCATGAATCCAGTGTTGTACCTGAGGATTCCAGTGAAGCATGGGAAAAAAAGAGCCACAGTAGTGGAGAAAGATTTTCCGGGTGGATATTCAGGACTCCAATTCTCTTTGAAAGTAGTCCAGGAAAGACCTGTGAGAGATGGTGGGAGGGCTCTTTGGGGAGCTAAACCCAAGCCTAAATAGAAAGAAACCATGGTATATAGCACCACGGCAAAGAAAACAAAACCCAGCTTGGAAACAAACTTGATTCCAAAAAATACCTGCATCCATTACATCAGAGACATAGTTCTATGATTTAGATAAGAGTAAGACCTCTCAGCTCACTCATTAGAATGCACTATGTTTCTTGCCATGCTCAGACAATGATGAGAAACATGTTCACTAAATAAGAAATATTCCAAATGGCTTACCAGCAAGCCCAGCATGAGCAAGACAAGCGCTCCCATAACTTGATTAGATGATACGAAGTCAAGTTGAGGAAAGGTAAACACCAACATCTCTACTGAACCAAGTCCCTGCCATTGCATCACCGTTGCATAAAGCTCATATGGTTTCAAGCAATTCTAGGATCGTACACATGTATTCGTGCTTCAAGAATGTAGGCAATTGTAGCGTGTGTATTTTTAACTTAATCTGAGTTGCATAGAATCATCCAAATCCTTTTCAATTACATTAATTTTTAATCTCATAGAAACTTCCATCTAACCTTGGTTATAATCTACTTACTACACCAGTGCTAAGGTGCTCTTGTTTGACCTTTTGGGGTCAGAGGTTTTATTGATTTTAAGATCATAAAATTAAGTGCAATTGACGATGTTATCAATAGAAAAGAGTCACTTCGTCAGGGTTTACAGCGTTCAAGTTTTCTATTATTTGACTCATACTATGCCCAGTTAATCCCAGTTGAAATTGGAATACAATAAGAATTGCTTCTCTGATAGTATTTACTGTCGGTGTTGGTAGTGAGGTCATTCCCAGAAAAAAAAACACAGGATTGAAAACTTGTTTGGCTTTGATAACTACGTGAAACCGTGCATCTAAAATTCTTTAACAGTCAATTAGAGTCTTTCACTCCATTAATAGCTGTCTCTCTCCAAAGATTTTTTCTTCTTTTCTATTGGCAAGTTTCTAATGCATTACCTCCATAACTGCGAGTAGAGATACTCCAACATAGTACAGTAGCCCCACAGCTCCACCAAGTTTTGGTCCCAATGCTCGTGATATAAGGTTGCTGAGACATGTTCAGAAAATATGTGACAATCTCGCTAAACATAGGCTTTGCAACAATCTAGCAAAAAGGTAGTACTCCGACAAACACCTGATTATCACTATCCAGAGGATCTCGTCATTTCCAATCGATTGAGAATAAGCATAAGAAATAGAAGTTTAGAATGACTAACTAGGTGCCTCCTTGCTCGATTTTTCCATTCGTGGCAATGGCACTCAACGACATCGTGGTGAGCAGGGCGCAGAGGAAGGAGACGGAGACTATGAGGAAAGTTTGCCACACCCCCGCACTGCCCACGATGTAGAAAAACCGCAAAAAAATCAATACACCTGCTCGCAGAGGCGCCCACACATTACATTGGTAGCTGGATCAGAGTTATTCGCTGCATGTCCCAACACGAAGGATTTCCCTCTCACAAATCCAAAAGCCAAAGACACTGAGAAGAAAAATACTAACATGCATCGAATGGAAACGAAAGCTAAGATCCCTCATGAGTAAAAACAGGTTTCCCACCCCACATATTTTCGCATGTAGGAATGAGAACGCCGCTGTAAGTACCCAGACCTCCAGTCTTCTTCCCCCTTCCCTGCAGCTTGTGGAACACATTGTACCACAGCCGCTGTTTGCTGGCAGCTGGGTCATTCTTCACCACAGTACTCGCGCCTACCAGTGACTCTAATGAGGATGCCTGTGCCATCACTCGCACTGGCACATATGGACAAGTGTTGCCCTTGGCACATAGCTCGTCGAAAGGCTCGCCCTGCATAACCATTCCTCGTATCCGTTGAACACTCTCAGAAACTAATAGGTTTGTGTCCCTCCACCTTGACTAGCAACTCTGCAGTTACAGCCTTACTCGTTCGTCACTCTCTGTTTCCTTCATCGCACATCGTGATTTCTGCCAAATACTAGTTTCTGTCTATCTGTGTTCACAGCACCAAACTTTGTCGGCTCCCTTTGCTGTAACCACGATGAACATTCAACCACGATCTGTTATTTCAAGCAGCTGTCGAAGTCGACGCGCATAGCAGTTCCCGAATTGCCCATACCGTATACAAAAATTTAACACCACCACTTCGGCAATCTGCAAGTGCATATATCATCTTAAAAGAACTGAAATAAAAATAAATAAAAAATAAAGCTGCGACTGATTGACAGTGGACGATGAGTGATGAGAAAGGTGTTGTCTCGGTAAGAATAGATAGGCAGCATGCGATGAGCAGTACTTCGATGTCACGTACTCATCAAGACCTGATCCCATACCTCGATGGAAACCTCACTTTAGTTTGCCGATACTCATTTCTGTGAGCTGCAGCGAATGGAGCTGCAAATTGTTTTCACCTCTGACCTGGTGCACTCGGCTAAATTCACGCCCAAGCTCGCATTCACTGGTACGCAATGAGATATTTCGAAGTAACCTCAATTCTTCACTGGTACTTGTACCTCCTTAGATTCTTTGCATCGCCTAGTACTCTATGAACCAAAGAGATTCATGAATGCCTTCAAACAACTCAACAGATGCTCTCGCACTTCTTTGCGAGGCTATCGCATTGCTCAGTAACATGTGCACGAATGGTGCCACAATGGTCGCGTAGCCAGATAGAGTGGAGCATCGGGTGCAGTTCTTATGGGTTTCTCTGTGGGTCAAAATACAGTTTGACCCGGCAAATCTGCGTTCAGCTTTCTCACAAATCTCCGCAACTCGTCATTTGCATGCGGCTTGACTGAGCATGGTGAAGGTGATGAGATGAGAAAAATGGATCCCAGGAGTTGTATGATTAGCATTGTCAGTTTCAAAGCCCCTGGCCAGAAGCACAGCTTGCGAAGGAGCTTCATCTAGTCCCCATATCAAGCGTGATAGCCAATTAGGCGAGGGGTACAAGCTACATTTTAACTCCTTTTTCCAGCATTTGTTCAAAGCAAATAAGTATGACATGACAGCCAAAAGACAAGTGTCGAAGGCTGGGGTGATGCCAACATTGCACGTCTCCTTTGCCTCCGAAGACAAATGTTGTGTGGAATGTGCGCGAGGGCCATCCCCTGTGGATGATTCCGCTTGTGATGATTCCCTCCGCCGGGAAATTCACGACAGTCGCAGGCCAAGTTCCTTTCAACTATCGTGGACTATTAACAGCCACTTTCCATTTTAGTAGACATCTATCATAACAGTAGATATTTTCTATTCAAATGGCATGATTGAATTCTATTAGTTTTTGCGTCATGTTTTGTATGTATGTGTGTGTGTATAGATACATATATATATATATATATATATATATACATAAACACTCATACCTTGGTATTGCACATCTATCTTGGGCGCTCCCGTCAGTTTAACAATTTTTAGCCCCACACATATTTTTATCCACATCGGTCTTCATTTTCATTTTTCTAGTAGCTTGAATGGTTTGTTCAGTATTGTGTGTAGGACATTTTCTTAGCTGCTAAAACTAACTGTTGTTGGAATGTGTAAACATATGTAAACTAATAGTTTTTTATAGGGCAATCCTTATGGCAAAATCCACAACATATCGTAGACCAGTCCTCCAAGATAATCTTGATGATAAAATCAACATAATTCCACTTCATACATGTAAGTTAAGGATCAGAATCTATGAAGATTTAAAGCTATGCCTAGCAACGAGCAACAGTGCACTCAAGATGCAAAGTCACCGGCTTGACTTCAGACTGGAGCCAATTCTTTCCTACTCCACAAGAATTGCACTCTCCACAAGTTGAGGGCAGTTCACGAAGGATGCACAAGCCATTGCACTTAAATAAAAAGGAGCCAGAAATGTTTCAGACGCCGTGGTGTAATGGGAAAACATCCAACAAAAACTTTGGCACAAAAGTGACACATGCAGGTAGAACTTGTAAGGGTCACTCAACACACCTATGCTCCTGCCCTTGAGTATTCGAGTTTATCAGGTATTATCTGCAATGATGCAAGGAAAAAACGTAGTACCCAGAACCATGTAGCTTATCAACATCGGGTTGGCGGATGTTTGATATGTATATAAATGCTGGCTTCAATTTGCAGAAATGAATTCTTACACAACAAATAATTGCCTATACCCAACTCTTCCTTTCTATTAGACTAAGGAAATATCCTCGCAAGTCAAGGATACGGAAAAGAATCGGTTGTATTTTAGGAGAACTGGAATTAATTCATCCTTGATACCAGTCAATTATTAGTACCCGTCCACGATTATCATGTTGTTCATGGTCAAGCCTTCGCCAACGGTTGGAAGTTCGGGTGACAATTGCCATTCTCCATCAACTAAAAACTTGATCTCGTACCTTGAATATGTAAAACATGAATACAATTACCAAAGTGAGGCACTAGAGAGAATGCTAGTTCCTCAATACAAACACCATACATGTGAATGATTGACATTACCCTAAGATATATTTTAAAAATCAACAGCAACGAAGACAATGTTCTTAGAAAGCATTCCAAATCGTCAGGTATATTTAGATTGAACAGATATTTTGTTAAAAGTTAAGAAAAAACATTGAAGTTGAATATTTCTTCGTAGAACACAACATACATACAAGCATGACAATATCACATCTGAGGTCAAGTTTGCAAATTAGACAACAAATTGAATTAAAGCAGAGGCTTTGCATACTTACTGTCCTGGCCGAAGCTTAATGCTGGTGGTGAATTTAGTGAACGTGCCCGTATTCTCCGGTGACATTTGTTCTCCCCGTGTCCATCCATCAAATGAGCCCATTACTTGCACATCCTAAAACCCCGTTAGATTTTCATCGCTAGTGATCCTCGTCAGATTGACCAAGCTCATGCAAAAAAGCTTGCATGAGTTGAGGTTATCAAAACATCCCAGAACAATCCTTTCAAGGAAGAAATTGCGCATTTCACAAAGACTCCAGTATTTGTGAAGCAGTATTTCCTTGTGGTGCCCTACAAACACTCAATTGTCGAAGATGGAATCCTCTATTTGAGCTCCCATTTGTCATTTGTGAATATGAGAACCTCACCTCAGCCATTCCATAAAAGACAAGGTCAATTCTTCGCACCCGAACTTGGTCAGCATCCTTGATTCGCTCCTGTACAATTCTCTGCATCTCTACAGCACAGTCGAAGCAAATTTCAACAACAGCCAAAACCTTTAAACTGCCCAAAAGAATGAGATCAAAATCACACAACTCAGGCACTAACTCATCATTCACTTAAGTTTCACCTTTCAAGGAATAAAAATGTGGTTCAAACTTAATCAAACTCGCCGACGATTTATTGGATTTGTACACGCGGTAAAACCGAATACTCATAATCAGCAACAAACTGCAATAAGTCAATAAATGAACATACTATAGGAGCTAATACGAATCCATGGTTCGGAGCAGGTGCTCACCTTCAAGTCTAGATGCAAGATGAGAGTGAATGTAACGGCCGTTGATTTTTTGAGTTCCCGGCTTGATGCCCTGTCTGCCTATTTCATGCAAAATCCTTACGAGAACCTGCAGTGAAATGTAAGCAAGGCACGGTCAGAAAGCGAGAATTTTGCATAATTTGAATCGATTACAACTAAGATCATAATTCATACAATTGTCTAGAAGAGAGAAATGCACAGAAATGTAGAAATATCAGAACCTGGAGTTCCATTTGCATTGCAGAAAGCTCACTTCTAGTTTTCACCAATGCTTCTTCCTTGTCTCGCAACTAAGGTCGTAAACAAGTTCCAACCCTCCAAGCAGTTAGTACTTACTCATTTGTGGTAGTATCAACACAGACGAACACATTGTGAACTTATTGTAAATACGTCTCATGGTAAAGTATCCAATAACATGTTGGACGTGTTCTTGTTGTAGAAATTATATGTACAATCCTATGGATTCTGAAAGCTATGATGAAGATCTATGAAGCAAAGAAATGATATAAAAGGAAAATGAAACTCATGTCTAGCTACCTATGAACATAATTACAAAAATGGTTACAAAGTAAAAACTAAGACAGAGGGAAATTGCAAATAGACACGAAATCAAGGACAGCCTTAAGGCAAACTACACAGATGACAACATCTTTGTAAAAACAGCTGTGACTTCATGAAGGAAATCACCGACATCATGTTGTAGTTGACGGATATATTGATTCGCCACGCTTAGTTTGTTCAGCAGCTGCAACTTTCCTTTGTTTTTGAGCATAAAACCTAACTGCTCCATAATAGGACGCCACCTGATCCTGAGATGTTAGAGACAACATACACACAAAAAACACACAGTAGCTTCATTCTGAGCTTTACTCCGAGAAGCAACACTGCATCGTAATACTACAGAAAAGAAGCTGCAAAAGCTTCCTAAACTCGTTCAATATGAGTTTCTTAAGAACGCTCTGGCTTTGTTCAAAAGAAGTGAGAAACATAGAAAGCCAAGATCGATTATGAAGATACAAGATTCTAAAGCTGGAAATTTTACAATCGTCACTTGAAGAAACCATCTAGCTAAACATTATGCTTCATGAGCGTAGTAGGAAACAAACCTCAATAGTGCTGGTTAGTTCGCTGCTTAGAGGATTACGCTGTGAAGTCGCGTCTTTGCTAGAATTGTCCCCGGAGCGCTCCCTCAAGACAACAGAATCATCATTTTGTGTGCAAGAGCTTTGTACCAGAGGACGTGTAGCAGACAGAGTTTTAGGTCTACGCAATATACTGAAAGTTGTTCTATGTTGCCCAGGTGCCGCCAAGGATTCTCTTCTTGAAATTTTGTATTTTTGTTTGCAGCTAACATGCCCATAATCATTGAAACCTAAATCTACCCTGCAATGCCACGGAAACAAGTGCAAATTTCAGCGAAATCTAAGGCTATTGTGCCCATTTCCCCACTAAATTTACGTCTACATTTGCTGAGGAATGTAATACTAAACCTAAGATCTCAATCTTGTGAAAACTCGACGTTGAATACGCACAAAACTCAACCTACTACTGCGTAAAGGTAGTAATGCTATTCTCTCATCATCCTGAGACAAAAATAATCTACTGGATGGGCCCAAGGAACACACCAAACTCCGAACACGGTACCCGAATCACTCACAGAATTACCAAAACAATGCAAATTTATTGCAAATAAAGATGACCCATTTGCCAATCAACTCCTGTCTCCCAATACGATCCCAACTATCGGAAAAATCCAATCAGCTACACACGAATAAACAAAAATAGCACCGAAGCCATGGACATGTTTCACATACGCAGCATGAGAAGGAGAGAGCGTTGCAGAAAAGGCCGCCATCGTTATCAGTGATAGCAACCTGCTTCATGGACTACACAATGGCACTCATCACTTCTCTGCGTGATCCTCAATCAGTACTCCCAAATACACCACCAAATGACCTACAAGAACAAATCACACGAAATCAACGATAAACCTCGGATGTGATATGAGAGACAAGATCCTGGAGATCAAGACATAGAAGTGGAAGCAGAAACAATGCAACCAAAGTGTAAGACAGCGGGGCCACAGCACCACGAATTTCAAAGGTGTGAATGTCTTCATGAACTCTGATGAATCGATTTTCCTTACAAGTAGATTTCTGTCCATTCATCACATCTTTCGACGGGTTTGCATTCGTGCACTTGGAAAAGTAGTCCCCAGTCCTTATCCATCCATCACGAGGTTTTTGTGGAGTCCTTTCTGCTCACCCTGCATCCAAGAGTTCGTTTCAACCAACGGGGCCATGACTTTGCAAAGAGTGTGTGGTCGTAAAGATCATTGTAACTCTCTCAACACTAGTGCTTCTCTCCCAACATGTGTGACCGACCCCGCATTGAGATTCCTTCTGATATTCTGATATTTATCCAATATCATCGCCATTCCTTGCCGGATAAAAATGACCCACATCACGTTACATGTTAAAACGGTGCACAAGTTTGCAAGCTTCCAATTTTCGAACACCCAATAACTCAAAAACAGGGCTTTTACATGTGGCAAGGTAGAGTGGCCCATGGAGTCCTAAGTAGAAATTGAGCATTAGAAAAGTCCTAAAGTTGCACATTTGTTAACACGATCGCAGGATTACACGAGCGCATTTCTTTGCCTTTCAAAGAAATGGCCAAAGCGTGGCATAGATGAAGTATCCATCAACCGATGGAGAGCATTCTCAAGCATGAGATTGTAGATATTTATACATGCATACATATATATATATATATAATTTATGAGTACTGAATTATTTGGTGAGTGAAAAAGAAATTAGAGAAATAGGAGATTAATGATACAGTGCCAAAGATATTGCATGATGTAGTTGGCTGAGGAGAAAAGAGGAATATGGGACATACTTTTGAGCATATTAAATGAGAGCATATAAAGCTACAACATTAGCTTACTATTATACTTGTTTTGGTTGCATAAGAATTAGTAACTTGTTCAGCAATTTCTTTGATGAAATTAAATATGATTTTTTATTGAGAGCATCAACTACTTATTTAATTATTGATATTTTTGATTGATTCAATTTGGTTAATTACAAGGGTATTTTAGATAATATTTTTCTTAATTGACACTTGCACTTAAAAGGTTGAATAGATTTATATTGAAGGCATAATATTTCACTATAAATCTAAGAAAATTATCAATTACTAATTTCTTTAATAAAAAATTTATTGACATCTTTAGTATTATTACCCTTTGTCAATTTGCAATATATATATATATATATATATACACACATATTTGTCAAAATTTGAAGTAAATGTAGAAGTAATAAACAATATCACTAGCAATTTTTTTGAAGATATCTAACTTGTAGATATTATTTGATAAAATGTAAGATACCAAGGACAAAGAAACAAGTTTAGAGTTTAGCAAAAATATAAGAAGTCAATATTCAACAATATTGATTCTTAGTTTATCTTGAATTTGAAGATGACTTATTTAATATGTGCACATTTCAATCCTCTAAGTATAATATTAACAAGGTGTAAAAAGTGTTCCTATGATAAAGTGTTTATAAAAAATCTAAGACCAACAATTGCATCGTTGTTTATTACAAGAGTTGCTATGTACATAGTTTATGATACACTGAGACGGTTTTACCGCGACTGTTGTTTCCTTTCAATATGACATTGACAATCAACAATGCTCTGATAATCAATATTGTACTATATCCCAACTATTCATTTAATAGTCGCAAGATATTTAAGGCTAGATGGCGCAGAATTACTCCACTTGGGTTTTGTTGGTTAGAAGCCATGTGCCTGGTGACACAAATACCAATCGTGAAATGTCAGGATTAAAAAGACCAATATAGTATCGTAAAATTTCTCGATATTGCAACATTTGATCGTTGTGTTTTTAGACTGGAATAGAAATTAAGCGCCTCTGAAGCTAAAGAATGACAAGGATATCACAAGACTTTCAGCTACCAAAATGAATAAAATTTTGACCACGTTTGATTCGTTGTTTGGACAGACCACCACTCAGTCGCTTCAACCTTGGTACTAAGAGCTCCTGAACGTGTAAAACAGATAACACCCCAATTTCAGTAGTATGTTTCGAATTGTGAGACTTAAATCTATTTCAGAACTGCAGGTTCATGTCTCTAAATGTGAGATTAAATGTCCAAAAAACTTCACCCATAGACATACTACAGAATTACTACAGAATAACTACAGACTTCTGACTGAAATTCCAACCTTAATGTGTTATTATAACCAACCACACATTAGGAAATCGAAAACAATTAGCAAAACTCGATCTAGATTTTCCTGCAAAACAAAACAATATGCACAAAAATGGCTTACAGAGGAAAACCAGAAAAACTAAACAGTAGTCGAAGATGGCACGATCTATGATTGATTTCCAAAAGAAAAGCATCGGAACTTCCTCGAAACACTTGACATGTAAAAACCTCAATCAACATAATAACCTTTCACAACCAAAACTAAACAATAAGAAATCAACCAACAGAGATTGTTTATCACTTCAGTGTAACCACGACACATATCATCGCATATTTGCTAAAAATTGTCAGTTATTTAAAGTAATTGTCAAGTTGCGAAAAATCTGAGGTGTTGCTTTGTAACATCAACTGAAAATTTTACATGCCAAACGGCTTGACTTGCAAAGCTAACAGAATATCTAAACGCTAATAACCTACGCTGGATATGAAGCATGTAAAACTCATTGCCTACTTCACGTATCTCGCAAGAGCTTTGCGTGTGACAAGTAATCAATTCGTACAACAAACAGCACGATGCTTACCAGCCCAGTCACACCAGTAACTGCCATAAAATCGTGCATGTTAATGGAAGCCACCTGTAGAAAATTTCAGAGTTCTCTTTCAGCGACTTCTCCTAAAAAAACAAAAAAACAAAAACAAAAACAAAAAAACAAAACAAAACAAAACAAACACCTCCAGCGATATGACAAAATGCCTAAGCATGTGCAAGCTCTCATCCAAATTTCTGCAAAACTCATCTACCCAGCTACCGAAGACTCAATTTTTAAGACTTACATGATGAAAGACATTAACCAATAATCCTGGTCTTCGACAAATGAATTCGTATATACACCCGCGAGCTCTTTCACGCGATCCCGTTCGTGAGGCAGCACAGGAAAACCACATATCAGGTGTAACATAATTATGTACAAGACACCTATGACCACCTTATGTGCCTAAGCAAGACTGTGCATCATGGATCTCTTCATTATCATCGCTCTCACCAACGTCACATCTCTGACCACTTAGTAATCTTTGATTAAGCTCATCAATCTCTTGCTGAATCAAGAACAGACGCTCTTTCAAAACAAGATTCTCATCCTCTAGGTGTGCGATGTGGATGTCCTGTCTTGCCACCCGTTGTTCCAGAAACCCTTCCGATGTAGTTTCAGGTATGGGAGCCATCTCAAACCGACTGATATCCTTTTCGAGTCGCTGCTCCAATTCCTGGGCAGAATCTGCAGATGAAACAGAAGGCTGCTCCACATACATATCGTTAGAGAAATCATTGTCGACGGTGCTACCGCTTGATCGATCACCATCATCAGTCGGACGAAGATGGATGAGGCCTGTCATAGAGCCATAACCGTAATCATTCCCATCCACAATTTGTTCATAATTACCCAACTTGTAACTAGAACTTGCAGGTGAAGAGAAAACAGGAGACGGCACAGTGGGCTCAAGCGACGCTAAACCCCCCGACCTACGCATGTGCATGAGATATGTGCTATCATTAAAGGGAGCCCTAGGCACACTCCTAGGAACTCTCCTCTTGGCATAAAACTTTTTCGTGCCCAACCGGTTCTGCTTCCTCAAATCTTTAAGTCTGGGGGGATTATAATCCTGACTCTGCTCTCTACTTCTCACTCCTTTGTACATGTTCTTGTAGTACCTGTTCTGACTTGCACCCTTGCCCCTCGATGTGCGCTTCAGAGGGACGTCCCCCATGAACACCGCAGGGTACTCGCCCCACTGCCCTGCGACACTCGACGCCATGGCCAGCCAATTCCACAAGAATACACAAAAACCAACACTGCAAACCGACGAAAACCCTCGCTACCGTCCCAATAAGCAGAGAAAGCACTCGCTGTAACACCAAACCCTAGAGGACTGACTACAAACTCTGGAGCCAAAAGAAAAAACAACCTTCGCGAAGGAACGCGTCAAAAACAAGTTTACTCAAAACAAAGTACCCGTGAAGGCAAAGCTTTGTTCCATAGCGTGTAAGAGTGGGAGCGACAGTTGAGAGAGGAAGCGATGCAGGGAAAGAGGAAGAAACGTGTAGACGACGGAAAGAAATAGAAACTTCGAGAGAGCGAACACTAATAAATAATAGGAACAAACGGTGCATGCAAATAGCCTAGGAATGAAGGGACAAAGTTAAGGGGAAAGTAAAAGTAGAGGAGGGGGAAGGGGGGGGGGGCATGGCACCGCCCTTTCAAGGGCTCTCACTTACTTTTCCATCCCCACCGATCGTGCCCGATGGTCCCGATTCGGCCACGTCTAACCAGGCGTTTCCAAGTGAAAATGCCCTCTCTTCTCATCTTACGCTGGGGTTCCTTTTACGTTAGTATTTTTGCAGCACTTAAGTCTCTCATGTTGATCATGTGATGAGTCAGTGGTGCAAGAATTGGGACTTTGTGGATGTGGCACTTGGAGATTATGTTTACTACTTGTCTGTCATTATCATTTGTGTTTACTCGTGTTTATTTCTTAGTAGAGGAACAAGAGATTTTGGATAGTGAATTTGTAAAATTGATTCCAACAGATAGTCATAATCAATTTTTTGATCTTTAAAGTGATTTAAGAATGCTAAATAAAATTTAGATGTAGTGTTATCATACGTTATAAAAGTAGTTTATTTCTGATGGTACGACTGTTTGTTTGAGTATATATATATATATATATATAATTTTAAATATTTTTGCAAATGCCAGAATTTTTTTCAGTTGAGGACTTACAAATTGAAAAATGTATCTTTCATTTGGTGTAGTTGATTTTTTTCATTGAAAATATCAGGGTTTTTTGAATTATAATAACATAGTGTGTACATTAAAAGACAAAGTGAACAAATGTGTTAACATTTAAAAAGATGATTTAACTGCTTATTTTAAATGAGATTCAATTGATCTTTGAGATTATGAAGCTTATTATGCACACACAAGTAAAATATTTTTCTTTTTTTCTCTTTTTTGTGTGTCAAACAGATCCATGTCAGCAACTTACAACTAAACAGATCATTTAGTGCAACCAACTATACAAAAAATAATATGAGAAATAATGTATTTTGACCAGGTTTCTAATACAGATCTTATGAACACACACATACAAACACACATATTTTACATAATTTACATGTAAGTTTGCATTATACTTTAAATCCAACCCAAAAAAGTAAAGTTTTTTTCAAATATTTATAGATAGTCCAGTACATCTGCATGACTATGTGCCATTTTGTATGCACATCTGAACCACATATCTTTATCCAACACCTATAAACATTTTATTTTAATTCAAGAATGAGTTACACAAAGGGCATATAGTGTTTAACAACAATTTAGATACAAATATTGGATCCACAATTATAAAAAATAAAGTGACTCAATACTATTCATGTTTGTTTAATAACACATCACTGAGGTTTAGGGTTCACTAGTAAATTCATATAGAAACCGGATGTTCCCTTGTTGTTGTCACAAAAAGTGTGCCTTAAATGAAGAACTTTTTGAAAGATATATTTGTAAGCCAAAAAATATTTTTCACAATTTTTTTAGAAAAGAAAGAAATAAAATACACAATTGAAGTTTCAACTACAAAGTGGGATAGCTAAATCCATGCCATTGTCACCAATAATATGCAAAAAATTACTTAATTTTTTTCAAGGAATTACTTGTTAAAATATATAAAAACTTTAAATTATATTAAAAAAAAGGATAAAATTGTATTAAGACATTAAAAGATGTACTAAAGTCCAATTTTAAAACTACAAATGAATAAAATAAAAAAATGTAAAAATAAATTACTAATAACTATCTAATTAAAACTTTTGAAAAAATAATATTCAATGTAGAATTAAAAATTTTGTTTTCAGAAAGAAGAATCTTGATAGAACTAGGAGAAGTGCATGAAGCAAGTATTATATAAAATTGACTATGAAAAAAAAATAAGTTGTTGTAGATCCAAACTAAGATACTTTATTGACTATCTTTGGAATTCATTTATTATAATTAAAAATATAAGAAATATTAGAAATTATTATTTTTTAGAATAAACAAAAGTTATTTTTTCTATAAAAGTTAATATAATCTAAGAAATAAACACCAAGTTTTTTGCAAATTGGCCTTTAAGAATTCTTGCTTCAAAAACTCAATCCATTAGTTGTCTAATCACTAATTAGTAAATTACATTATAAAGTCTTTGATGATGAGTAATATTTCTTAGTAGCATCATTAGAGTCTCAATCTTAAGACCAAGCCTTGATCTTGTCATTCTAGATGGATTAAGCAACTTCATGAATTTGGCTAGATAAAAATTATTGTTTATCAATACCATCTTCAACAAAGACTTTATAATTGCTTAGATATTCTTATTCTTCTTTGGAAAATATGGCCAAAATCTCTTAATTAATATCTTCCACATCATCATTCTATACAGATAAAAAAACTCTATCTCTTAAAAATGCATTATTTGCTATATTGTCTTTTGCTAGCCTTGAATAAACAACATAAGCTAAGATATCAATTTTTGATTGACAATCATGTGATGAAGAAGTATAATCATATCATTAAGTAATAAATTTATACTATTTTTAATCTAAAAAGTGACAAATAGAAATATTAATAAATAATAATAAAAATACAAAGAATTCAAATGCACCACTATTATTATATATAACATGTATGTGCATTCCATACCTAAAGAAGCCAATTAACAAACTCAATATCTATTTGATGTACTCTTGTATTCAACCTCATGTTTTCTTTTAATGTATAGATTTTTATTTGAAGCCACAATGTTGAACATCAAAAAGATGCTCCTATAATTTCTTCTTGAGTTTCTTTCACAATTATTGATAATATTTGAAAAAAATCTCTACCAAAGACTATTATATTTCCTCCAAATGGACAAATAATTTCTCAAATGTCTCTAAAGGAATAATCAACTACCTCATGATAATGATGATGTTGCATCAAAAGTTCACTACAAATAATAAGCAAAATTTGGCAAATAAACTCACCATGGTTGAAATTCTTAGTAATTGAAAAAAAAGAGTCTTCATTATAGTCTCATAGAATCTTGAATGTAAAACAGATAGTTCTTCTTCCATCAAGTAGCAATGCAAAAATTCCTAATAATACAATACATATGACAATCTTTTCCATCAATAAAATTTTACTTGTCAAAATATTTTAGACAAATGTTTTACTAGTTCTTATAGGATTATTTTGAAAAAACATGTATCTTCTATTATAGAGGCAATAATATCATCATATGCAAATTTTTTTGTATAAGATTCAATTGTCGAACATATTGTTCTAAATTTTCTTCTAATTGATAAATGTTCTATGCTACTTCTTTAATAATAAATCAATTTCTATGAATTCTTGCATTCTAATTGTTTCTTGATAATGGTGTTGGAAGAAATTATACAAGCATTTTGTTGGAGTCTTAGAAAATCTTATCCAATAAAAAGAATTAAAAATCTTTAATTTGTTCTTTTGTTGGATTATTAATTCTATGATTTCTTTGCAAACAAGCATTGAAATCATTAAAGACACATTCTCAAAACCTTTTCTATAGATTTAATGGATTTAATAGACTTTTATATAGTAGCAATACAACAAATAATGCCTTCAATTGAGATCTAGTTTGTATTTTTAATGCCTTCATTAAATATTATTGTCACTTTTTGTCATCTTCAAACAATCTTAAAGCTACACATGTATTTTTAAATTTTGGATGAAAAATTCCATAAACAATCTTTAAGTATTCAAATGGTTATAGACTCCAAACATGGATTAATAGAAGCCTCAAATAATATCTTTATCTTATTGTCAAATTTATAAAATATAACATTTTAATTACAAATCCATATTTTTTTAATACCCACAACCTCTTTATATTACGTTAAATAAAATATTGTGGAAACTATTGGTATGTATATTATCTTGCCATTGCCATTTTTGTATACATCTCAAAAAATGAAGTTAATATATATATATTTTTTCAATACATTATAAAATTGTAGCTATCTCATCATTTGGATCATAACCACTTGATGCATCTTTAGAAGATGAATGGCCAAATAAATAATATTTGGCATTTCTTTATAGATCCGCATGCCAAAAAGTCTCTAAGTAGCCTCCTAAGCTCTAATGTGTCTTGCATCTAGGTATTATTTGGTCTTGTCTTATTGGTATTCAAATTACATTACAATACAATTATGGCCCTTATAGAAGTACTTGTAGATATACTTGATGACAAAAATAGATATACATACCTCAATATTTATATGATAATTATACTTTTGAGATAGTTTTAGACAAAATGGAACAACATCCATGTTTTTAATAATCATTTCTCAAATTTCAAAGGTTTTTACATTTTTTTTTTAACAATATTGCAGATATCCATGAACATCTATTGTTGTTTCTTCTACAAATACATTTGGATACTTTTTTGTATAATAATTGTCTTCCATGCAAGGTGCTTGAGGATTTTGTATTCAATATAGACCATAAATAATGTATTATAGAATAACTTCAAATAGCTCTCAATCATTGTCTTTATCTAATTTTTTTGTAAAAATCATATGATCTATATTTGTAGTACATCTAGTTTTGTTTTTTCTATTCAAAAAAATTAAGATTTGCATATAAAGTAGACCTCTCTTTTGAATCTCAATGGTATGAATATATGCAACATGACCAAAGAAAATTCTCCTCTTAATATCTTCTATAATTTCATGTTTCTTTAGCTCAAATAAACAGACAATCAAATTTAGTTGGTCACTTATTTGTTATCCTTGAAGTAATTCATTCTAAATTTTGGGCCATTTTAGATTTGGTGTCATTTCATAAAAATATCAAGATGTTAATAAAACCTTGTAATTTCCATAGAATCTAAAAGTATTTCCATCATATGTCTTGTCTTTTTAATTTGTGATGATGGAAGTAAGATCCTATATCGTAAATTATTTAATTTATATCATCTTTTTTGATGAGTTATGATAGCATTTATTAATCTTTGGTACAAATCAACACTTAGATTTCTTTGATTATAATATAGATATTGCAAACATAATTGCTTAATTGTTGCCCATTTGTCAAC